CTGGGTCATGTGGCCAGCATGACTAAGCCGCTTCTGGCGAACCAGAGCAGTGCACGGAAACGCCGTTTACCTTCCCGTCGGAGCAGTACCTATTTATCTACTTGCACTTTGATGTGCTTTCGAACTGCTAGGTTGGCAGGAGCAGGGACTGAGCAATGGGAGCTCACCCCATCGTGGGGATTCGAACCACCGACCTTCTGATCGGCAAGTCCTAGGCTCTGTGGTTTAACCCACAGCGCCACCCATGTCCTTGGAATTAGCTCATAGCTGTCTTCAAATAAAGGTTGCAGAATTATGGACTATGAAATTAGAAAGATGTTTTGTCATGGATATAAAAATGAAAACCATGCCGATTAATGGGTTAATTTTTAGAATGTTTCTTTTGGATTCTGTAGTGTAAATGATTTCTGATGAATTATTGTAGTATTTTTATTGAAGAACTTTTTGTTTGTTTTCCAAAATATTATGGTTTTATAATGTTACTATTAGGAATTACGGGATACAAACATTATTCATTCTTTGGTTTCAACAGGCTCTCTGGTTGGCGCCTTGCTGCTTTTGGTTATTGCTGGTGTTTTCTGTGTAATTGTAATTGTTTTGAAGCGGAACAAAGCGTAAGGCACATTACTTTATTTTTATGACTTATTTGTATTACTCGGTACTAAGTTACACACATTTGCAGACCGATCCGTGTCCCAACCCGTGCACAAAAGTACAAGCGGTGTCTTTCAGCTCTACCAAGACAAAAGCCATAGCCTTTTACACAAATGCAAATGCATCATTTGCCTTCTGTTTTGGGAGAATGGCCATGGGGTGATATCAGCCATCCTCTACCTTAGGCATCCCCAACCTTCAGCCCTCCAGATGTTTTGGACTACAATTCCCATCATCCCTGACCACTGGTCCTGTTAGCTAGGGATCATGGGAGTTGTAGGCCAAAACACCTGGAGGGCCACAGGTTGGGGATGCCTGCTGTACCTGGCGCCCTCCATGTGTTTTGGGCAATAACTTGCATCAACCCACCTGCTTCATCAGATTGTTCATTTCTTTTGCACTGTAATTAAAGGAACATTGGCTATCTCTTTAAAATTTTCTTTTTCTGTAAGATATGTTTTTAAATAGAACCCCCATTAACAGGGCATGCCAAGATTGCACACTTCTGTACATTTACACTGATCTTTCAGTAGTTTGAAGAATTAGTTGTTATCTTGGCAAACAGCCACATCTCCATGTTGGGAAAGATAATGGGGTTACAAGAATCTGAGGAAAGGATAATCTGTGCGGCAAAAATCACCTCCCTCCCTCCTGCCCCATCTCCAGCTGGATTGTCCTGTGAACAGAGTTCCACTCACAGGAACTCTGGATCCCAGGCATTTTTTTAAAAACCATTTTAGTTTATTTATTTGAATCCCGAACTCTTCTACTTGATTCTTTAATACTGTTTTCTTCCTATTTCCTAAGTAAATATACTCCTGCAAGCAACAGAATATATGAAAGTCCAGACCTTCAAGTAGCATGATCCAACTCTGAAAAAGGCTTCGTTTTTGCAGTAATAGGTAATACTTTGATTTAGATAATTTTGTCCACATTCAAAATGTCCCAGTTGAATGTCAAAAAGGAGACCCCGAGTCCAATGCTAACAAAAAAGGGTGGGGAAACTATGATCCTCTAGATATTGCTGTATTACACTTCCATCATCCCTGACCATTGACTAAGACAACTGGGGCTGATGGAATTCAACATCCTCTGGAAGGCCACAGGTTCCTCACAACAGCTCCCCCAGCCCCCGATAAAGGTAAAGGTAAAGGAACCCTGACTATTAGGTCCAGTCGTGACCGACTCTGGGGTTGCGTGCTCATCTCGCTCTATAGGCCAAGGGAGCCGGCATTTGTCCGCAGACAGCTTCCAGGTCATGTGGCCAGCATGACTAAGCCACTTCTGGTGAACCAGAGCAGCACACGGAAACGCCGTTTACCTTCCCACCGGAGCGGTACCTATTTATCTACTTGCACTTTGACATGCTTTCGAACTGCTAGGTTGGCAGGAGCAGAGACCAAGCAACGGGAGCTCACCCTGTCACAGGGATTCGAACCGCCGACCTTCTGATCGGCAAGTCCTAGGCTCTGTGGTTTAACCCACAGTGCCACCCATGTCCCATCCCCCGATAATACGCCTTTATTTCTTATATATGCATGTAATGCATGCAGTAATAGATAACTAGCTATGGGTTACAGGATGTACCAATATCTGAATCTTCTGATATTGCCCCCGTTCTAAAGATAACTGTATGCAGCAAGATAAAATGTATGTATGTATGTATTTATATGTATGTATTATTTATTTTCTTGCATTCATATCCTTCCTTTTGTCCTTCGTGGAATCCTAAGGTGGCATACACATGGTTCCAAGATGGTCACCTGTTGAGCCATTGACAATACTCAGCAGGGCCATCTTAAGTATATCCGGTGCCGTGGTGCAAAAATCCCTCTAGCGCCCCCCGGTTTCCCAGAGTTGCCAACCTTTATACGGCGCTGCCGGCAGCTTTGTGGGCAGCGGCTGGAGGGCGGCTCCTCCAGCAGGCAAGAGGCGGAGGCGCCGGTCGTGGCGCTGCTTCAGCGAAGCGGGCAAGGGCAGCGAGCTGATGCTGGGAGGCGCTGCGCCCATCCTCCGCCTCTTCTCTGGTGCCCGTGCCGCTGTGGCCATGGCAGGCGGAGGCTCCAGGTCTGGCGCCCTCCAGAACTTGGCGCCCTGCACCACTTGCCTCTATGGGCAAGACGCCCCTGCTACTCAGACCTGCTAAATAGTGGCCCCATGTCCCTTCAGACCTAGGACTCTTTGTTTGGATTACCCATCATCATTCCTTGCTACTGTTCATGTGGCACTTACTCCAGGATTTAGGAGGTCTCTCACTGAGAAGGAATTCTGAACCAACCAGATTTAGCTTCATGAATACATTAGCAGTTAGAATCATCAAGGTGAACATGTGCCTGGATGAAATAGTGCAAATTCACTGTACATAAAAGGAACATTTACTGACTACTGCTACTGTTTTTCTCACCTAAATTACAGGTGAAAGTAACTGGATGAACAGATGCCGACAAATATACCTGCTTCTTTGGACCACATGACACAATCACTGCTTGGAAAGTGAAAACAAATATTTTGCCACATGCAGAAGAGGAACACATTCATGTTTCAGTTTTTGCACTGCCCCTTTCAGATAGAAATAATCACTGTGGTTTTGATATGTTAACTTTTTTTGTATTTTCAAAATATATAATATTACTTGTAAGCTACCTTGTAGGATTAATATTCTGAAAGATCAGAAATAAATAATTGTTATAAATAAAATTAAATTTAAAAATTATGTATTTTGTTCTTAATTCACAGCCAACTTGCATTTGACATAATTGACTTATTGCAGCAGGTACTGAAATTCTTTGACAGTTGTGGCTGTTTTCATTAAACAGCTGCATAAATGGAGCCAACGCCTGCAAGAGAAGTTTGGCTTGGAAACGTTTCAGAGATATCACTGGTCTACTCAATGAATTCACTCTACAGATGTGGACAGTACAGTACACCATCCTATATGTATACCTTCATATCATCCACAGCTTTAACCCTGGCATTGAAAACAAGTTTCATGAGTGAAACAAATATTGCAGTCTTATGTTAACTTACTTGATAATGATATGCATTGAATTGAGTGGGTTTTGCTTCTGGGTAAACAGATTTACCCAGAAACTAGTGGAGTAGCATTTCAGTTTCCCAATGCATTCTGTAGCAAACCTGAAAAACTATCATACACCAGCAAAAGAAATGGAGACTCTAAATAAAGCTACCATGCTGAATAATGTTAGAAACCTGGTCATCAGATCCTATAAATTCATAGCTCTCTATAAAAAAGATCCTTTAGTTTTCAACTACTTACTGCCCTCTGCCTATTTGCCATTAGTTGGGGGTAGGTCATACCAATCACACTAGCTCTCACTTATTTGGATGCAATGTTCTTGTGTGCTCTATGTGGTGCATTAACTTTGTTTCTGTCAGCTTTTGACCTAACTGGTTCTCTCCCCACCACTCTCTTCTCTTTGTACTAGGATATGTGTGGCCCACCAAAGCTTATGCCACAAAATATGTGTTAGTCATAAAAATGCCACAGGATTCCTTAGATGTATTTTGTAAATAAACTTGTAACAAAAGATGAACTGCAATACTCATTGATTAAAATAGCCTGATAGGGCCTGTGGCTAGCACATAAAAATTCTTATAAAAAGTTATTTATTTATTTTTTTAAAAAGCCTGCAAACACACCGTTTGCTGCTCCAAGATCATAAAAGTTGTGCCCCACTCTGTCCACCAGACCATGTTATAGAACTACAACTCCCATGATTCCTGATTAATGGCCATACTGGTCAGGGCTGATGGGAGGTCTCACCCCACACCATCAGGAAGGCCAAGGCTTCCTTTCAACTGTCACCTTATTTTCCTTTCTGCCGCTACCTGATGCCTTTCGTTTCTCAACCTGTCTAATACTTAGGGTTGCCATATGTCCAGAACCCCCCGGAAATAGCCAGTATTCTGTCCTTGTAAATGGCCTGCGGGCGGAAATCGCTGAAATGTCCATGAAAAACCGGAGATAATGCAGCCCATATCGGTAGTGTAGATCTGGGCGATTTTCACACACACCAAAAAATCGCCAAAAAAAAGCTAAACAACTTGGCCAAAAAAAAAAAGCTCAACCACCTTTGTGTCCGGATTTTCTCGCCTTCACTGTAGCCTGGGAAACAGGTGGGCGGAGCAAAGGGGGCGCAGCCCTTAACCAAGCCGCCCACCTCTCCTATCCCACCCAATCGTAGCGCGCTCTCGGGCGGGGGCGGCGCCTCCTGCCGCGCCCATCTCCGAGCACGAGCTCAACTGTTTTGCACACGCTGGACCTCGCCTCCCTCCCGCCTGCCCGCATGCGCAGTCCTGATACCCGGCATTCGACGGCCACTTATAAAATATGTAACAAGGGACCCGGAAACCTACTTCCTCTCTAAGGCTATAAGTGGGAAGGCCGGTAGCGCGAGCTGAGGGCAACGTTAGGCGCGCGCCTCGCCACTGCCACGCGGCTCCTGTCCAACGTTCTTTCCCGCCTCCTCCTCCCCGCATGCGCAATGAGGGGCTCTCCGCGCCGCCGCCTCAGCTCAGCGTTATGCTGCGGCTGTTGTGGGGGCTGCTACGGACTTGCCGGCTCTTGGCGATGTCGATGCTGCTGTTGCTGCTGCCTCAGGAACTGGTGGGTGAGTACGAGGAAGGCAGGCGACGACGACGACGGAGCCTCTGGCGGCCTCTCTCCCTTGGCTTTGCCTCCCCTCACGCCCGCTGGTGCTTCGAGAGGCTTCGCAAAGCGGGGCAGGATGTGGGTTAGAGGCCGCCGGCGAGGAGGCGTCGAGTCCTGGCTCCTCAGCCGCGCGGCAGTTGCGCGCCTCTCCCGCCCAGGATTCGCAGCGGGCGGCAGGTGAGATACGAGGCCGCCGCAGGAACCTCGCTCGCGGCGGCGCGAAGGGATAGGCGCTGTTCAGGCACATATAAAATAACTTATTAAATACTATTCCGTGTGATCACTACCGATTTAAAGTTGGAACGAGCCTGCGTCTGCCTTGTTTTATTTTATTCCCTTTTACCCTATTGTACGCAGTTGTTTTATGTGCTTCCTATTTTGTTTCGTTGGTGCTGGTCGTTTGATTGCAACCATAAAGATTTGATTTGATTCAGATCGATGTCCTCTGGGGCAGGCATTCCAGCTGAGAGGCAGAACTCGCTCCATGCGCTCTTCTGTGACCAGCCAGCTCCACCAGGCCTCCTCGCTCTCCTCACTGGCATCTGGGGGCCGCTATTCCAGCAAGATAGGAAGCAGGGCTGCTTTGCTGGAAGCCCAGCTCCATCGGGCACCACCTGCCCCAGAACTGTTTTCGCTGGTCAGTTATACGGACCTGCCCACGTGACACTGATACAAAAACCTGCGCAAACACTATGCAATAGAACGAAAGATCATTATGCCCCTATCTATCTCCCCTGTGTCTCCTCTCTTCCCCGCCCCCCCACCGCATAATGCATGCGACAACAGTGTCTCATACCGAAGGTAAATGAATTGTGAAAAAGATTCTATGAATTGAAAGTGGAGAGGTACAGAAAGAGGTACAGTGGTTACATACTCTTCAGGTTACATACGCTTCAGGTTACAGACTCTGCTAACCCAGAAGTATTACCTCGGGTTAAGAACTTTGCTTCAGAATAAGAACAGAAATTGTGCTCCAGCAGCGCGGTGGCAGCAGGAGGCCCCATTAGCTAAAGTGGTGCTTCAGATTAAGAACAGTTTCAGGTTAAAAACGGAACTCCGGAATGAATTAAGTACTTAACCCGAGGTACCACTGTATGTACTTTTCTTTCTTTCTTTCACAGTAAAATCTTTAATAAAAACTACCGTATTTTTCGCTCTATAGGACGCACTTTTCCCCCTTCAAAAATGAAGGGGAAATGTGTGTGCGTCCTATGGGGCGAAGACGCCATAGCCCCGCGACCCTCTCCCGGCTGGAGAGGTGACGCACGGCTATGGCAGGAACCTCTACAGCCCCGTGTCACCTCTCCAGCCGGGAAAGCGCACGTGCGGGGCTAAAGCAGCCCCCTGCGACCCTCTCCCGGCTGGAGAGGTGACGCGCGGCTATGGCAGGAGCCTCTATAGCCGCGCGTCACCTCCTCAGCTGGGAGAGCGCCCGCGGGGCTAAAGCAGCCCCCCGCGACCCTCTCCCGGCTGGAGAGGTGACGCGCAGCTATGGCAGGAGCCTCTATAGCCGCGCGTCACCTCCCCAGCCGGGAGAGCGCGCGCGGGGCTAAGAAGCCATCGCCCCGCGACCTTCTCCCGGCTGGAGAGGTGACGCGCGGCTATGGCAGGAGCCTCTCTGCTGCTTCCTGACCTACTCTTTGGGGCTGGTGGTGGGCTTCCCCCCGCCAGCCCCAAAGAGCAGGTCGAAAGGAACCTGAAGCCTGAGAGCGAGAGGGGTCAGTGCACACTGACCCCTCTCGCTCTCCAGGCTTCCAAGGTAGCCGCCTGAATGCACCTTAAACGGCACCTTGTTTTAGAGCGGGAAAACAAGAGGGGGAAAGTTCTCCCCCTCTCTGTGCAGCGCCTCCTGCCGCTTCACTGAAGGGGCGCTGGGCAGAGAGGGGGAGAATTTTTTTTTCTTGTTCTCCCCCCTCTAAAACAAAGTGCGTCCTATTGTCCGGTGCGTCCTATGGTGCGAAAAATACGGTAATTTTAAAAAGATTATAGGAACATCTCTCCCTAAGTTTTGATTTTGATTTTCCTCTTCCTTTCCTGGCCCCTTTTCCTTGTGTGATGTCCTTTTTTAGACCAGTATAGTATGTGAAGAGAAGATGAGTCTTTTCACAAAGACCAATTTTTGCTATACTTGTCAGTTGCTTGAGGCTCAGGTGGTGTTGGTGGCGTGGAGTGCCTTCCATCAGCTTTGTCTGGTGGCCCAGCTGTATCCCTATCTCAACAGGGATAGCCTGCTCTGGTAACCTCTAGGTTAGATTATTGCATTGCATTATACAGTACATGGGGTTTAACTCTGAAGACCGTTCAGAAACTTCATTTGGTGCAGAATCAGCTGCCAGCTTGCTCGCCAGGGAAATATGGCTTGAGCATATAACACCAATGCTGGCCATGGCAACTGAAATTGTAACTGATGGTATGTGATTCCCTTTAAATGTGTATAGATGGTTTAAAATGTTTTAGAAATGTTTTTATTTAATTTTTAATCATACTATTGTAGCATTAGGTGCTTACTACGCTGGGCTGCTTTGGGAGGAAATACAGTTTTTAAAAAAGCAAATAAATGTGTGAAAAATGCACAAAAATCTGTTTTGATGAGGTGGGATCTAGTAATTAGACCTAGTTTTCTAGTGTGCATACAGTGTATGGGTTGAACACTGCCTTCTGTTATTTATGTTTGTGTTTTCCTGTGTGATTTATTTGATCCTCCTTTTTCTCTTTCCTTTGCTGCCCCTCCACATATACAGTTTGGTGTCAAGTCATATTCTTCATTGATTTACCACAATGTAGATATAGAGATCTTCTCCTTAGTTAACTTGGCAAAAACCTTTGGTCTTCTGTGTAAGGGAAAGCCTGGGCAAAATACATCTTTAAAAGATGTTTGAAGCATCTGATGGTTGCTACTTCTCGTATGACAGGAGGAAGAACATTTCATAGCACAAGGGCAATAGCGGAGAAATCTGATTTCATTGGTATTTGTCACTCCACCCAGTTTTGCCTCTGGCCCTGCCTGCTACTAGAATGTGTTCTTGAAAGGTTTTTCAAAAGGGATTGTGGCCCTAGAGCTAAATACGGTTCCCTACCCCTGCCCTTAAGGGGCATTCTGGCCAGAATTTTGAGCTTGGAAATGTATAAGAATTTATAAGATAGCATCAGTGCTAGTATCATGAGTTTGCACAAGAGAAGATTCAGGAAGGCTGAGTTTTAAATTTCAAAGAGTACATGAGTATTTTCAATTGTTCTTTCATATCTTAGTTATAATAATTTGCTTTTTTTAAAGATACTTTTATTACTTATGTTTTATTACATTAACTATCAGAACAAATATGGTGAAATAGTGAACAATGTTTTTAGTTCAAAAGACTTAACATCTTTAACTATTGTGTTTTTAAAGGGGACCGAAAATGGTGTAAAATTGCGGAGTTACCAGTGTTTTCCTTTTCTGAGATCATCCATGAACTACCTGGTAATGCTGTATATGAATGCAAAAGAGGTTTTACAAGATTACCTTCAAAACCAAATATGACTTATTGCATTGATGGAAACTGGACACCATTGGAAGACCCCTGTGGTGGTGTGTTGTTCTTATTGTTGTTCATATAAAGTTGCTGTAATGTTATAGACTCAAGAAAAGTTGAGCATCTTCTATTTTGTGGTTGTGATTATAACTATAGTTACCTAGAAGTGAGCTCTACTAAAATGGAGATGACATCAAACTGGGAGAGGTAGCTAATACCACAGAAGATAGAATCACAATTCCATAATACCTTAACAGATTAGAGATCTGGGCCAAAACTAACAAAATGAGTTTCAGTAGAGACATATGTAAGGTTCTACACTTAGCCAGGAATAATCAGATGCTCAAATATAAGATGAGGGATACTTCGCTTGCCAGCAGTACATGTGAAAAGGATCTAGGGGTATTAATAGACCATAGGCTTAATGAGTCAACAGTGCGATGCATCAGCAAAAAAGCTAATGCTGATCTTGGCTGCAGAAGTATAGTGTCGAGATCAGGGAAGTCATAGTATCACTCTATTTTGCCTTGGTCAGACCGCACCTGCAGAACTTTGTTCAGTCATGGGCACCACAGCTGAAGAAGGATATTTACAAGCTGGAACATGTGCAGTTGAAGGCAACCAAGATGACCAAGGGTCTGGAAACACAGTCTTATGAGGAATGGTTGAGGGAGTTAGTTATGCTTAGTATGGAAAAGAGACTGGAAGGTGATAGGACAGACATCTTCAAATATCTAAAGGGCTGTCACATGGAAGATGTTTTAGAATGTTTACTAGAATCCAGTAAGCCTCATGACCCTGCACAGGTACTGTTGGTGGCGACTGATGCATGCAACCAGAAAAAATAGCAAGTTATGGTTTATCTGGGATACAAGGAAGACTAGGTCGAATTTCATGAAATCTGGGTGGACCTTGTAAGTGCTTGGATCTGTTCCAGAATAAAGAAAGGCCCCTGTTTTTTTCTAATAAAATTTTGTTAAGACTTTTTCATAATACAATACAATGAAAAGCAAATTAATCTAGATAAAGAAGAGAAAAGAAAAGACAGAGTCAGCTCTCAAAGTTAGATCTTAACCTTTTTCTCACACAGAAAAAGGTGAGAGCTGGGAGTTTACCTTTCTTCCCCCAGTCTCAGCCTGGGAGACCTTCCCTTCCCTCTCTCTCTCTCTCGCGCAGGGTCCTTCACCAAGCTATGATTTTCCATCCTTTTAAAAAACAACAACTTCAATTTCCACTTCTTCCATTCTTTCTCCATGAGTTGGTAGCTTTCCCCTGTAAATCCACTCCAAATCATATGTAGAATCCTTTCTCTTCAACTCTATCCCTGCCAGCTCAGGATGTCTCTTAGTCTCTCCATCCATTACTTCATTCCACTCCTCCAACATCATAATTCTGCCTTTTGGCTGTTTTATCCCTCTAGACACTTTTGTGAAGGACTTCTCCATTTCATCATCTACTGCCTCCAACTTTCATTTCACTCTCCTGTTCTGGCAACATTTTATTGGTATTGTTCTCCAAAGCTTCTGTGTCTTTAATTCCATTTTCCATTTCATCCTCCTGTGGTCCATTTCCATTCATCATTTCATGGATTTCAACTCTGATCTATTTTAATTGCTCATCCACTAATTACTGTAATATGCCAACAGTCAATGGGGTGTCCAACAATGCATTTGCCATACAGAATGGTCTTAGTTGTATTAACAGCTCAGTCTCTACCTTAAGATCTCCACAGTCTCTACCTTAAGAGCTTCAGTCTCCCGTCTTCACCTTAATGTCTTCACAGGATTCCTTATTGGGCCGTATTCTTTTCCCACAGTGACATAGAAAAAATACTTTTCAGTTTGAAGTCAGCACCATTGATCAAACAGAGTGTTTAAAATAAATAAAATAAAATAAAGATTTCTAGCAATTGGGATACCATTTAGCTATCTAAAATTTTCTTAGTTGCAAATAATTAAAACATGCTTTTCGTTTTGCTTTCTGTCTTTTGGTAACCATCTCTTCTTCAGCCAGCATTTAGCTCACAATCCAGATGTAAATTTCAAATGGCAGACTGATAACATCTCAGCCATAATCTAAGCTGCTTGGTCCCGGCATGGAAAGCTGCTTTTTCAGAGCACCTGAGGTTAATCCCTTGTTCATTCTCTTTTCCCAGAGCGAATTTGACTGCCAAGATTTACAGCTTGGCTATCAACAATTACAACGAGCTGTTGACTGGAGGTGTTCACCATTGACTGAGTTCACCATTTCCTTCCCCAGACATCTGGGAAAGCTTCTGTTATTGACGATCTAGCATAGCAAAAATTGGATCAGACATGTTATGTGGAGTTTCATACTTCATCTCAAACAGCAGGATATGTTCTGCTGATGCCATTTTGTTCTGCATTTGTAGGCTTTGTTAACACAGTTCAAGTGTTGAATAAGTTTCTTCTGGACCTCTTAAAGGTGTGGCAGGAAGCCTCCAGCAGTAGGCACTGAAGATGAAGCAAGGGTGGCTGAATGTGGTCTGGATCATGGGTTTATTGTTCTTGGCAAATTCCACAAATGGCCAGAGCATTGGATTCCTTTGACAGAAAGGCAATATATTCAGACAGTCAAAACCAAAAGCAAACAAACAAGATGAAGACTTTGGGCTTGAGGGGATGGCATGGCAAGGGAGCTAAGTGATGAAGGTATTGGAGCTATCCTATTGCTTGCCACTTGGCTGATGGTCATTCTATTTTTTTCCACAGCAGTCAGATCAACAGCTGCAGCCTATTTCCTCCTCCCCCATTAAGATAAATGGAATATACTTTCCTTATGCCAGTTCTGTCATCTAGATTTTCCCAGTTTCAAGCAGAAAATTGCACATTTAAGCTGTGTTCCTGTATGCACTTACCTGGCTGTTTATTTCTGAGTAAATATCAGCACCAGTTGGCAGAGTGACAGCAGTTACCTGACCTTCCATCACTAGCATTGCTGCACTAAATCAGGAGTGGGAGGAGGGTGGTGCACTACAAATGCACCGACAACCAATCTGGTGCTTGTAGTGGTGTTTTCACCATGCAGACCCCACTATTGTGGCTGGTAAACATGCATAGATTGTGGTCTTAATCTTTCAGTTCATTGAACTCCATAGATAATAATAATAATAATAATAATAAAAAATTTTATTTATATCCTGCCCTCCCCAGCTGAAGCCGGGCTCAGGGCGGCTAACAACAATAAGATTGCTGTGTCTGCTTGGTTTTTGTGTGTGTGCAGTCATACCTCAGGATAAATACGCTTCAGGATAAGTATTTTCAGGTTGCGCTCTGTGGCAACCCGGAAGTAACGGAGCACGTTACTTCCGGGTTTTGCCACTCGCGCATACGCAGACAGTAAAAATGACGTCACGCGCATGCGCAGAAGTGGCAACCCGCGCAGTCGCGTCTTACGTTCTGTTCAGGATGCAAACGGGGCTCCGGAACGGATCCCGTTCGTATCCCGAGGTACCACTGTATATACATGTGATAAAACAGGAAAGCGGGCAGGATGTAGGCAGTCTGTTAACAGTGGTGAATCTTCTAACATTCTGACGTTTGTATTATTCTAGTTTCTAACATGGTGTCATAAGTTGTTATATTGCTTTTTGTTTGCAGAAGTCTGCCCCTTTCCACCAAAGCAAACTAGAGCTAAACTAAAAGATAAGTTTGGAACTTCAGTATTGTTTCCTGTTGGGATGGTAGTACACTATGTATGTAAGGCAGGATTTGAACAAGTTCCTGGTATCTTGAATACTATTACCTGTGGTAAAAATATGAAGTGGTCACCGCTTGCAATGTTCTGTAGAGGTAAACCATCTTTTGCTTTTGATTTATTGTAATGATTTGCAGGTATTTATGAACAAAAACCGGACTTTGTTTTTAAAAAGATAAAGTCCCCAGAACATGCAGGTCCTTGAACATTATTAAGATGAAAGATTTTTTGGTTTTGGCCACAAAGACGCATTGGTGGTTTGGTGAACAGGGAAATAAAAAGTAGCCATATGACTCAGTTTGAAACATGTTTGAGCTAGGGAATGTAAATGCTGCAGCTGTTTTACTTGATACATTTACATTTAACCCTTCCTTCAAAGAGCTCAGAATATCATATAGGTATTTTTCTTCAGACATGGTTTTCTTCATCTTCTATTTTATCCTACAAATCCTGTAGATTTAGGTTAGGCTGAGAGACAGTGACTGTCCTTAAGTCACCCAGTGAGCTTCATGTCTGAAAGGAGATTTGAACTTTGACCTGCCTAATCCTAGCTCAACACTCCAACCCCTACAGCACACTGGCTATACAAATAACTGCTTTTACAGTAACAAGGCAAGTGCTATTTCTGACAAAAAACTAATTACATAACCACCTTAATCTATGCTGAGTTTTGCATGATGAGGCTGCCAGGCAAGAGAAGAATAAATATCTTGATTTTGAATTTGTCAAGAATAGCAAGTTGCAGTCTTGTAGAGATGAAAGAAGCAAACATCCCAGATTTTATGCAAAGTTTTTAAAATACCTAACGCTAAGTAATTTTGTGGCATCTGTTACAACTATGCTGTAACCCTATGGCAGGATATTTCACACAGAGCATCCTCTTCACAACATGCAGCACCTCCTCCACCCAGGTGATAGTGCAGTACTAGCACTTTTTTTGTGTACTAATCTTCTATGGAAGATTAAATAAATATGAGTGATGCCCACTTCCACTGGAAAGGCATCCAGAAACAAAATTCTTATTCAAGATGTGCAAGAGATTGGTTTGTTTACTCATTGCATTTGCTGATCTGTGCTTTCATAAGATTTTAAGATGGTGTACATCAGCAGTTGAAGTTCAGTTGATGGTTCAAAGAGCAGTGAGGGGCTGTTTGAACAGTTTTGTTAAAATATGTGAAGGAAAATGTAAAATAACAAAGTATGGCACTTTGAAGATGATCGCATGGTGATCATTGACATTACAGTATCTTTTATGTGTAGTTAATGATCCTGGCAAATATATTCAGAATAATGCTTGATTTTTAAAAGGATATTTGCTAGGATTGTGAACTGCAGGCATAAGAGATCTTGTATGTTACTACGTTGTTTTATGCATTATCTTAGATATAGTTTGCTTTCCTTCATGTTTTTAATGGAATTTGTCAAAACTGTTCTCCTTTTATTAATGCCAGACCTGTCAAAAATATTGTTTGTTTGTTTTTTCCTGGTTTTGTATGTTTAATTCAAGAATGTTTCTTTTCAGGAAAAGCTTGTGAGACACCAACACCAGTAAAAGATGGAAGTATTTTCTCATTTAATCCAGAATACACCTTTGGAGCAAGAATTTTATATATGTGTATTCAAGGGTAAGGAAACACCATTAAAGGCCACCAATAACATTTCCAATATGCTTTTGCTCTTAATTGTTTTTTCATAAACTAGTAAAATTGGCAGTACTTTGTAACTGAAGATGCAGTCAGTTAAGTTTAGGAGGAGAATCTAAATATATTATTATTATTATCATAATCATTATAAATTTCATTATTATGTATACCATGCCTTTTACCCAGGGAAGGGACAAGGTGGCTTGCAGATAAAAATAAAAACAATTAAAAAAAGGGAGAAAATAGAGTTTCATACACACACACAGAATAAAACATTACTGAAAAACATCTAGGATACATTCAAAGCAGCATAATTAACAGGAAACTTAAATATAATCCTAAAAATTTCAAAATAATACATTATGAAAGAGGTTGACTACAGAATGCACATTTAACACAGCAAAGTTAACAATTTTTTATCTTAAACATTTTAGAAGAAAACATTAGTAAAAAGAAGTTCAATATAAAATACACTTTTAAAACAGCATAATTAGCAAGAGATTAAAAAATTACCGTAAGCATAGAAGACATGAAGAATCAGGGCTAGATCGAGCAGTACCTCCCAGCTTCAATCTTGATATTTTAAGGGCAGTATGACCTTGTCTAGATTGGAGTAGACCTGAACAGCACCGCTCTATGAACTGCCTACCAACTGTACTTCTGATTTGTATGGATTGAGCATCACTTGGTTGGATTTTTTATCCTGTGCATTCAGATACACAATGATTGGGAGACGTTGGAACAGATGTCAGGCAAAGGAAAGTGATGTTCACTGGAGTAATCCACCTCCACTTTGTGTGCGTAAGTAGCGTAAATTATTTACAAATTTGGAGTGATATTTTTTGTGATTAACAGCACAGTTGTTTTCTTGGGAATCTGTTTCACTGTGTTCAGTGGAGGTTTGTACCCAAGTAGGGATATAGAGGATTGCACCTGAAGGCTTCATTCCTATGAACACTTCCTTAGGAGAAAGCCCTATATTGAACTCAGTGGGACAATTGGGCTATGAATTTGCCTTAAAATTTAGTAAGCATGGTAATTAAAATAAGCGAATTAGTTAGTTCCTATTCTGTGTTTGTTTCACAGCTATTCATAAGTCTGTTCTGTCTCATTTCTATAGTAACCTGCTAATTAAAAATAGCCACATGGAAATACATATTGAAGCATGTATATTCTCACAAAAAGATGCATTACTTTTTCTGTTTTTTTTATATTTTTGTTAATTTTAATAAAATTACAACATAGATTATCCATAAAAAGCTCATATTAAACAGATAATTCAATCAAAAGAAGAGAAATACAGGGACAAATCATACATTTCAAAACATATTTTATCCTAAAGTTGTGGTTTCATGTGTGTTTTTTTCATCAAAAATCACATCTGAAATTTTGGAGTGCAAAATCTGAAGGACAACTTTATTCTGATTCCTTGCATTAGTCTGCAAGTTGTGAATCCAGCAAGTTAGGTACTGGAATTTGCAAAGAATGAATTCCTCAAGCATTTTCAAAATGTAGTACGTTATGCATACAATACAAATAAAGAAAATAAAAAATGTTAGTTATAGGGTTTACAGTTTTGTTATTTAAAATGCTATTGTAGATGTCTAAATGAGATTTCTAAGTTTAGACTAATCAACCTATATCTAAATTACACGGAACGTTGAGCACCCAGAGATAATTGAATCCCGCCCTGCTTCTTGTTGATAATTTTCTGGTTTGCACTTTCTTAAGCTATTTTAAACAACACGAACCTCCCAGATTAGGTTTAGGTAATGTTAATTCAGCCAGGAGTAAAGAAATAATGTCTCGTCAATTGTAAATGGCTTTTGTCATTACAAGCGTTTAACTGACAGAGACTATGGTAAGGATTTTTTTATTTCATAAAATTTACACAGCTTGATTGTAAAACAAAAATCTCTCAAAGTGGCTATGGCAGATCCCAGTCTAGAAAATTTCACAAAAGAATTTGCTAAAAACTTCTAAGAATAGGTTAAATCAGATAAGAGGTAAAAAGCAGGGAGAACTTTGTGAGAATATATATACAGATACACCCAAAGGCATACAGAAGGCATTTGAAGAAGGTAAGTGCTGCTGGCTGTACAGACGACTCCCCACCTACACAAGGGTTACGTTCCAGCACCCCACAAATTACTTTCTTCTTTAGTCCACATTTATGGGCCTATACAGGCACCCCCCTGTATAGGATCGATTGATTGATAAGACAAAGGGCCCTGCTCCATTATTGTTGCTAGTGTAAGGAAAAAGGACACACTTAACGTTGTTATCTTAAAACTTTGTTGAGAGTATGTACAACATGTCATGTAGCATTCGGTTGAGACGAGAATTAGATTGGGGCCTGGTGGGTAGGGAACACAAAGGAGGTTATGTTCCAGAATGCATCATGGCTTACATCAGCCACCAGTCCATCAAGGTTCTGGTGTCATGAGTTATCGTCATATCTTCCCTGTGTTTCCATAAGGAATAAGATTCAGATTGCATGTAAAGGTTAGTGTACGTTGTTAGTAGGGTTACATATAGAGATCTAAATAGATATTCCTCAACAGTAATAGCATTCTTCATTCATGAAAAAGTATAAAACAGAATGTTTGCATGTGCAGGTATTTGAATATAGAAAACTCAACTGGTCTGGAATCTGCTCAGTGCTTGGATAGTATATGTACTTACCCTATTCGTGCTACCTTGAGTTCCATGATGACAAAAGGCAGATTATCAGTGTAACTTAAAATGTGGTGTAATAACAAAGGTTAGGTTTAAATACACTTAAATGTGCACATTTATCTTGAGCTTACTCTTCAAGTGGCTATGCATCGGGTTGTGCAGTAAGGAACATCTGCAGAAAATTAATGGGGCAGTTCTGACCATTATTCTATGAAGCTGGGAATGAGCGCTGGACCCAAGCATCTTCCCCTCTCCCTCTTCTCCTCCTTCCCTGGTTGTGCATCAATTTCAGTATGAAGATCCTGGCTTTATTAAGGCAGAGTTCTCTGTTAACATAAGAAGCAGGAACTTCTGATTTACTTTCTATTAATCTAACAGGAAAATAAGCCAGGATATTGAGTGTATTTCAGTACTTCCAAAAAGTCTTCCTGTCTGCACAGAACTGCAGATGTGTTCATGTATGTGCAACTCCCCAGAGAATGACTCAGAGAATCGCAACCAATGGTAATTCCCTGCTGCCAAAATGTGAGCCTGTCTTCTTATGATTTTGTTCATTTTTGGTAAAATAAAAAATAAATTAAACTGAGAAATCCAATAGGCATTTAAAATATATCACTTCTAAATAAATATATTTAATATAGTAGTTGAAATATACTCAGAGTCGCAAAGTGATTTCATGCTCTTTATTCAGCTCATAGTGGTGAGGAGGAATGAAAGTCCCCGCGAAGTATCTGCTTTATATACATTATTTACACAATGGGCTGCACATGATTGGCTAATTCTGGAATTCTACTGTAAGCCAATCAGGTTGTGGATTCACTTACAGTATATCTGGAGCATGATTAGTGGTTCCTGCCAACCAATCATACTGCTGCATTGTTCTAGGACCAATCAGACTGCTGCATTCTGAATCCTATTATTCTAGGACCAATCAGACTGCTGCAGTTTGGATCCTATTCAACTCAGTACATAACAGTAGTTGTTACATGGTATGTTTTGGATTTTTCAACAGTATACTGTTGACAGTTCTATCATTTTGCTGAATTATTCAGTTTTCTTTTAGGAGCTGTATGTAAAGACCCTCCAGACATTCCTGGTGGATCCCACAACGGAACTGTATCTATTTATCCTTATGGAACAGTGATCAAATACAGCTGCAATGAGACTTTCTCACTCATTGGAGAACCTATTATATACTGTGATGTTGATAAATCTAATAGACCACTGTGGAGCAGTAAACCCCCGAGATGCCAAGGTTATTTTTTAAATATATACCAGTTTTTCCTTCATGATGATTATAAAAAACAAAACCTGTTGACTTGTCAGGAAGTTCTGCTGTATTGTTGCATCCCTTTTCCACCTTACATTTTTTTAAAAATTTGAGATAAAAGTCAAAATGTCCAGACTTCATTTTGTCTACTTTTTTGTGTGTAAAAAGCCTTCTGGCACGACTTACACAGTTTTAACCAATGAATGAAATCATAGCAATTATTGATATTTAGGAAAAGGCTAAAGCATTAACTTCCTGGTTCATTAATTGTTAGAAAAGTGATTGCTGAATCACAGAAAACAAGGATTTTACCCAGGATTTTAGTGTACAGGAGTGTGTCTATTCCACATACCCCTTGCAGTAAAATAAAGTCAGGTGTTTTTTCATACAGAATGGGTGACATCATCCCCATTTGTAAAGCCTACCCAATTATCATTGTACATTCAGTGGCTGGATGCATTCCCACTAGAGAAAAGTAAACTGGTCAAATTAACATGGATTTTTCTTCTCTGGATGGAGGTAGGATGTTATAACACTTTTCATAAAAGTCTGTTTTTTCTCTTCACTTTCTGAGATAGAATCTTTTAGTCAGGTTATAGACTAGTGAGAAGTACAGTAAAGCACTACTTCATATTAAAAACATAACAATGCTTCATTTTTAATTATCTGTTTAATATTGGGTTATGGTTTAGTCCCTGTTAGTCTAAAAGCAGGAAAGATAACTCTTGCCCATTAACAAAGTGAATAATTTCCACCAGTATGTACTTCTACTGGTATGGCACAGAGGATTTTGCTGTGCTTCAGAGAGGGCTTTATTTTCCTTCTTAAAGAAAGTTTGAAAATGTTGCGTGGATTGTGTAATAATGTCTTTCATCTCTCTTGATTCACACACATGCTGCGGTATAGCCACAGCTACATGGCAGTAATTGTTGGAGAGATAATTTTCCCATAAACTGTTTGATTGCTAGGAATACTGTATGTGTAAGTGCTAATTGGAGGAAATATATTTGGATCCTTCTAAGGATTAGTTTAGCAGATGGGACTAATTTTAGAGACCTTTGATTTGCAGCAGCCATTACTAAAATATTGTGTATTCCTCAAACAGAAAACACCTGTTGGAAGAGGCCTTAAGACAGCAGGAGCCTTTTTTCATCATGTGTTCTATGCAGTCTCCCAGAACAGCATTTATAGTCTCATTTTCAAAGATCTAGATGGATAACGGAATATATTATTTTTTAGTAAAGTTCAACAGAAAAAATAACTTGTAATAACGTAGAAATGTAAGGATTCTGTTTTCAAAGGGATTTTGATTTTTAATATTACTTTCTGCTTTCAGTGATTATATGTGCAGATCCAGTAGTTCAAGATGGAATAAAGAAGATAAGTGAGTTTAAAGATTCCTATACCTTTGGCGGCAATATTACATTTGAATGTAAAATTGGATACTTCATGATCGGAAGTTATTTCATTCGATGTGAGGCGAACAATACTTGGATCCCTAAAGTGCCATACTGCAAAAAGGGTAAGAATTCTTTAAAAAGAAAAATATTAGCATTTATGTTTCTGCATTCAACAAGAAGAAGCCATTTAAAATGACATTTATGCCTAGGGCGTGCACATTCCCAAATGCAGGCATGCAAAGAAGTACTGTATGTTGAAACAGATAGCTTAAAGAGAGCTTATTTAGCCTCAGTAGTCCCACAGATGTATGTTAGTTATTTGTAACAAAAGCCAAAGTCATACAAACTCAAATGAAAGATATCAGAAATAATAATTATTAGAACTTGAACATATGAGAACATGTGTAGATATGTGTACAAAGCATACAAAATTACAAAATACAAATAGATTTTCAAAGCTGTGGCCACTGTTTATAAAACAAAGAAATTCTACAAACAATACAGATTATAAACTGACAAGATTTCCAGGATTAAATCTCATTTCATATTTCATCAAAATCAGAATGGAGAATCAGTCATAGATGGTCCTCTGTTTTGTAAGACCTCAGCCAAATTTTGACCAGCAGCAACATACTGGTATACTTATTCCTTGCTCAGGAGTCTAAATTCTTCCCTCTTGGATTGCAGTTTTGAATTTGAATGTTCAGATTCCATTATCTTAGGAAGTTTTTCAGAATTCATTTTTTTATATTGGAATCCCATTTTTATTACAGTCCTTTGTAATATTCAACCATTTGGTTGAATCCAAATGGTTTAGAGCTTACAGAAGAAACAAAGGAGATGTCATATTATTATGACTTTATATATGTACATATTATAACATTGCTAAACACCACAGCAGTGCCAGAGTCCAGGGAGTACCAGACACTTACCTAGGGTCTGTGTTTCCTTTTGGAAAATGAAGCACAGTGGAGCCTAGGGTGTCTTTATGATATTTGGTTTATTTACACAAATATACAACCTGAGTCTACGATATAAGGGTGCCCCAGGCTAACACCTCAAAAAGAAATTAAATGACTTAATTAGCTCTTGACACGTGTTGATCTCCCAGGCTTTAGAAATGTCTAATATACAATCTAGGAAGTTTGCCTGACATAATTAGCTTTTCATAAATGCTAATTTCAGAGGGTTCTAACATACATCTTAGACTTGTTCTAAGATTACATTCTTGATTACATTCTAACACTTGGGGGTCTGATACACAGTTTTAACATGCAAGCCTTAATTAAATTATAGCACCTAGCAACCTATAACAATATTATTAAACAATTATTATTAACATTTTGCACGGTGTTTTTATGAAAGTAAGATAGAAAAAAACTGAGGTACTAAAGGGGATCTATGGCTGTCATCTATGAAGGTAGTTCCCCATCTGTTACTTTGTCTTTTCTTACATATATTTGGGCACTCTCTCCTTTATAATAATAATAATAATAATAATAATAATTTATTATTTGTACCCCGCCCATCTGGCTGGGTTTCCCCAGCCACTCTGGGCGGCTTCCATAGAAACAAAAAATATTTTGATTTTTGTTAGTCATTTATGCCCAAAAAGAAAGAAGCTGCCTGATAAAGTTTCTTAGCCTGGTTGCCTCTGAGCTGTGCTTACCACAACCAGTCAAGTGGCTATTTTACAAGCTTGCCCAATGTGTGACTGCTCAGAAAATGCTCAGAGAACAGAAGTTACTTTTGGTGATGTCACAAGAATGGGATTTGCATGACTTGGCCATGAAGCAATTACCGGTTTTTTTGCTCCATAGGGCGCACTGGACCATAGGGCGCACCTAGTTTTTAAGGGGGGGAAATAAAGGGGAAAAAATTATTTCCCCCCCCCCAGCCCCAAAGAGCAAAGAAGCCAAGACAGCGAGCGGGATCCATCCCGCTGCCTGTCTTGGCTTCCTCTTTAGCCACGCGCAACCTCTCCAGCTGGGAGAGGCTGCGCGCGGCTTTGGCAGAAGCCAAGATAGCGAGTGGGATGGATCCCGCTTGCTTTCTTGGCTTCATTTTTAGCCGTGGGGCTGGGGCGGGGAAGCCCGAGCTTCCCCCGACCCCAGCCCCCAGAACAGGTCCGGGAGCGGCGGCAAGATTGCGTGCAACCTCGCCACCTCTCCTGGAGCTTGCGGGGCTGGGGGCGCGCTCCGAAGGCTTGCGGATAGCTGCCTGAAGCCCAGGGAGTGCAGCGGGAGTTGGTGCTACGCTCCCCGGGCTTCAGGCTGCAGGCTGCTATCCGCAACCCTTTGGAGCCCAGTGGGAACTCCCACTGGGCTCCGAAGGCTTGCAGATAGCTGCCTGAAGCCCTGGTAGCGCAGCGGGAGTTGGCGCTGCGCTCCCTGGGCTTCAGGCTGCAGGCTGCTATCCGCAAGCCTTCGGAGCCTGGCGGGAACTCCCGGATAGCTGCCTGAAGCCTGGAGAGCGAGAGGGGTCGGTGCGCACCGACCCCTCTCGCTCTCCAGGCTTCAGCGAAAGCCTGCATTCGCTCCATAGGACGCACACACATTTCCCCTTCATTTTTGGAGGGGGAAAAGTGTGTCCTATAGAGCAAAAAATACAGTGGTAGTAAACTGCATTTTGTGATTTACTTTCATAGATTACTCAAAATTCAGGTAGGTGATATTATGGTAATACCTTGAATCTTACCACAAACTTACAAAAGCAAGGCTAAAATTATGTAGACATTATTTTATATATTTTGTGGTTTTATTTTTCTTGTTATAGTTTCTCAAGATATTTGTGGTGCTCCAGTAATTCTAAAAGGAAGTGTGTATCCACCACAACCTTATTATAACCTTGGAAGTATCATTTCTGTGCAGTGTGATAAAAAGTATTCTTTTCCTGATGAAACCATGGAGATGAAAGCACAATGCAAAGGCTACAATCAGTGGGATCCCCCTGTACAACTTTGTTTCTGTATGTACAAATCCAGCTCTGTGGTATTGACGTCTGTTGATAAAGAAGACAAAAACTTAAAAACCCTACTAGGTAGACAAGTTTACTTACCTTAGACGGTCAGGCGGCATTGCAGCCTGGTCAGCGATCCAGCAGTCGGCTAGGGAGGACTGCGGGCCTCCCTGCAGATTGGCCTTTGGCTGGCAGGCCCGAACCCGGGGATTCCCAGGGATGGGGGCAACCAACCAATGGGCTTTGCTTGTGTCTGCCCCTGGGGAATAAATTTAGATAAGCCCAGCAAAGGCCCATCTAGTCCAGCATTCTGTTCACACAGTGGCCTACCAAATGCCTATGGGAAGCCCTCACCCAGCACATGGTGCAATTGCACTCTCCTATTCATGACCCCCAGCAATTGGTATTGAGAAGCATGTTGCCGCTGATATATAACAATTATGACTATATCATATAGACCTTGATAGCCTTATTCTCCATCAGATTATCCAATCCCTTTTCAAAATTGTCCAAGTTGGCTTCCATAGCTACATTTTGTAGTAATGAATTACATAGTTTAACTGTGTTGCATGAAGAGCTTTGTTTTGTCAGTCCTGAATCTCCTATTCAGATTGATTTGATGACCTTGGACTCTAGTATACTATGAGAAGGGGAGAAAAATATTCCCCTATCCATTTTTCTTCACACCATGCATCACTTTATATACCTCTATAATGACCCCCCTTATCTTTTTTTCCTAATTAAAATGCCCTAAATATTATACCCTTTCCACAAAGAGTTGCTCCAGTCCATTCATAAATTTCCTTTTCCTTTTCTGCATCATTTCCAGTTCTACAATACTGCTTTTTGCATTGCAGTAAGCAGAGCTGTACACAATATTCAAAGTGTTGTTGCGCCATAGATTTATATAAAGGCATGCAATTGGCAGTTTCATTTTTCATCCTTTTTTCTAATCCTCATCACAGAGTTTGCCTTTTCACAGCAACTGTAGGTTAGATGGTACTCTGCTTCTAATACCATGCTCAAGACAGATACTATTTCCCAATTGTCTAAATCAGAGATAGGCAACCTGGACCCAAACCTTATCTAACACCTCCTGAAGCTATTCATTTCTTATACCCCACCATTCTTTCTTTTTTCCTGGGCTTTAAATCCCTTCCCCTTAATATGTAGTTTCAGAACAACTAGAAGGAGTATATTTTATTTGATGAAGAATAAAATCCTTTTCCTGTTTATATTGCTTGAGAAAAAGATGTCCCACATCCAGCTGTCAGAGAACAAATTGGCAGGCTTCTGCTTTGTGTGTGTATAGCATACTAAAGGAAGAAAGGGTTTATTTTCACTGGTTTTACAAAACCATAACTGTATCAATCAGTTGTGCTGAATTTTAAAAAACTTAAATATAAGAACATCCTGCTAGAGCAAGTGAAAGACCCCCCCCCCAGCATCATATTCTTACAGTGACCAACCAGATGCCTATGGGAAGCATGCAAGCCAGGACACCCTCCCCTTGTGTGCTTTCCAACAACTAGTATTCAGAAGTATACAGTCTGACCATGGAGACAGATCATATCCATCATGGCTAATAGCAGCTGATAATTTTATCTTCCATTAATTTGTCTAAATCTCTTTCAAAGCCATCCAAGCTGGTGGTCATCACTGCCTCTTGGGGGGGGGGCAGACGAGTTCCATAGTTTATATGTTACATAAATAAGGTTCTGAATACTCCAGCATTCAGCTTCACTGGAACAGCTTCTAAGTGTTATAAGTTCTAGTGTTATCAAAAAGGGGAAAAAACTACTACTTCTAGGTATACAGTTACATTCTATGTATATATACATGTTTATGCATGCATGCATTTTTTCATAACATTTATATACCACCCAATTTAGCATTCTTTGGGCAGTGAAAATATAATGGGTGGTAGTCAACTAGTTTTTATACTAATGTAAGGAGATTTCACCCATCTCCTCCCATGTATGGCTTGCACCATTCCTATATCTCCAAAGGGATAGTGAAACCCACTGAAGAGATTTTGGAGGAACAGGAGAACTGTCAATTGCACAAGGATAAATCCTTGCACTGATGGAACATTCACCTTAGTGCTGCATTGACTACAACCCATTATAGTGAATGATTTAATAGTTTGCTTTCCCCTGCTAAAAATAATAGTTATTTCAAGTAACAAAATGCCCAGTGTAGCGTCAACTATAAACTGCAACTGTTGAATTCTCTCATTCCTTGTAATGCCGGATTGGGATGAAGCTAAAATGATGGTGTTTAGGCCATGGTTGCAAAGCTGAATACTGTGTGTCTTACTCAATAGCTAGCTTGTGAATTGTTGGGACAAGTAAAGAGAGGGTGATGCTGGGTCTCTCTCTCTCCCCCCCCCTCACCATTTACCTCTCCTAAGGATCCACAAACTAGTACAGTGGTACCTCCGGTTGCGGATGGGATCCGTTCCGGAACTCCGGTCAGATCCTGAGGTTTCTGCAACCAGAGGGACTGCTTCTGTGCATGCACGCGTGGCGAAACCCGGAAAAATACTTCCAGGTTCGTTGCATATGTATCCTGAAGGATACGTAACCCGAGGTGAACATAAGTAGAGGTACCACTGTAATCAATATTTTGATGCATCACACACACACAGCTTTGCAACCATGGGCTAAGAGTCTAGTCACACCACTGGAGGAAGCAGCAACAAAGCTAATCTGGTGATGAATCAAAAATCTCAACATCCTGGCTCAGATAGCATCAGGGCTTTTTTCCCCAGCCGGAACTCACCAGAACTCAGTTCCAGCACCTCTCAGGTGGGCACCATTGCCTTTCAAAGAGAATGAAGAAGGTGCTTGTGGTGTGTTCTGGCACCTCTTTTTCTAGAAAAATGGCACTAGATAGCATATTGATGCATAACAAAGGAGTAAAAAAAGCCACCCTTGTAACTTTTGCCTCATGCAGTCGTGAAAGAAATTTTGTAAGATTTATGCAAGGTGTCTATTGTGTTCATTTTTTTCTGGAGTAGCTCCCCTAAGAACTCTGCATGGAATTACCTCTGTTGCCATCCTGGAAACAATTATGCCCCTTCCTGCCCCTTTTCACAGATACTAGTTTTGGGGAAACAGACAGACCTGCTCTTAGAGAAGGGAGAAATTGTGGAGGAGAGGGTCAATTCGAGTGGAGCCTGCTTGGCAGCTTTTTATCTAAGCAACAAAAAGGGGTAGGGGGTCAGCTCTCCTACAATTTTATAATCTTATTTTTATGTGGACTTTTGTGTTACTTTATTGTTTATGATCATTATTTGCTTTCAGTTAGATTATCCCCAGACACTGCTAAACTCCATATCCCTAAAGGAATAATAAAACAAGGGAAAAAAGAATACTATTACCCTGGAGATGAAGTTATTATTGAGTGCTATGCTGGCTATTTTTTGAAAGGATCATCTAGGATTAAATACATTGGTGGAAAAAAATGGTTGCCTAATATTCCACGTTGTTATCTGAGTAAGTATTAATCCTTGTGAAAATGTAACATGCCAAATATTTTTCCATTGATATGAGACTGCCTTCTTTTAAATATATGCTTTCATAGAGGTACAGAATCTATAGACAGTTTATCTCACAGTAGTGCATCAAAATTTAAAGGATTAGCTTGGCCCTCTTTGTGGTCACTTCAGAGTCTCCTCTACTACTTGATATAATGATCTAGGAAGAAGGTTATTTATTCTGAGAGACTGGAGAATACATTTCTTTCACCATTCCCTCATAGGTGAACCTACACCATCACGTCCCTGCCCAACTAGCTTTTTTACTTTTTTGTGATACTTTTTTTATTGAAAAGCAAACAAAACAAAACAAAAACAAAATTAGTCATTGGTTTTAATCCTTATGGCCAGTTACATACAAGTATATTTTCATCATATAAACATGTATTGAAGAAGATGGCCAATGAACCTCTCCAGAAGGAGCTGTGAGATACCGTAGGTTTGAGCACTTCTGTTTGGGAGCTAGTAAAAGAAATAAACTGAAAACAATCTGTTTCAAGCATGTCGTTTGTAGTTTCCCTTCTAGCTAGCTAACACTTGTATGATCTTGTCCATTAGCGCCAGATGCCACACTCTGTCACACCATTTACGAAATGAACAGCCTTCTGTGTCCTTCTACACATGCACAGTAGTCAGAAGATTACAAACAAGTGACTTAGATAACAGATATTTGTTTCACCTTTGAAAAAGAGAAAGCAAAGCTATGCCTGTGAGATAGCTCATTTGGTAGAACATACTGTAAGACTCTTAATCTCAGGATTGCGGGTTTGAGCCCCACATTGGGCAAAAAGATTCCTGCATTGCAGAGGGTTGGACTAGATGACCCTTGTGGCCCCTTCCAAGTCTTTAATTCTATGGATCTAAGACCCGCTTTCATTTCAACCTTCTAGTGTAGCAGTTCAGATATGGTCATGAACACAAATCACCAAAAACTTGTACCTTTGAGCGCTCACACCAAAGATGCATTAAGGTCTCCAATATTTGGTTACCTCTCCAATATACAGGTGGAATGGAGTTGTCAGTGTAATGTAGGCATACTGGAGTCCAGTGCCATCTATGAATAAGTTTCAGTGTTGATTCTTTAATTTTAGTGGGAATAGTTTTAAAAAGAGGTGTGTGCCCATTCACCCTCTGTGATACTCACGTTGAGATCTGATTCCTAGAGTGATTTATCTACCATGTTTAAACTGAAAAATAAAGTGGTCTCTTCCAACTCTATGATTCTAAGTATTTTATATGTATCTGTTGCTATCCCCTTCACATTTCTAGAACCAATTCCACACAGCTTCTTAAAACAGACTAAGGTATTTTGGTGCATCATGAGTTTAAAACCATTGTTTTATTATTACATTTATTTCCTACCTTTCCTCTAAGCAGCTTGAGGATGTGAGTATAGCTCTGTTTTCATGAAATGTGAGGATTTGTAAGTACTTATTTTTAAAATGAGACTTGCAGCTTTAGTATTGTAAAAGGAAATTCTAACCCTAGCAAAAAGGGGAAAAAGAAAAAAGAGATTTGGAATTAAAGAGTCAAATAAAGTCAATGATTATTCTTTTAAACCTGTATGGTTTCTAGATTAGTATAGGAGAAAGTTTAAAATGGCCAAGTCATATATGAGAGTACGTGCAGTAAGCGAAGCATATCAACCAGTTGTGATATGAAATCCACCTTGAGCTGCAGTACTTTCTTATGAGACTGCCAGTCTGAATGAGTAGACTTTCGAGAAATAGTCTTACAATGTTCTTTTCTGAGAAGTTTGCTTATTAGAACCATTTCCCCTTCTTTTCTAGGTATTTTCCTGAGAGTACTTATAGCTGGTATGTAATTTATTGAAAATGAATGGGAGAAACAGGAAGATGTATTAAACATATTTAAATACCAGTGCTTTGTACAATTTCAGATGCTTTTTACCAATAGCAAAAAATACTGGGTCAGAGATAAGCATTTTGAAGTTTCACTTTTTGGAGAGAGTTAAGTCCATGCTTAATTCTCCTTATTAAATTAAGTCCCCTGGTTTTCAAAAGGGAAAATTAAGCATGGATTAAAAATCAGCTCATGCCCCTAGAAGTTTCTCCCATATTTTTCTTTGCTAGACAGGATTTACTTTTTGTTGAATTGACTCTGAACATTGTGCACACCATTGGTGCTTTGTAAATTTTCCACATTTTATCAGTTTAGCACTGGTGCTCAAATATTTGCTCATCAATTGATGAATCTCATCCTTGGGTCCAAAATCTACAAGTACATTGTCTCTCTCTCTCACACACACACACACACACACACGGTATTTACTGGTAATAATTTAAAATGATTTCTGGTACTAAATAGCAGTTTAGGCAGTGAATCACCAACCTTTACTCCATCATACTAATTTGTGTTTTTTTGTCTTGGAGTAACTTATGATCACCTAATGACAAATCATTGCATTTTATTGTTAACATTCAAGAGGTATTATTATGCTTTGAGTAACATTTGAAGGACATTTTCAAAACTGGTTTTGAATTACGCATGAGTTTTCTTGGCCTCTCATGAGCCTTTTTTAATAGGATAGTATGGTGTATTTTTCTTGTGTGTGTGTTTTTTTTCCTTTTAGGGTGCCTATTACCTGTATTGATTGTTGGAACCAAAATGGTTTATCAGAATTTTTACTTAAAAAGGTAAAACATCTCTTATTACTAAACTCTTCTTTTATTTTCTGTTTTCTGTTTCTAAATTTTTATTGAATTTTCAATTTTACATCTCAAAACAAAAATTTTCATACTATTTTATCTCCAATGACTTCCCTCCTCCTTCCATGGTTCATTTTGCTTGTCTATCATTCCTGCACATTTTACTTTAACCATTTTAATCAGTTCTCCACTCTTACATCACTCAAATATTCATTACACTGTTGAATTTATCTTAATGTTGCCACTGTTTTCAGCTGTATACAATTACTTCCATATACTCAATAAATATTTTCCACTCTTCTTTGAATACATGTTCTTCTTGCTCTCTTACTCTATGTGTTAAACCTGCTAGTTCTGTGTATTCTAACATCTTAAGTTGCCAATCCTCCTTGCCTGGGACCTCTGTCGCTTTCTATTTTGGGGCTAACAAAACTTAAGCCGCCATTGTTGCATACATTAATTTTTTCTGGCACTTAGGAATTTCTGTCTGAACTATTCCCAACAGGAAGGACTCTGATCTTTGTGGGGAAAGTTATTTTAAACATTTTTTCAACTCACTGTAGATCATCTCCCAATATTATTTTACCTTTTTACATGTCCACCACATATGAAAAAATGTTCCCTCCATTTCTTTACATTTCCAGAACATATCTGATTCTGCTCTATACATCTTAATCAAGCTGTTCGGAGTTACAGTGAGGGGGGAAAGTATTTGATCCCCTGCTAAATTTTCCCATTTGCCCTCTGACGAAGAAATGACCAGTCCATAATTTTAATGGTAGGTTTATTGTAGCTGTGAGAGACAGAATAACAACAGGAAAACCCCAAAAAGGGAAGATAGCTCATCTCTCCTATGCTACCCTTGTGTATCTAAGATGACTGGGCAGCAGTCCAGTGCCTTTAAGGGAAGCCCACCATCCCATACTGTACAGTCTCATGTTGTGGCCTTCCTAGAAGCCCACAACCTTTTCTTATGACACAATACACACAATCAATTCCTTAAAGGACGCAGCTTTCAAGATCTAATAATAGATATTGAACTGGTTCCACCTTCTATACAGGTTCGACATAAAGAGACATCTTGCTGGATGCCATACTTGCTTTTTGATTACAATTTCATGTTTTCCAACACATGTGGTCATGCTCCAGATTTATACTTGTGTACTGCATTATATATTGGACTAAGATTAAGCCAATTCAGAAACAGCAATTAGTTCAATCTGGGGCTGCAAAATTGCTAACTGGGATTAAGTGTTGTGGTCATATTATGGTAGTGTTTCACAAACTGCATTACCTCCAGATTCAATTGCTAGTACTTATTTTAAAGCCTTTCATGGCTTCTGTTAAAGCTTGTTGTCTCCAGATACCTGAAACATTATGTCTGCCTGTCCATATGCTAACAGCTCCAGCAGAGCCCCATCACTGGGTCTTGAGATCTAATAGTGAAAAAACAATCTACTGGCTCTTGTGATTAACTGTGCAATCCTGTACATGTCTACTCAGAAGTAAATCCCATTGAGTCCAATGGGACCTGCTCTTAGATAAATGGGCAGGGGGTTACAGTGAAAAGAAGGCCTTGTGCATCCACAAAGCACTTCCATGAGGGAGAAGGAAGCCTATTTTCTGTAATTACTTTTCAAAGATAAATGCAGCATCTTTTAAAATTAAAAATAGTATTCTGTCTGCAACGATATTGTGGTTTTTATATTATGGTGTGGTGGATTGGGTTGGTTTTGGTTCCAATCCATTCCCACCAATTTATATAGAATGATATAGGTTTTGCACCTTGTTTGGTACCTTGCTGCAGTTTTGGTCGCCTCACAGTAGAGATATACTTCCATACAGATGACCCCCCTGAGACATGGAACAAGTATATAGGTGGAGATCTCCATTGAGCCTAGAGAGGTGGAGATGCCTAGATTGGTTAGCTGAAAGAGTGGGTTGACCATACTTCCATTCTCTGACAGGGCAAGAACAGAGAGCAGAGAGATGCAGCAGAGCACAACAGCTACCAAAGAACTTAGTTTGCTGCCAAAGAGTAAAGTAGCACTGGCCAGTCCTAACCTACTCAGCAATGACCTTCCAAGTGAAACATCCAAGAGGATAGCAGTACAAGGAAAATTGGGCCATCCCCGCAGCTTTAGAAGCAAATCAGTGTACTAGGTAGACTCAGCTTATTTCTGCCCTTTCTTTTCCTTCCCTTTCTTTTACCTTTAATACCCCTATCACCCTTTACTTATGTGTTAAATGAGAGGCAGTATTCTGTTTAGGGTGGTCAGCAAAGGCCACCGCATCATCAGTATTAGTAGGCTTCCATAGTGCTGCATCCCATAATAACTGTGTATGGCTCCCTCATCTCTATGAACTCAGCATATGGTCTCTGGAAGATATGTGCTCCTACATATATATTATTAATGAGAAAAAGCAATAAAGGGACATAAGATGCAACAGCACATTCAAAAACTGCAAGATACTGAATTTAGGGCCATATTTATCTTAAAAATCAAATAATAATTGTATCTGTGATCTGATCTACTTCCCATCTTTTAACATGTGTCTGAATTTAAATTGTGTTAAAGCTAAAATTCTTTTTGCTAATCTTTAGCTAATGCTGCATTTCCGCACTCACATTCAGTAAATAAACGTGCAAAGAAATACAGGTACCTCGCCGGTTACATTCCTGAGTACCACATGTATATATCAAATGACGTATAGTGGGGAACACCATATAAAAAGCCTGTAAACACCCTCTAGACTCCACCACAATCGCTCCTTCCTAACCTCCTTTCTCAAACTCCAGCTCTCTGCAAGCCTCAAAGGTTGGTGCAAAGGCACCTGGGATTGCTAGCCATCTCCCCACTCTTTCTTGCACCATTTTTGCACTTTTCCCACTCTTTTCTAGCTGTTTCTGCCCTTTTTGCAGTTTAAATCTTTTTATTTAATTATTTCCTGGCATTGCATGTATATGTGGTTGGGCATGATGAAATGTGCATAAATAGGGTGATGCTTGTATGGTATGACAGTTCACACAGTAAACTGCAATGTCCCACAAACCTGTGCCTATAATATACACAGTTACAGGAAAGTGCCTATTTCAGATTCCACTTTTCAACATTTTAGTAATGAATGTGAAAATTCTATAAACATAACTATAAGTTAAAGAGTAGATATCTGCTTCAAGTAGAAGAACATGGGCCAGACTAAAACCTATATGCAGATGCTTATTAGCACAGTCCCAACAGCTACTTCAGAAGGGGATTATTGAGAACAAAGAAGAGTGCTCCTTTGCTCACCACTGCTCTGATTTAAAATGGCCCTCAAAATATGTGCTGGGGCCAAAGATACGTTGCAGAGAAGCAAAAGGCTTAAGCAGTCTTCTCTGAAAAGCTGAAATGGGTTGCTAACATGGTGCCCTTCAGATTGTTGGACTACATCTACTGTCATTTATGACCAGGGATGGCCTATCCCATTTCACCACATGGGACAAAAACAGAAAGTGCTTTTCTGTGCCCCCTGCCACCCCCTCCCCACTTCTGCTGCACACTGTAATGCTCCCACCCCCGCTCGTGCTGAACTAATTCTACAAAGCTTTGTCGCTTTTCTTCTCCAGGGGTGAGGAAGAAAAGTGGTGAAGCGACACACCAGAATGCCCTCCACTAGCTCCAAACTCAGCAAAAGTGGGAGCAAGTCTGCAAGGGCTTGATGCTTGTCTTCTCTGTCCCAGGGACTGGGGAGAGAAGCTGCAATGCAGCATGCTGGAGTGCTCCCGACAAGGGCTGTTCTGCCAGTGTTGGGACACCACCTCTTGTGCTTCTTCCACCTGACACAGCCACTTCACCCTGCCTCATGGGCAGGCTAGCTCTGTTTATGACTACTGCCTGTGCTGCCTGTGACTTATGGAAGCTCTAGTCCAACAACATCAGGAGGGCACTATGTTGGATTCTCCTGATCTAAAACAATAAGATTTCACTGTAAATTATGTTTCAGTTCTCCTATAAATTACTATAAATGACATCATATGTGCTTACTGTATTCATATTTTGAAGTTGAAGTTCCTCCAAAGAACTCACTTCGCCATCTTGGCCTCGCAACAGCCCTGGGAGATAGCTGAAAAACAGGTGCTTGCCCAAATCTGCCAAATGATCTTCATTGGTAAGCAAGAAAATATTTCTAGATACTGGAAAATTTACCAATTCCTGGCAAACGTCCAACCTCAATTAAATATTTTTGATACTTTAATTCACCTGATACTTAAAATGAGGAACTACTTCACAAAAATGTTTCATAAAATTGAAAGATTTGTGTTCTTTGCTTACAGTCCTAGATAGGGACAGAAGAACTTTATTTGTGGTTCAAACTGAGATCCATTAAGTGTGGCATTTTGTTGTTAGAAGCAGCCAGCTCACAACCACAGTTTTAGAATGGTAGGCATCCCTGATTGCTTGTCCTCAGCATCTGTACTTAAGAGTTCTTCGTAGTCTCTATACAGTCCATTGTGTGGGTTCTGTGCCCAGAGCAGTATTAGAGCAGATGCCTTTCAGATGCTTTGGACTGCAAGTCCCTATTCCATGACTCTTGGTTGTGCTGGCTAGGGCTGATCAGAGTTGGCATCAAAGAGTCAGGAGGAGACCAGTTTGGGGAAAAGTTGGGCTCTTAAAAACATTTTGGTAGGTCTGCTTCCATTCCACATGATGTATTCTGAAGCAGTATGCCCCCATCCCCCTCAGTTCCTGCAGTGGTTGCATCTTTGAAACATCATCACCCTTCCTCCATTACTCTTTATAAAAAGCCACTTTATTCTGTTTTATTTTCTCTTCTCTCTATACAGTACTTTCCCTTTAAAATTTGTATTTTATTTCATCTCTAGGATCTCTCTAGACCAATACTATCTTTCTAGAAAAAAAGGTGCTGGAATTTACCACGAACACCTCCCTTGTTCTCTTAGAATGGCAATGGCACCCACGTGAGAGGTTCCAGAACTGAGTTCTGTCGAGTTCTACCTATAAAAAGCTCTGCTCTAGACTATCTGAGACATCTTAGTGCTCCTCCAGAACCTGCCCCCTTTTAATTTTGTAAATATTTTTTTGCCATGCACGTAAAGCTGAATGCACACAAGTTGCTGGCTTACTGTGTATGCCCACACAGATGTTGTAGTTGTCTGGCTGTTTTAAATGACAGGCAAATCATAATGGGTTTTGTTGATGTTCAGCTGCTTCTTTCAAAGACTTTGCATTTTAGAAAGTTACAAACGTCACTGTATAATGATATTTCGTATTTGAGATTGGTTTTCTTTTCTTTTCAGGCACTTGATTAAACGAGCACTTCCTAAAAGCTGCAAGGGATAAATTGTAAATTTCTGAAGATAATTATACACTTACATGAATCAAAGACTTTAAAGTTGAATTTGTATTATATATTAAGAAATAAAGCATATACATGAATATAAGATCATAAATCTTATTTTTAAAAATAGATTCTGTACCTAGTGGCGACTGGTACTCATGGAACAGTAGGCAGAGAGATCAACAGTAGGTGGAGTTGGAGCCAATGATAGGCACAGCCAACTATTTCTAGTTCCGCCCCCCAATTTCACCGTTGAATTCTGCATTTGGGCTTGATGGGGCATGTGACCCTCACCTGTCCTAAGAGCTACTCCTGCTGAGGAATCACACACCTCCTCCCAGAGCTAATGCACCCCACCTGGCCAGCTAATGAGCTGAGCTATGTGCCCTTGTCTGTCTCAGCCTCCTGGAGTGTACCTGCTCCTCTTCCTTACGCCTCAGAGCCCACCATGTTCATGGAGATGGGGGCTGCTCTGGCTCTGGGTAATGGGTCCTGCTCCTCTGGTTCTTGTGCTGTGACTCCCATCACATCACTGACCTCTGTCATCCCGTGAGTACTTTCTATGCCCCCAACCTCTCCTCCACCCCCAGCTTGCTCTGGTGTGTACCAGTCACAACTATACCCCTTGCCAGGATCTTCTTTCTCCTCCCCATTGTCCTGCCAATTCATGACATGTTATTTGAAAAGAATTAGTACCCAAACCTCACATATTGAGACATATTCAGATACAGTATATAAACAGCTAAACCTGTGTGTGCTACTTTAAACAAATAAGCAGTCTTAAATAAGCTTTTGGGTTTTTGCATGTGGCCGGTCTATGGCAGCTGTTTCTCAAGAAACCATTGGGGTGGTTGTGTGTGAAGAGATTAGATACAGTGGTACCTCGGTTTATGAACTTAATCTGTTCCGGAAGTCCGTTCTCAAACCGAAACCGTTCTTAAACCGAGGTGCGCTTTCCCTAATGAGGCCTCCCGCCGCCGGTGCCCTTCCACCGTTCGGATTCCGTTCTTAGACCGAGGTAAAGTTCGCAAACCAGGACACTACTTCTGGTTTTGCGGAGTTTATAAATCGAATTGTTTGTGAATAGGGCTGTTCTTAAACCAAAGTACCACTGTAATAGCATTTTTGCCTTCCTTGTTTGCCTTTTTCGATGTTTCAGAGGGTTTTCCCAGGTTTTTTCATCATTTTAGGATCATATTTCCATGGTTGGGAGCACACTAACAATTTCCTCATAGCAATCAATGGAAATCGTCAACTCATGTAAATGCTTGCCTAACAAACAATTCATGAGAAAACATAGTGTTCGGATATCAAGACCTGCATGCAGTTGCTTAGATACACTTCCATGCTACGTGCTTAAAAGTCATGTGTTGCCATCTGGTTGGCTAGTAAACTTAATCCTCAAATTGAAACTTTAAAATTATTATTTAAGTAACACCATCAATGTTTATGATACTTTACTGAGTAACAAGTAAAAAAGGACAGGTCCTGGAAGCCTCCAAAATCTGAGCGTGCTGAAGAAAACAAAGGTTCAGATATAGGGAAATTCAGGCAAATTCAGATGTAACTATTCCAGCTAAATAAATCATAGTTTGTTAAATTTAGAATGTGCATAATACCTCACACTTCCCTACTTCATCTTCGCTTTGTTGCGAATTTCCCGTTATATCTGGGAGAGGTAGCAATTAAAAGTGGATAGCAACAGTCAGCCAGCCACTAATTATTCATCATTGCATCAAATATTTATGAAGGCAGTAATAATTGTTATGGATTTAGGGACTTTCTTTAAAGAAGCCCACATCTGCTTCTGTTGATACATAGTCCTGTTTACAGCTGCTCCTAGTACAACTGTATTTCCTGCAAACTCTGTACTTTCTGTTGCTTCTACTGTTCTCTAGAGAACAAGCTTGAGTCAAGTCCACCCATCTCTCTGTGTTGCTTCTACTACATAAACATCCCATAGGCTAACAGCACACTGCCTCTTTTTTTATTCCAACTGTGCTTACATTCAAATGAGGAAAGGCTTGGCTGGGAGAGAGGAAAGCAGTTTGTGTTGATTTATCTGAGAAATTCTTTCTGCGGGATATGGGAGAAATGCAGCACTTTGACAGTCCTGGTTGTTGTATATGGCTATGGTGTAATAGATTTCTGTTGCAATACATAACAATTCTGGATTAAAAAAATTAATCTGGTACACAGGCTGAGACCCTATCTGCCCATGGACTGTTGCCAGAGTGGTGCATGCTCTAGTTATCTCTTGTTTGGACTGCTGCAATGCGTTCTATGTGGGGCTACCTTTGAAGATGACCCGGAAACAACAACTAATCCAGAATGCGGCAGCTAGACTGGTGACTGGGAGTGGCCAACGGGACCACATAACACCGGTCTTGAAAGACCTACATTGGTTCCCAGTACGTTTCTGGGCCTTCTTGGTAGTGGAACCCACCCTGTGGAACACCCTCCCACCAGATGTCAAAGAGAAAAACAACTACTGTACCAGACTTTCAGAAGACATCTGAAGGCAGCCCTGTTTAGGAAAGCCTTTAATGTTTGACGGACTATTTTATTTTAATATTTTGTTGGAAGCTGCCCATGGTAGATGGGGAAACCCAGCCAGATGGGTGGGGTATTATTATTATTATTAACAAATGCTTTAAATTGATAAATCATCACTGGATGGTTCTTCTAAATTATTCCTCCCCAGCCACTCTCTCAAAGCTGCACCCTGTCTTTCTATTTATATTCCAAGTGCCTAATAATCTGGTTAAAACATTAGTTTGTATTGAAAATCAGTAAAATGTCAACCTTGAAAGACTGATAAAACAAAAGACAATGTCAGCTTCAATATATCAAATAGAAGAGCCGAAGCAGCAATAACCAAAAGACAAATACTTGTTCAAATAGAGATGGCTCTCCAGTAGCCCAAGTGTCTCCCCCTAAACACCCCAAAAGATGGGTCCTGGCAGATTTCTGCAACAGATGTGAAGGGATACAGCCGTCAGTTACATATTTGACTAGTCATAAGCCACAGGCAGCACCCCACAATACTGGGATAATAATACCGGACTGCATTATATAGCTGTCATAAACCACATTTTCTCAGCCACGTCTAGACCCTCTCTTCAGCCTGTCACATGGCGTAGTAAAACACTGCATTGCACTTTCTAGGATTTTTTTAAAAGAAATTGATCTTTAAAACCTTAAAAAGCAGCAGGACCCATATTTTCCCCACTCAATAATACTTCGATGTGAGAGAGCATGATTTCTACACTTTTTTCAAAGTAATGGGACAGTCCACCAACATATCACAGATGCGATACAATCCTGGATTTCCCCCGCTGTCTTTCGCAAGCAAGCTGTCATCTTCCACTGAGGTGGGGAGGAATGAAACGTAGCGAAAAAGTACAGTCTGCAAAGGATCCATCCGGCACTCTAGGTGGGAAATGCTATAGGGGGAAAACAGGGAACGCGAGCTGAACAGCGACCATCGCCGAACTCTCTTACGCCACTCGCCCGCGCAGTTGCGAGCCTGCCTTCTCTTCGCCGTCGCCGCTCAGCGTTATGCAACGGCCGCCCTGGAGGCTTCTGCTGACCCGCCGGCTCTTGGGGATGTCGATGCTGTTGCTGCTGCCTCAGGGACTGGTGGGTGAGTACGAGGAAGGCAGGCGAGTGACGACGGAGCCTCTAGCTGCCTCTAGCGACCGCTGAGCCTCCCTTTCTCCCCGCCACCTGCCCCTTCCCCTCCCGCCTGCTGGCCTCCCCGCCCTCTCTCCTCGAGCTTAGAGAGGCTTCGCAAAACGCGGCGCGCGAGTGGGCGGGTCTTTCCAGGCGCCTGAGGTAAACGCGGATGTCCCCCAGCGGCCCGCCAGGTGGCGCCGAGGTGTCCGTCCTCCTCAGCCGCGAGGCGGTTGCAAGCCGCCCGCCGCGTCCCAGGCTGCGGCCTCCGTCGGCAGAGCCAGTTGGGCTGTCCATCCTCCCAAGGGGACTTTCTCTGCCAGGCGGCCTTTCTTACTCCCGAGGAAGCACGCATGGGGAAGACCTTGATGCCTCCCACAGGGGGCTTTTAGGGCGATTGACACAATAATAGTGCCTTAGCGGTGGGGTTGTTCTACTTTATTCTGTGGTGCTTCACTAACTCATTATATATAGATAATACACACACACACACACACACACACACACACACACACGAGCTAGCTGCAACGCATAGGTCAGTTAGTTAACTATTTTTATTTATTTACTTACTTACTTGATGGGGGGGCAGCTGTAGAATGAAGAACCTAAGGTTAATATCAAATACATAAAATCATATGGACAAGACAAAACAAACTGTGCAGGGTCTTTATACCTAGTTGCTTATCTAGCTAAGCGCTTTGAGAGCACCTGGTGATCCACCAGAATTCAGGATTTCAGGGCTTTCCGGTGGAGGGAATACCACCAGTAGCATTCCACCTGCCAGTACAATTCAGTGGACAAAGGGACAAAGGGGGAAATCTTTGCTGGCAGAGTGACACAAGTGGCACACTGTCAGCAAAAAGAGCCACCAGAAATGTCTTCACTCAATCTACACACACACCAACTTGGCATAGGGTGATTGTGGATTGCAGCCCATAAATTGCAAAGCCTATAAATTCTACACGGGATATTTGGCAACATGAGAAATAAAGCTACCCCAACAAAAAAATGAGATCCATGTTTCCATTACATCACATCTAAAATAAGACTTTCTATAGAATATAGAATTCTATGATTCTATTCTTGACATGGCACAGATACCAAAGTGCATCTGGCTGCAGCCTTTGTTATTTGTGTAAGTGAATCAGATAATCTCAGATTAATGGTGTGTGAGCCTTTCCTGGTCATCTCTGTAAAAAAGAGTGCTTTTTTCTGGTGGTACACAATGGTACGTAGTATCACCACCTTTGGGGTGGGGGTGGGGAGACAGGAGGTCTCTCAGACCCCCGTCAGAGTATCACACCTCATTCACTAATCTGGGTAAATGCAAGGCGCGAGCCCATGTGCTGGCAGAATGTTGGATTCATTCCTGGCTAATTTATGGGTTCATTATTTTATGATAGTGTATGTATGTGCTTCATGCCTACCTGTTATTGCATTTTACTATTAGGAGGGCCCAAGATATGTATGTATGTATTTTACTGCTTGTCAACTGCTACAGAGGTTTTAGCTTGAGAAGTGTTATAGAGAGTAAAGAGACATGTTCTTTATTTTCTGTGGAAAAACTCCAGTTGAAAAGAGTTAGCTGAAGGATTTTTTTAAAGGGATCAGATTAAGATGGTTTTGTCCTAGACCTGCGGCAGATGTAAAAAAAAAATCTGTGTCAAAGGTGGATTGACGACTCATTGGGAAGGATGAGGATCCTGGGTTCCTCCATTACACTGACAAGCTGCCAAAGAGATCTGAAACTGTGCTAGACTGAGAGCTGGTAATTAATTTCTTCTCACTGGAGAAAACCTCCCCACCCCACCTCAGAAAAACTAGTTGCTAAGGACGGCACAAACCAACAAGGCTTAGGACCACCACCACGAACCTTGCAGAGCTTGTCATAGGCTGGGAGGCCTGGGATGTTTGTGACATGACAGTGTAAGTGTGGCAGGCCCCTGGCAGGGCCTTCCAGCCTGCTTAGCCCCCGAGGCCTGGGGCAAGTGTGCCCAGTTGTCCTCCTTCCTTGCATGGGCCTGGCTTAGGAAACTGTGATAGATCTACCACCCATAAGGATTGCTCTGCTCATTTCCTTCAAAAGGCATTCCAGTAGGAACATTTTATTTGAAATTAACAAGAACTGTGTAAGAACATCATCAGAGCTAGTTTCACTGGAGCTTGCAGAAGAGAAGATTAAGGATATTGAGTCCTCAGTGTGAAAGGTGTCTGCTAATACACACTGTTTAATGAACTCAACTTAAAACACTTTCACTGCATTGTCAGTGTTTTTCTTTCATTATTGTTTGTTATAATTATCCCATATTTAGTTTTTTAGAACAAATATAGTGAAACTGTAAACAGGATTTTTACTTCCCAAGGCTTATGTGTCATATTAATCTTTGTCTTTTTATATGAACCCAGAGACCTGTGATGTTGACGATTTACCAATATTTCCCTTTTCTGAGGTCGGTATGTATATATATGACCACTTCGCAGTATATGGATGCAAAGAAGGTGCTGTAAGAGTGCATGATAAAACTAACACAACTACATGTATTAACGGTTCCTGGACACCGTTGTCAGACCCCTGTCATGGTATGTGTTGCTCTAAACGTGTTCGTTTATTTTGGTGATTTCTAAAAAGTTACTCTAATGCTTTAAACATAAGAAATATAAAGCTGCTCTTAATTTGTGGTTGTGATCGTACCCACACTTACTTAGAAATAAACTCTAATGAAATAAGAAGTAGATTGCTGGAAGAAATATCAACAACCTCAGATATGCAGATGTCACAACCTTGATGGCAGAAAGTGAGGAGGAATTAAAGAACCCTTTGAGGGTGAAAGAGGAGAGCGCAAAATAAGGTCTGAAGCTCAACATCAAAAAAACTAAGATCATGGCCACTGGTCCCATCACCTCCTGGCAAACAGAAGGGGAAGAAATGGAGGCAGTGAGAGATTTTACTTTCTTGGGTTCCATGATCTCTGCAGATGGTGACAGCAGTCACAAAATTAATAGACGCCTGCTTCTTGGGAGAAAAGAAATGACAAACCTAGATAGCATCTTAAAAAGCAGAGACATCACCTTGCCAACAAAGGTCCGTACAGTTAAAGCTATGGTTTTCCCAGTAGTGATGTATGGAAGTGAGAGCTGGACCATAAAGAAGGCTGATTGCCGAAGAATTGATACTTTTGAATTATGGTGCTCTTGAGAGTCCCATGGACTGCAAGAAGATCAAACCTATCCATTCTTAAGGAAATCAGCCCTGAGTGCTCACTGGAAGGACAGATCCTGAAGCTGAGGCTCCAATACTTTGGCCACCTCATGAGAAGAGAAGACTCCCTGGAAAAGACCCTGATGTTGGGAAAGATTGAGGGCACAAGGAGAAGGGGACGACAGAGGACGAGATGGTTGGACAGTGTTCTTGAAGCTACCAACATGAGTCTGACCAAACTGCGGGAGGCAGTGGAAGACAGGAGTGCCTGGCATGCTCTGGTTCATGGGGTCATGAAGAGTCGGACACAACTAAACAACAACAACAAAGACAGCAGGTGACAGAAATGGTGGCCAACTCATGCCTGGGGCCTGCAGGACCCCTTTTTTGTGGGGAATATTTGTACTCAAGATGGCTTTGTTTGTCATAAGTAATAAACCTTAAGGTTTTCTTGTGCTCTCAACATGCACTCCAGACTATTTCTCTCTGCACATCAGTGCAGCGTATTTACCAGACTCCCAACAGTTCTATCCAAGTTTTGCCTATTTGCTAAATTGTTCAATATTTTTCTAGGAATTTCTTGTGTAGTTCCTCCAAGTAGTCTTGATGGCTCTCACAATGGGACTGGGACTTATCCTTAAGAAATAGTGATAAAATACCATTGCAATGAGACATTATTGGTCATTGCAGCACCTTCCATTTCTTGTGATATTGTTGCTAATAACAGTAAAGCACAGTGGAGAGGGGAATTCCCTCTACCCACATGTGGAGGTTGATTTTCTTTTCATAACAATTATATCTGCAGTGATGCTATTAAAAAAGCCTACTGACTTGCTAGGAAGCTGTGTGCTGCTATGTCCAGATCAGTGATAGGATTTTATAAATACATGTGTATGTTTCCTGCTTCCCTGAGTGCTCCAGTGTTTTGCCAAGTTTGTCTTCCTTTTGAAGGAGAAATCACTGGAGACAGATGTATATTTGAAAATAAGCCAAACATTAAAAGAACAAATAGAATAATGCTGGAGGAAAACAGAATATGCACTTATAGCAGGCCACTGGAATTGCTGCCCCTGCCATCCTATCTCTTATCACTCCTGATTCATAAAGATGCTAGCTAGCTAGTTGTCAATGACAATTACATAAGCAGAATTATTTGACTCTTCATGTTTTCCTATTAACTGTTTGATTGCTAGGAATCTGATTTCCCAATAGTGCAAAAGCTAATTTACAGAAAGATAATGTTGAACCCTCACAGGAGATGGATTTATTTTATCAACCAATAATCTTGCACAACCATTACAAAAGTATTCCTCAAACAGGAAAGCACTCGTCTGAAAAGCTGTTCCTCTTCAGAAATGTGCTTCATGCAGTAAACAATGTATTCAGGGGGCAAAGACAAGCTGCTGGTGGGCCTGGGGAAATGGTGTGGGGTTAAACCTCTACTCTCTCATCCACATTGCAATCCTAATCTGAATTGAAGCTTAGTGAGACTGCTTTTCCTGCAGAAAGTGGCCGGTTCTAAGACCACTTAAAAGAAAAGTATGCTTGTCATAACATGCATTTGACCCTTAGTGGCTGTTCCTTTAGGTGATTATACTAAAGTTGCACAATTATAAATGGTGAACAAATTATAGCAACCCAATACATAAAGTGAGTCTAAACATTTCTTTCTTAATGATAATATATATTACTCCAGCTATTGGGTTAGCCAATGGTAAACATAGCCCTTGGACCAAAAAGGGGTTGGCCACTCCTGATCTAGATTAATGATTTAGGAGAGAATAATTTTTAATAAGTTTCATCAGAAAATACCCCATTCTCAAGAGAGCAGAAATGTAAATATTCTAGTTTTTAAGGAGTACTGCTTTTTAATTTTACTTTTCACTTTCAGTTATGTGTGCCAATCCAGTAGTTCCAGATGGAATAAAATTAAGTGGATTTAGAGATTCCTATACCTATGGCAGCAGTATTACATTTGAATGTAAAATTGGATACTTCTTAATCGGCAGTTATTTTATTCGCTGTGAGGAGAACGGTTCTTGGGTCCCTGAAGTGCCATCCTGCAAAAAGAGTAAGGCTTTGAAAAAAGCACTGGATTAGAATATAATTTTGTTATTCCACAATAAAAAGCCATTTAAACATAGGGAACTGGCATGTTTAAAAAGGAGTAAAGAATGTTGGCCACCAAGGTGTATTTTTGTGTTATATCTCACAAAGTTCAGAGAACCAATTGAGCTTTAATGCTTAAACATTAGTATAATAATGGTTCACTAATGCAGAAGAAGGGGCAGCCCAAATTTGAAAATACATTTGTTAGTTTTGCATGTGTCTACTCCAGTGGGGAGGACAGAAAGTAAAATCATAGTAGGAAGTACCGTAGTGTCTGGAGTTCACCAGTGCTAGGAGGAGACAATTAAGGAATCCAAGGCAGAACGTAATCAAAAGGTGGAATGCATAAAGGCTGCTGTATGGAGCTGCAAGTTCAGCTCAGCTAAGTTACAAGCAGCAAAGGCAAGGTTGGGGCTGTGTGTGCGCAATCGTAGAACTGCTAGAGTGGCAGCGAAAGCCGCGGCTCTGAGTTTGCTGCTGCCCTAGGGCTAGCCAGGTAAGCAAGAATGATGCTGGTGTTCAGCATCCGCCCCATCACATGAACCGTTGCTAGACTTATAAAAGTCAGATGGCCAATAACCTGTTATACTCGGCCCACCATCCGTTTGTTGATACTATACCAAACTTCAAGCAGTGTGATCAACAGAGTCTGCACAGCTCTAGCAGAGTCATTGAGCAGAATGTCAGGTTCTTCCTGCTTTCCAGTAGTCAGCCTTTTCTGGAGTTCCCAGTTCAGAAAACTCTTTGCTCAGACAGTTCAGTTCAAATTATATAAACTGTTCAATGTCTCATGACACAAGACAAAAAATAAACACACTAGCTACATAAAATCTAAGAGATGCAGCTGCATCATGAACTAATCTACTATAATTCAGTTCTTGTGGTTTTAAAAATAAATCTTGTAAAGACCCAAGTTTATAGAGATCCACTAGCACTTTACCATGCTAGCTCACCATGCTATGTTATCGCCATATAGCATGTTACCTCCAGCTTGACTGCCGATAACTTGGAAGTACCTCACATTCAGCCAGTGCTGGTGATTCCAACCTTGGCTTTATACCCACCACAGCATGTATACACATTCCTTAGAGAAAGGGAGGGTGGATGATTCCCTACTCCTGGCCTAGGACCTACACCTTGCCAAATGGTCTAGGACCTACACCTTCCCAAGTGCAATATTTTAAAGAAGTCCATTGAAATCTAGCTTACACAGAGATTTTGTAGCTTCACTCATCACATAGATGTTAGTCATTTGTTTCTGAAAGGGTAACTCTTATCCCGTTTGCCTAATAGCATTTGTTTTACAAGCATGCCCAATGTGTGACTGCACAGAAAACATTTCAAGAACAAAAGTTTAAGAATAATTTAACTTTTCTCCTGTTGTGTTCAAAAGAATAGGGTTTGCATGACTTGCCATGACGTAATTGGTGTTAAACTGTTTTGTGCCTTCTTACAGAGCTCAAAAACAGGGCCGTCTTAAGCATATACAGTGCCGGGGTGCAAAGATCCGCCTGGTGCTCCTAGGTTGCCCAGAGTTGTCAACCTTTTTTAAGGGGGGGACCCCAAAGTTGTTTAGGAAATAGTTGTTTACCTTTAGAACAGTTGTGGGATGCAGGGACTCAAAGCGCCAACCAACGGGGGTGCCAGCGCCCCACGCACAGGGGTGTACAAAGGGGGTGGGGGTTCCATGCTGGGGACGATGACAAAATGTTGGGTGGCACAGTCACTGGGCTGTCCGCCCGCTGCCTCCACACACCCCTGCTGCATGGCGGCTGTTTTGGCTGCGCATGCAGCACCTGGAGCGCCATGAAACGTTGTGGGCGCTGCGTGGCGCATCCTGTTGCATGCGCCAAGCTGCGAGTTCCTTTGCTGGCTTTTCCGCTGTCGGCGCATGTTCCCAGTGCCTCCCAATATGGGGTGCCAGTGCAGAATGACGGGGAATGCAAGCGGCAGCAGAGGAAACATCACCGGACAGGATCCGCATGCTCCTATTCGTCAGGATTTGTTGTTGCCGTCGGCGCGTGGCAGATCCCGTCTGGAGATAACGTTTGCATTCCCCATTGTTCTGCACTGGCACCCCACGTTGGGTGGTGCTGGGAGTGTGCGCCAACAGTGGAAAAGCCAGCAAAGGAACCCGCAGCTTGGCACATGCAACAGGATGCACTGCGCCACGCCCACGTTACATGGCGCTCCGGGCGCGGCACTGAAACAGCGGCCATGCAGCTGGGGGAAGAGTTGACAGCTGAGCGGAGCAGAACCTGTCGGAGCCCTGCAGGCTCTTCTGCTGCGGGCTGCTCAGTGCAAGTTCGGGGGCAAGCGTTGGAGTCCGGCTGTTGGCGGCTCTTCCTCGGACTCCAATACTCGGCCCCAGGCTCTTGGTCTGGCACCCCTGAGAGCCTGGCACCCGGGTGCCATGCACCCCTAGCGCCAATGGTTAGGACGGCCTGCTCAAAAATCCAGGTACCTGACACAATGGCGGCATCTTGAATCTTGTGACAGATTGTATACTATTAGTCTTGCATTTATATCTTCCAGTTTTATTTTTCTTGTTATAGTTTATCCGGAAAATTGTGGTGCTCCAGTAATGCCCAAAGGGAGTGTGTATCCATTGCAATCTGAATACACAATTGGAGATACCATCACAGTTTACTGCCATCCAAACCATTCTTTTTTTGATGAAACCACAAAGATGACTGTAAAATGCAAAGGCTACAATCAGTGGGATCCTTCTATACAACCATGTTTCTGTATGTATATAAATCCATATATAAATGTTCCTTTTAACGCCATACTCAAGACAGGTATTTCCCATTATCTACAGGTAAATCACAGATGGGCAGACACACCCACACCATTATATGTGGTTTTGACATCTTCTGAAGCTGCTTCATTCTTCTAGCAGTTTTTTGTTTACTTTTTTGTTCATTATTACATTTATATTCCACCTTTCTTCCATAGAGTTCAGGGTGGTGTACATAGGTCTATGTCTCCCAATTTTATCTGTACATCAACAGTGGAATGCTGTTTGGGCCAAGAGACAGTAAATGGCCCAAGGTCACCTAGGTAGCTTCATGGCTTACTGTGGATTTGAACCTGGTCCTTGTCTAATCCCCCCCGCCCCCCACAAAGGTATCTTAAGTACAATTTGACAGACTTCTGTCATGTGTATTTACATGAATGCTTTCACTTGCTTTCCAGAACATTGGCTGCATTGGTCTATTGGACTAAAAATGATATATTTTAATCCCAATGACAGTTGATATTTTTATTTTAGTGGTATGCTAGCTGCTGTGTGCACCTCATAATATCCTGTCCCTGATTAGAGATTCAGTTCTGGGTCCCTTTGCATGAAAGTTAGTACTGAATGTGGCTTACATGAATGTGGCTGGCCATGGGATTGCCCAGCTGCCATATATGAGCTTTCTTCTTGCCAATACCTAGAATTTTAGTCTTTGCAGTAATAATAGGTGCTGTTTCATACAAAACTTAGTTGCTCAGTAACTTCCATATTCCAGTTAATGTGGTGGAGATAACTGCAATAGCATCAGCATGCAGAAGGCCTGAAATTGAAGTATTCCAAACCACTCAGTTCTTGTACAATGTTTTTAATATGAAAACAAATCATTAGTGAAAAAATCCATTGGAGTGATAGAGCAAAAGCTGCAACTTTGGAATCCTTTCATTTTGCACAATGCAAGAATGGGATGGGGTTAGAACCATGACAAATAGGCCAGGGCTGCAGAGTTGACCAGTGGAAGAAGTAAAAGAGAAGGTACAATACTGTGGCTGTGAACTGGATTGCACCCTCTCTTAACCTTTTCCAGGGATCTACAAACTAGCTATCAATATCTAATAGGATGCATCACACCAAGCTTTGCAAACATGACCTAAAAATCTTCCTTTTAGCCCCATCCCAGGAGAAAGAAGTAACAATGCCACCTGGATGATGAAAGAATGTTCACTTAGAACAGAGAGACAGAGCTGGGTGTCATCTGCTTATTGTTGACACTTCACTCCAGATCTCCTAATGGCAGCTCCCAGACACTTCTGACAGATGTAAAATAGCACAATATTATACATAATATCAGGAAGTTTTCTTAACTTTTTTGTATAGAACATTCTGCATTTTGCAAAATCAAGTTGCACAAGTATGAATTTTTTTCCTATTTTGTGTGCAGTTTAGTACTTCTTTATATTATTTTTAATAGTTTTTTTGTGTTTTCAGCTAGAACATCACCAGACACTACTGAACTCTATATCCGTAATGGAAGAATAATCTATGGGGAGAAAGAATACTACAACATTGGAGATGAGGTTACTATTCAATGTGATATTGGCTATATTTTGATCGGATCACCTAAGATTAATTACATCGGTGGGAAGGAATGGTTGCCTGATATTCCAACTTGTGCTCTGAGTAAGCATTATATTTCTGAAAATACTGTTATAAATGCTAAATCTCTGACCGGTGAGAGATTTGGGGGTGCAAATGCATACCTCTAAGATGGTGGTACCTGCAAAAACATATATGGTTTTATTTACACATGCATACATACTTGTCATCGGTTAACTGGAATTGTGTTAACATTCTGGTCTCTGCCCATGGGTACAGCATCCATCTCATCTCCAAGCTTGGACATATCAGGGTGCTTCTCAAGAAGGATACCGGCCCCCGTCTTGCAGCTTTTGAGCAGGATACAGGAGACAACAATGATATCCATATCTAGCAAGGTATAGAGGGACCTCCACCTTAACTTTAAATGGCCAAAGCCTTTTCACAGGCAGCCAAGCTGAACTGTGGTAGTAGCTGAAGGTACAGTCCATGCCTATCCATGTAGACCTGTAGGAAGACATCAGCTACGGTTTGAAGGTGAATGCCAGAATGGTGAAGTTGAGGGGGCACATGGAAAAATCACTGACAAGCACCACTAGGCCAGGGAAGACTGGGCCAGCCTCTGGCTTGTCAGCAAGGATGGGACATCCAGAAGATAGCTATACCATGTTTCCTCCCAATAACACAGACATTGACATCCATAAAGTAGCAGTTGGTGTTCACAACCTCTTGAAGAACTATGCTGTAGAAGTACTTTTGGTTGTAGAACTCTGGACTGCAACCCTCTACAGCAAAATGTGGATACGGAATGAATCCTGGGCACCACTAGCCCATGGGAAGTCAAGCTTCTAGAAGTCTTTGAGAATTTTTATTCTGACTCTTACTTTTATAACATCTTTCAGGTAATATTTGTTTAGTACCTAGTCAGTTTCTCTGAAGATCTTGCAAGCTGAATATACCCACCCCAAAGGTGATATTCAGGGGCAAACAACCTTCTCTGAAGGCTATATTGTAAATTGTCAGCACTAGGCACTTCTGAATAGGCACTGCTCTTTGCATCCCATTTCCTGGTGCTGGATCACAAGGTGTTATCTCTTCAGTCAGAATGTAGAATTTTGACGTGGTCATCTGAAACATGACATAGAAACTAGTGTTGTCCCAACCATTACCATCCAGCATGGATAACCAGATCAGGAATGTCTACTGCATTGGGCTAAATTCTGTGTTCAGATGGTTACTCATTAGTGATGCAGCAGCCATGGTGACACATCTTGCACTCAGTTAAAACTGGTGCTTTTAGGGCATTGACACATGTATATTTGTATGCATGGATATTTAGTTTAAATGAAAATTTAATATCCATTTGTATGTGGAATTGGGTCTTGTTAGTGGTTGAATTGTCCACTCACAAATCCCAAGACCCAATACAATTATCAGAAATGGTATTTACAGACTAAAACACATTCAGAGTGGAAACAGTTGAGGTGTAACTATTTACAGATATTTGCAGAAATGCTTCATACTTCACAGCACACCTTTATGAAGACTGCTCTTTTAAGAAAATGGTCCTGGGCATTTTTCTCTTAACCAGGGTCTCCCAGCTTTTGAGGCCCCTACCCACAATTAAAATTTAAAAATGATGAGTCAACATACAAATACAAATTAACCAACCTCATTCAACAATCAAAACCTGCTTCCTTGCTTTCTTCAGTTTCAGAGCAAGAAATCCACCTGAGGCCCATGTCAAGCAGCTGCTTCTTACCCCACTCCCACATTTCAATTTCGATATTTGTACCCCGCCCATGTGACTGGGTTGCCCCTGCTACTGTGGGCGCCTTCCAACATATATTAAAACATAATAAAACATTAGACGTTAAAAGGCTTCCTTATACAGGCCTGCATTCAGATGTCTTCTAAAGGTTATATAGTTACTCATCTCCTTGACATCTGAAGGGAGGGCATTCCACAGGATGGGTGCCACTACTGAGAAGGCAAAAACCTGCTACCATGCACACACATTCAAGAAGTCCCTCAAGTAGCTGCCTGCCAGCTGCTCCATGTGACTGGCAGACAGCAAAGCAAACAACAGTTTCTGCACTTCCTCTCCCACCCCAACACACATTCTCAAAAGCTTCTGAAGTAGACGTTTGATGTAGCTGACAGGCAATAAAACAAATTAATTTTCCTGTTTGTGAAAATCTGTAAATGGTCTGCATAATCCTCAAGTATTTCGTTTTAAAATGATATTTGCAACTTTAGTATTTTAAAAGGAAGTTCTTACCACAGCAAAAAACAATTATGATTTGAGATTTGAGTCATGTAAAGTCAACATTTATTCTTTTAAACCCATGTGGTTTCTTAATATAATATTAATTTTTGAAGTGCCTGTCGTGTATGTATGGTGTGTGTGTGAAAATGAGTTAAGTAAACATACCCACCAGCTCTGATACAAAATCCACCTTGAGCTGCAGTACTTCAGTTTATAAGCCATTTCAGATGTTGCTGCCAGTCCGAATGTGTAGCCTTTCTATAATTAGTCTTACAAGGTTTTATTCTGAGACGTTTGCTTATTAGAACCATTTCCCCCTTTTTTCTAGGTGTTTTCCTGAGACTACTTATAGCTGGTATGTAATTTCTTGAAAATGAATGGGGGAAACATGGCCATGCATTATAGTTTTTTACATACCGATATTTTATACAATTTAATATGCAAAAAATATGAAATGGTATAAAACACTGCTTTGTGAAAAATGACAATAATATTATGGGGTCATAGAAAGCTGGGCACTATGTAGCCAAAGATAAGCATTTTGAAGTTTCATTGTAGAGATTTAAGAAATTGGGCCTTAAAAGTGCTTACAGTCAGTTGATGATTCTAGATTCCCCCCCACACACACTTTTTTTCCTAAATAGGAGTTTCTTTTTGTTGCACTGACTCTGGATTATTCAAGGACTGTTTGTGTGTGTTTACATATAAACACACACACACTTTATTCCAAACATTTACAAAGCACCAAAGTGTGCACAATTTTTCATATTTCCAAAGCTTGGCATCAATGCTCAAATCTTTGCTCATCATTTGTCTAATCTCCTCTGTGGGTTGAGATACATCTTTAAACTCAGTGGAGTTTACTTTCAAGTACAGTTAGTATTTCCCCCTATGGAAGCAATCCAAATAAATTTGCTGGCAAGTTTTACCTTAACATTCCAAGAGGTAGAATCAATTTCATAATAATCCTGTCTGTGAAACTGTAATTTTAGAATTTTGGCATCATAGTTATTTCAGATAGGTTCCCATAACAAAACAACAAAGACAACAAATCACCCGTCTTTACACCCTGATAATAAGTGGTTTGGTCTTAGAATGACTTGTGACCACCAAATGACAGTTTAATGTATTTTATTGTTAAGTACATTCAAGTGTGAAATGTTTATTAGTAATATTTGCAGAGCATTTTCTATGCTGTTTTTAATTATGCATCAGTTTTATTGACCTTTTGTGGGCTTTTTTACTAGAATGGTGGTGTGTGTTTCTTCTTCTTTTTTAGCAAGCATATTACCTGTATTGATCCTGACACTTAAATGGGCTTATAAGAAATGTTCACAATCAAGGTAAAAGTTTTCTTATCACCAAACTCCTATTTTCCTTTCTGTTTTGCATTTCTAAGGTCTACAACATTTTATCTAAATAAATATACTCTCCTTGTAGATAATAAATTGATATTCTCACAACCTTGCTATGGGGGCTGTTTTGAAATTTTAAAGGAAATGCAATATACTTTTTATATTAAACCAGAGCTACCAAATATTGTTAACAAAAAATGTATTAATTTCCCCTTTTTTGCTGAATATCCAGACAAGGTCAAGTTACAGTATCTGAATGCTTCATCTACCTAGGCATTGGTGTTCACTCTGTTCTGAATGGGGTTGCCCAGCCCACACGAGGCAGGGTGAAGCCAATTGGTGCCAATGCTGGTGCTGTTTTCCACCGGCAGGAGGTCAGGCAGCACTTCTTATTGTACCTCAAGTGGCGAAATGGGACACATGGCTCCTGGTTTCAGGCCGGGGTTGCCCCTTGTTTCAGCATTGTTTCAACTGGTTGTTCCTTTGGAGTGTGGAAACTTTGGTTCTCCAAATGTTTATAGACTTCAAGTGCTATCAGGCCCAGCCAGAATAGCTAGCAGTTTCTCACCCCACAGTGCTTCAGAAACTGCAATGCCTCCAAGCCCATTTCTACACACAATTCCAAATTGTTTTAAGCTTGTTCACATCTTGGGACCAGGTACAAAGGATGATCCTGTATGTACATGGTCCCGTCCATACACAAATTTCTGAAGTGGAGGCCTTTTTCTGAGTTTCATCACTATCTGAGGTCTCATGGATACTGGAGAAAGGATTTTCTCCAGAATGAAGGCTTAGCTGACGTGTTCATTGATATAATTTTGATGCCAGGTGATTTAAAAAAAAATAATCCCAAGACTTAATCAAATTTACTCTGTCACTTCTGTTCTCCGACAGGCTACCAAAGGGAGAACAATGTGGCATATGAATGAAGTCACAGAAGTCACTAATGTTGTCACTTGGGCAGTAGCAGGAAATAAAGGAGAGGCAGAAACAGAGCAAGAATACCAGATAGAAAGCAGACGTCTGGAGGAAAACCAAACCGGTCTTCTCCAATGAGTAGTTTTCAGTACCAGAGCCAAGGGGACAGTGTATGAGCCAGATTTGACATAATCTTCACAACATGAAGAGCCAATCAGTGGCGGCAACTGGGTAGACTCATCTTATTATTCTCTTTCTTTTCCTTCCCCTTCTTTCCTTCCCCTTCTTTGGCCCTTTACTTACATGTTACAGGACAGTCAGAACTCTGTTGAGGAACTCAGCAAAAACCACTGTACCAACTGTATAGGTAGGATCTCATAGTGCTGCATCCCACTACCTTTGTGTGAACTGCCCCTTTCTCCTGCTGATTGAGCATAAGATTCCTGACAGGTATATGCTACAACATGTAGTTTTATGAAGAAAGCAACAAAGGCACATACTATGCAATAGTCCCTTCTGAAATTGCAAGATTTTGAATCTAGGGCAATAATCACCTTAAAAATAAAATAACAGTATCAGTGAAACACTGTTCAGTTTGATCTACTTTTCTTCCTTTAAAATGTGTCCACCTTTTCTTTCTTTAAAACCTACTTTTTTCATCTTTTGCTAATAGTGTCTTATTCTTGTCATTTAGTAAAAACACACATGCAAGGAAGTATGACAGTTCACAAATTACAGTATCTTTTAAACCTAATTTACTCAGGTAAAGGTAAGTGCCTGGTTCAGATTCTATGGAAACTTAGATGCAGTTGCACATAGTTCAATCCTCACCAACATTATTTAAAAGAAAAAGACTACTTCAGAAGGGGTATTTTAGGAGAAGGAAGGAAAGAAGTGGATTCCCTTGCACACTAATTCTTTAAAACAGGCCTAAAAAGTGAACACGTGTGAAATAGGAACAGAGATATGAAGCTGAGAAGCAGCAGGCTTTGGGGAAAGTTAAGCACCCTTTAACTCTTTTTTTATGAAAATCTAAAGCTGAGGTTGCTGACATAGTGCCCTTGGTTTACATATTGTCTACATTTTTTTATATTCACCTCTTTCTTAAATTTAGGAATTCCTTCATGCAAATATATCATAAAGCTGAATAATTTGCATTATTCACTTACAGTCTCTGATAAGGACATAAAAACTGCATTCCTGAGATCCCTGAAGTCCAGCATTTTATCTCTAGGAGCAGCTGGCTCAGAAACACAGTATGATGACGTTATCTATTCCCATTTTTGTCCACAGTATCTGTACTCAAGAATTCTTTGTGATCTCTGTGCAGTCCTTCATATGGGTTCTGTGTCTGCATAGGGTAGCATTTGGAACCTTCTAGGATAGGTTTCCCTAACTTCATGCCCCCCAAATACTTTGGGACTGCAAATCCCATAATCCCTGAGGATTGGTCATGCTGGCTAGATCTGATTGCAGTTGAGATGCAGTTGAGATTTCCCTTCAGCTCACCTTATCAAGCAGTATGCCCTGTTTTCCCTCAGCTCCTTCTTAACCACTGCAGTGGCCCCATATTTGAAACAAGAGGAAAGATACATCTTGGTTGTTAGGAAGAAAGGAAGGAAGGGCAAAGGGAGAATCTAGTAGGTGTTTTGGAGATTCTAAGGATTATTAGAAAATCTGGCAGAAGCTGAAAAGAGCACTAAAGGGGAGAAAACAGCAGCTCGTTATGACCCCGGCCTAGTGTCCAATAACTCACTCAACAATCACATTTCAGACTTAGCTTAGCGCTCATTGTGATTTTACTCATTGCAGGAAGGCAGGTGCAGACTGGTTTACCTCAAAGAAATGGCTTAGAAGGGTTGCTGCACATTTTGCCTTATAGCTTTCCTCCTGCTAGGGCTAGAGACGTACTTATTCTTTTTAAGTGAATGCTCAGAGTTTGGGTCCCATTGCAGGCTTGGGCCCTGGTGCAACTGTATGATGATAAATATGGCCATGTGGTTGGCATCTGTCTGTCTTGGGAGAAAATGGAAGAGTGTGCCTTCAGGGATGAGGTCAAACCATTGTAATTACAGTGCCTGCTGTGGCTGTATGTCTCCCTCATTGTTTTTGCTGCATTAGCAGCACCAAAGTAACCTCTCTGGGGTGCCAGCAAGGGCATACCTAGGGGTTAGTTATGTTGGCTATCTTTATAGTAACTTGCTCCTGTATGGCTGAATCATCTATTGAACTACATTCATCTGCTTCATTCATCTGTTATTTCTTGTTGCTTCTACTGTTACACAGAAAACAACTGTACTGTAATGAACCAAATTTCATAGCATACACCCAAGAGTTCACAGGAGAATAGGTAGGGGAAATGGCACCACTTTTAACAACCCCTGTTGTACATGTGTGGCTATGGTTGCAAAAACAAATTAGTATATACATAATAAACCTACGCTGAGTGTAAACGTTATTCTTCCTCAGCCTCTCTCCCACAATATGTATAGCCTGCTTTTCTAGTTATAGTCAGTCTGCCTAACAATCTAGTTTAAGACACTCATAAAACAGATATTCAATTATATCTCAAAATTGAGATAGAATTTCAATTTTGAAATGCTCAAGGTTTCTAAGTGCCTCAATACCAAAATGAATGGAACCTGGCAAATGTGTCCAAGGAATATATTTTATTATTCGGGGATAAGAAGACGACACGAGGGAGAAGCAACATTGGCCATAACAACACTGAATTACTTCGGATGTCCTGTCATAACCTGCCGCCTTTTAGCCAGAGAGGTTTGCCTCCTGCCCCACAAACAGCGCGATAAAATTATGCATTGTATTTGCACTGGTAAGGAATTATTTAAAATGTTTCAAAACTCTGTAAGAAAAAACCCAAAAAAACCCCAAGACCACCACGTTTCCCACACGCGACGATGCTTCAATGTGAGAATCTTTGCTTCTATTTTTTTCCAAAGCCACGGCAAAACCCAAGAATTGGAAGCCTGCTTCCTCTCTAAGGCCAAACAGAAATGCCGGTAGCACGAGCGGAGCAGCGTTCGGCGCGCGCCTCCCTGCGGCCCCCTCCCAACGTCCTTCCCCGCCCCCCACCTCGCATGCGCAGCTGAGGTACTCGGCTTTCGCCGCCGCTTTCTCAGCTGGGCGTTATGCTGCGGCTGTTGTGGGGGCTTCTGCGGACTCGCCGGCTCTTGGGGATGTCGATGCTGCTGTTGCTGCTGCCTCAGGAACTGGTGGGTGAGTACGAGGAAGGCAGGCGAGTAACGACGGAGCCTCTAGCGGCCTCTAGCGACCGCTGAGCCTCCCTTTCTCGCCGCCACCTGCCCCTTCCCCTCCCGCCCGCTCGCCTTCCCGCCCTCCTCGAGAAGCTTCGCAAAACGCGGCGCGCGAGTGGGCGGGTCTTTCCAGGCGCCTGAGGTAAACGCGGGTGTCCCCCCGCAGCCCGCCAGGTGGCGCCGAGGTGTCCGTCCTCCTCAGCCGCGAGGCGGTTGCAAGCCGCCCGCCGCGTCCCAGGCTGCGGCCTCCGTCGGCAGAGCCAACTGGGCTGTCCATCATCGCAAGGGGGCTTTCTCTGCCAGGCGGCCTTTCTTACTCCCGAGGAAGCACGCATGGGGAAGACCTTGGTGCCTCCCAGAAGGGTCTTTTAGGGCGATTGACACAATAATAGTGCATTAGCTGTGGGGTTGTTCTACTTTATTCTGTGGTGCTTCACTAACTCATTATATATATATATATATATATATATATATATATAATAATAATAATTTGGATAACCTAAACCAAATTCTCGAGTGAGATAACAAACAGTGTTGCAGAGGCCCAAGGAGAGTCTGAGATCAAAGAGATCAATCCGAAGCATAGCTGTCAACTTACAGATTTGAAAATAAGGGACCAGCAGCCTTGAAAATAAGGGACCAGCAGCCTTGAAAATAAGGGACCAGCAGCCAAAATAAGGGACCTGCAGGCACTCCAGTCTTCCTGTTCTCCTGCAGTCTGGTCAAACTCATGCTGGTAGCTTCGAGAACACTGTCCAACCAACTTTGTAACCAGAGGTTCAACTGAATAGAATCTGAATCACATGCACCACAAGGCCTATGCAGCCTCAACTTAAGATGGCTCCCCAGCCTGGCTTTGCACTGCAAAGTTTGCAGCAGCACGTGCAACAAAATGGCGTCCAGCATTCAAAAACCCCTCAGCTTGCATTAACTAGCCACACACAAGGCATGCAAGCTCCACCCCCCAGCCGTTCTTAGACTTCTTATTGGGTAAGCAACACAGCCAAGCAACACAGTTGGAGCCTCCCTCCTCCCTGGCCGGCAGGGAGGGAGGGAGAGGAGTTGCTTCCTTTGAAATTTAAGGGACATCATTTAAGGGACATCTATCAGCAGCGGGACATGGTGCTGGAATAAGGGACTGTCCCTTCAAATAAGGGACACTTGACAGCTATGATCCGAAGTATTTCTTTGATGCGCGCCAATTTGCTGGCTATCTCCCAACTATCTAAAGGGCTGTCACATGGAAGATGGAGCAAGCTTGTTTTCTTCTAATCCAGAGGGTAGAACCCGACCCAGTGGGTTCCAGTTACAAGAAAGGAGATTCCGACTAAACATCAGGAATAAGTTTCTCTTCAACAGTGGAAGGGAGTCCTTCTTTCACTGGAGGCTTTTAAGCAGAGGTTGGACAACTGTCTGCCATGTATGATCTAGTTGGGTTCCTGCAGTGCAGGGGGTTGGACTAGATGACCCTCACGGTCCTTCCAACTCTACAATCTATGATTCTATGTGGCAGGGGGTTTCAGCAGGAAGTTACAGGTATGCATATTGATTGGAAGAGAAAGAGTATGACTGGCTGAAAACTTTGCAGGCTCAAGCAGTGTTGAAATGTGATGAACATCAATGGTCACGAGTATGCAAGGCGCCCCTGTAGCTTTTAACATGGAGCTGACCATTTTTTACATGATTACAAAACTTGTGTAAGAAAAGCTTTGCTGAGTTAAGCAACATCACTTTGATTTTTTAAAATAAATATATTGTTGTATATAAAATCATCTGAACAACAACAACAAAAAGTCCCTTCCAATTCTGGTTTCTCAGTGGCCATCTAAATAGCTTTGGGAGCTCAAAAACAGTGAAGTAATACTGTTTGCTGGTGATATCCAGCAGGTGTTATTGTAAGCCATACTCTTCAGATAGTGTTATACGCATTACTAGCCTTGTTAAGGTTAAGGTACTTGTTAACCTTGCTCATTTTGTATCCATTCACAGCTACAGTATCCTGTTTATTTATTTTGATGTTGAAATGCCAGTTCGTCAGTGAAGCATTGCTACAATCCACATACAGTGGTGCCCCGCAAGACGAATGCCTCGCAAGACGGAAAAACCGCTAGACGAAAGGGTTTTCCGTTTTGAAGTTGCTTCGCAGGACGAATTCCCCTATGGGCTTGCTTCGCAAGACGAAAATGTCTTGCGAGTCTTGAGATTTTTTTCGCTTTCCCCCCCCTTTATCTAATCTGCTAAGCCTTTAATAGCCTTTAATAGCCTTTTAGCAGCTAATCCCCTAAGCCTTTAAGCCTTTAATAGCCGCTAAACAGCTGATAGCGCTAATAGCGCTAATCCGTCAATGGGCTTGCTTCGCAAGACGAAAAAACCGCTAGACGAAGACTCTTGCGGAACGGATTAATTTCGTCTTGCGAGGCACCACTGTATAATAATATTACTAAATAATATTCCATGTCTTCATTATTTATTTAAATCTGATTGGAGTCTGTTTGATTATCAGTGCATTCAAAAAATAAGTTCTGTGGAAATGATCTGAATTGCCTCTCAATACCAATACTTGCAATAGTAGTCCAGTAATCCAATTTCAGATTGGATGATATATGTAATGTAGCTGTAACTGGCTTCTAGTTTTCAGTCTAATATTCCATACATTCCCTTGGACTACAATTCTATGCATAGCAACATTAGACTAAGTTTCAGTGAAACAGAGTGAGGCTTATTTTTAAAGTAAACATGGATTGCGTTGTTGGTCACAGAACCCTGCTTTGACATTATAGCCTTGGACCTGCATTGTAAATGGTGATGTTTCTACATCAAATGTGTATAGCAGCATATGTGAGAAGTGCATGCTCATCTGTTTAGCATTGTTTCACTGAGGCTGGAAATAGTAATTAGTCATGACTTCCCAGCATACATATATGGGTTGAAACAGAAATGTTTTATATTTGTAATAGGTTGGTGGGATACATTTCGGTTCAAAACTTTGTGGAAGTTTTTTTGTGTTTGGACTTTGGTTTTATTTTAGCTTTTATTTATGATCTATTCATTTATTTACTTTAAATATTTGACCTTCTCTTTTTCTCTCTCTTGTCCATGGCCAAATCTTTGCTGTTTGTTTTACCACATTGCAGATATACATACCTGGTAGCACCAGCACATGTCTCCTCCTCCCTGCTATTAGGACTGCTTTGCCCTTCTCCTTTGGGGGACATTCCAGCAGGAACTCTTCATTTGAAATGAAGAAAATGTGTATTGTATAAGGGAGCACCAGTGCTAGTTTTGCTGGAGTTCACACAGGGGGGGTCCAAGGAGACTGAGGTTTAAACTGAAGGTGTCTGCTAATACACAGTAGTTCATGCACTCATCTTGAAACATTTTCATATAGGTATTATGAAGTGTTACATGTTCATTTCTGTTAGTTATACCCCCCCCCCAATATTTGTTCTGTTGGTTGATATGACAAAATATTAAATATAGCAAAGTGGTGAATAACATTTTCAGTTCCAATGTTTTCTGTAACATTTTTAACTATTGTCTTTTTAAAGTGTGTGGAGAGGCCTGCAACATGGCTGACTTACCAAATTTTACATTTTCTGAGGTGTATGAAGAACTTACTGGCTTTGCTGTAGTATACCAATGCAAAGATGGTGCTGTAAGATTGCCTGGTAAAAGCACCGTCACTTACTGTCGTGATGGTTCCTGGACAGAGTTGGAAGAGCCATGTAAATGTAAGTGCTGCTTAATTATTAATTAAAAAAACCTGGTTATTTCTAAAAGCTTACTCTAATTTTTCAGGCTTCTATGTGACAATCCTGGCTGGTATAAGCCAGAGTTCCCTATTAACATCTGAACCAGGAAATTCATTCTAGGAAAATAAATGAGAATATGGAGTGAAGTTTACTGCCTCATTCTTGAAGCTCTGTAGTCTGTGTTCCCAAATATTCCCAAATCCGTGACTCCACATGTAACCTATTAAAGAATCACAATTTCTGGTCATTACCCAACCCTGCCAATTTTGAGTCTGTTTTATTATGGTTGTTCCCATTTGGTGTGGAACACAAAATTCCACAATTTATTTGTGGAATCTAGTAAGTTGCTCCCATTCCTTGAGATGCCTGTTTTGTCTACAGTGACACATACCTTAGTTATATCCCATTTGGATTACCGAAACATGTTCCACGTGGGGCTGTCTTTGAAAAGTGCTCAGAAACTTCCAACTGGCTCAAAGAGCTGCAGCCAGATTGTTGATCAGGGTTGGTTATAGAGAGCATTCAACTCCCTGTCACAACAGCTGCATGGCTACTGCTCTGTTTCCAGGAAGAATTAATAGTGCTGATTATGACATATAAAGCCCTATACAGCTTAAGTCCAAGCTATCTGAAAGACCATATTTCCTCATACAAATACGCCTGGTTTTGAAATTTTATGGGGAGGCCCTTTCTCAGTCCTGCCACCCTCACAGGCATGCTTGGTAGGGATGCAGGCGAGGGGCTTCTTGGTGGCTGCTCCCAGGCTTCGGAACTGCTTCTGTAGGGAAACTAGACTGGCTCCCTCCTTGTTGTCCTGGCAGGTGAATACTTTTTGGGAACTGACTGCTTTTAATAAAAAGTCTGGGGCTGTGTTGTTTTTTATTGTAATTATTTGTATGGTTTAAAAAGAAATGTTAATGTGTTTAAAGCAACAATTGTTGCATGATATATATTTTGGATTTTTCTATGTTGTCTGGTAATAGTTTCACTTATTTGCTAACTTGTTCATTTTTTAAAATGAATTTCCTGTGCAGTCCCTCCAGACATTCTTGGTGGATCTCACAACAGGACTGGAATAGTGATACAATACCATTGCAATGATACTTTCTTGCTTATTGAAACACCTTCCATTTTTTGTGATATTGTTGCTAATAATGGTAAAGCACTGTGGAGAGGGAAACCCCCCCAAATGCACAGGTCATTTTTATAGCAGTTTTTCTTTCATTGATGATTTGTTTATTGTCAAATATACAAGTAGACCAGAGGTGGAGGGAAACAGAATGCACATTCTTAATAGGGCATTGGAATTGCTGTTCACCTGCTGCCGACCAATGTATCTCTCTCATTACTCCTGATTAAAAGAGATGCTAGCTAGTTAGGTGTCAATGGCAATCACATAAGCAGAATTAATTGACATTTCTCGTTTTCCCAATAACTGTTTGATTGCTGGGAATATGTAGTTTTTCAGCTGTGCAAGTGCTAATTACAGGGGGAAATAATCTGGATCCCTGGCAGGAGATGGACTAATTTTCACAACCACTAATTTTCACTGCACAGACACTACAAAAGTATTCTTCAAACAGGAAAACAGGAGAGTATTTTTAAAAATAAGCTTCATCAGAAAATATCCCATCTTTAAGGAAATAGAAATGCACAGATTCTATTTTTTAAGGAGTTTTGCTTTTTAATCTTACTTTCAGTGGTTATATGTGAAAATCCACGAGTTCAAAATGGAATAGAATTAACTGGATTAAGAGATTCCTATACTTATGGCAACAGTGTTACAATTGAATGTAAAACTGGATACTTCATGATTGGAAATCATTACATGCTCTGTGAGAAGAACGGTACTTGGGTCCCTAAAGTGCCATCCTGCAAAAAAAGTAAGACTTTGAAAAAAATCACAGGATTTACATTTATATTTTATGATTCAACAATTAGAAGCTGTTTAAACTTGGAGAAATGCTGTGTTATAAAAGAGTAAATAATGTATCATGTAGAGTTTTAAGCTGAAGTGTATATATTGACATTCTTCTCTATTATGTCTCATGTAGGGATCTTGGCCGAGTTCAGAGAACACTATTGTAAAAATAGTGCACTAATGCAGAAGGAGAGGCAGCCCAAAATCAAAAATATTTATTCAACACATTTATTTCTGGTGTCATTCAGCCACTGGGTTGGGTGATCACCCTTGTCCAGGACAAGGCAGGAGCGAAAAGGTTTCAGGGAAGTGCGACGCTCCTAGCACCAGTTTTTCACTCCTGCCTTGTAGTGAAGCAGTCAGCTATCTTCACTCCCACATTACTTCTACTTTCAGCCAGCAGCTCTTATCCTTCTACCTATTTTCCTTACATCTTCTCTGTTGTTAGCCAGTATTTACCTTTAATCTTCATATTTGCATTGTTTTTACGTTATCTCCTTTGAACTCCAGATAAGGTCACTGAACAAAGCTGCAAGTTCAGTCAGTGAGGTTACAGACAGTAGCAGTTCATGCGACTGAGTGGAACTGCCCTCCTGATGCTGGTGTCACTGCTGATTACCTGGACGGGGTTCAAGCAGGGCAATGTTGGGGCTTTGTGTAGTGGTTGGAGTCCTGGACAGGGGGCAACGGGGGTGGGGAGAGGGGAGATAATTTCATAAGGCAAGCAGAAATGTGCTGACAGAGTGAACTCCTTAGCACCAGTTTGAATTCCAGCCAATATGAATTAGACAGCCAAGGAGGATGACATGAGAATGTTTCCTTCTTTCAAAGTTCTGGAACCTTCCCATGTGCATGCCTAGTATGTGCACATTCTGAAATCAGCCTTGCAAATGAATCTATTAAAATGTCTACCTTAAAAGAGAGTATATGTAGCCTCAGTGGTCACACAGATGTAGGTTATTCATTTGTGTCTGAAAAGATCACGCTTCTTCACCTGATTGCCTGTGAGCTATTCTTACTCATCACCACAACTGATCAAGTGGTTATTTTATAAGTCTGCTCTATGTGTGACTGCTCAAAAAACTTAAGAGAATTTTCAGAAAAATCAAATCTGTTTTCTCTTGTGTACTGTGGAACAAGGTTACTTGGTTTGGCCATGAAGGAATCAGTAGTAAACTGTGTTTTGTGCCTTGTCTTCTTACCACGCTCAAAAATCCAGATACATGATATTATGATTACAACTTGACTCTTACCGCAAATTTATAAAAGCAAGGCTAATATTATACAGACAATAATTTTTATCTTCTGCAGCTTTATTGTTCTTGTTACAGTTACTCCACATATTTGTGGTGCCCCAGTAGTGTCCAAAGGACATGTACATCCATTGCTATCTGAATACAATGTTGGAGATGTCATTGATGTGTACTGCAATCAAAACTACTCTTTCATTGATGAAACCACAAAGATGAGTGTGCGATGCCAAGGCTACAATCAGTGGGATCCTTTTATACCACTATGTTTGGGTATGTATAGAACCAGTTTGAGAAGCACACAAATATGTTCCTTCCTCAGTTGCTCCATACCCAAGATAGATGTTGCCCATTATTGTAAATCACAGATGGTCAATCTTCACCCCCATCTACAGCCCTGTGAGGCTGTTCTAAAAAGAAAAGAAAAAAGTAGATAAAACGAGCATAATTATTTTAAGTGATGCTAGTCTGCTATCAAGTAAACATTTCGTTTGGGATTTGAGCAGTGAGCTACATCTCTTCCCCTTGTATAATCCTATTGGGGCAAATACCTATAGTCTCTGAATCCTCTCATTCCTCATAATGCAGGACTGGGATGGGACTAGAACAATGGCTTTTTAGCTCATGTTGGAAAGCAGAGTGCTGTGTATATTACTAGATAACTACCTTGTTGAGGTTTTTGGGTGAAGTTAAGAGAAAGTGCAATCATATTGCTTTAAAGTTGGCTATCCCAAGTTTCTAATAAGACACGTCACACTCAGCTTTTCAAACATGGCCTTCCTCCCAGGAGGAAGAGGCAAGAGGGCCACTCTGATGATGAAACAGATTCAGTCCCTTGCCTCAGACAGCAAATTTGGGATGCACTGAGCCTAGGGCTTGCCGATCGGAAGGTCGGCAGATCGAATCCCCATGGCAGGGTGAGCTCCCGTTGCTCGGTCCCAGCTCCTGCCAACCTAGCAGTTCGAAAGCACATCAAAGTGCAAGTAGATAAATAGGTACCACTCTGGCGGGAAGGTAAATGATGTTTCTGTGTACTGCTCTGGTTTTGCCAGAAGCGGTTTAGTTATGCTGGCCACACGATCGTGAAAAACTGTCTGTGGACAAACGTCTGCTCCCTCAGCCAGTAAAGCGAGATGAGCGCTGCAACCCCAGAGTCGTTCACGACTGGACTTAACTGTCAGGGGTCCTTTACCTTTAATTTAGAGGGGTGAAAATGTTGGGACCATCCAAAGCTACCCTTGCAACTTTTGCCTCATGCAGTAGTGAGAAAATATGCAAAATCCATGTATTATGAGCATGTTTTCTGGAGTAGCTGCTCCAAAAGCCTACATGCCATTATGGCTGGTGTCATCTTGGAAACAATTAAGCTTCTTCCTTCCCCTGCTAAAAGCTACCATTTGGGGGAAACAGTCTGAATACATCTGTGAGAAGGGAGAGAGCGTAGAGGAGGGTGCCAGCTAGAGTGGATCCTGTTTGAATTAGTTTACGTCATGAACAAGACAGGCTAAGGTCAGCTCTCCTATTAAATTTGAAGATATTTGTATACACTCTTATGCTTAAACCCTTAGTATATTCCAAATCTATATACATCAGAGAGGTTTTTTTAACCTTTTGGTGTAGAACATTATGCATCTTGCACAAGTTGCACAAGTATGATTTTTTTTGGTTTTGGAACACTTTGGTTTTGGAACAGACTTCCGGAATGGATTAAGTTTGAGAACCAAGGTACCACTGTACAAAGAAACAAAGCATTGCTTTATCATTTATAATAGTTATTTGTATTTTCAGCAAAAACATCACCAGACACTTCTAACTTCTATATCCATAATGGAAGAATAACCCAAGGGGTGAAACAATACTATACCCCTGGAGATGAAATTTCTGTTCAATGTAATGCTGGGTATACTTTGATCGGGCCATCTACAATTACTTACATTGGTGGGAGTAAATGGTCACCTAATATTCCAGTTTGTAAACTGAGTAAGTATAATATTTGTGAAAATGCCAAGAGATGTTGGGGGTGCCAGTCAGGTTTGGTTTCATTAGAATGAAAGTCACTGAAGACTTTTAATTATGCATATATACTAACTGAGCATAAGGAAATAAAGCTCACAACATCAGCACTCTAACCAATACTGGTTATCCATTAAGTTTCTAGAGAGGGAACCATAATGTGAGAGAGGTAGAATGCGGAGTCTCCCAAGGACCAGTATTGGAACCAGTGCTTTTAAACTTCTTCATAAACGGTCTAGCATTACGACAGAGCAGTGAGGTGACCAGGTTTGCTGGTGATACTAATTTTTTCAGGGTTGTTAAAACAAAGAGAGATTGCGAAGAGCTTCAACAGGACCTCTTCAAATTGAGCGACTGGGTGGTAAAATGGCAAATGCAATTCAATGTAAACAAGTATACAAAAAAAATCTCACCTATATGCTCATGGGGTCTGAACTGGAGGTCACAGACTAGGAGCAAAACCTTGGGGTCATAGTAGATAGCTCAGTGAAGATGTGGACCCAGTATGTGGCAGCCATGAAAAAGGCTAATTCCATTCTAGGAAGCATTAGGAAAGGAATTGAAAATAAAACTACCAGGATCATAATGGCAACATAGAAATATTTGGTGCAACCACATTTGGCATACTGTGTACAGTTCCAGTCACCTTACTTCAAAAAATATTGTAGAATTGGAAAAGGTTCAGAAGAAGGCAACCAAAATGATCAAGTGGAAGGAGCGACTCCCTTATGAAGTAAGGTTGCAACATTTTGGGACTTTTTAATTTAGAGTGAAGGCAAGTAAGAGACAACATGGTAGAATTTTATAAAAATTGACATGGAGAAATTGGATAGAGAGAAGTTTTTTCTCATTTCTCTCATAACCCTAGAACTCTTAGGCTGAATGCTTGAGGATTCAGGACAGATAATAGAAAATACCTACTTCTTTACACAGTGTTTAGTTAAACTATGAAATTCACTCCCCTAGGCGGTGATGGCCACCAACTTGAATAGTTTTAAAAGTGGATTAGACAAATTCATGGAGGAGAGGTCTACCGATGGCTACTCGCCACAGTGGCTATGCTCTGGCCTCGATAGTTGGCGGCAGCAATACTTCTGAACATCAGTTGCTGGCTGAAACTCTTCCTGCTTGGACACGGATACACAATTAGAAAAGGACTATGGAACTTTGTTTCAATATATGATTACGGTGGCGAGACTATTATATGCACAAAGATGGAAAGATTAATCATTATCAACAATGGAAGAATGGTTTTTTAAAATTTAACTAGGGGTGCCATATATCCAGAATTTCCCAGATTGCCGGGATTTGGCCGTCAGAAACAATTTTTGGGTCACTTTCTGAAATATGGCAACCCTAAATTAATGGACCCAGCTGAGATGGCAAAATTGACGTTTAATCAGATAAAAGTCATTGTTGACATTTACTAAATACTGGAAAGCTCTCATAGACTTTTTGCATGAAAAAATAAATAAATAATGGATGGGGGGGTTGAAGATAAGGTTTGTTGATAGAAAGTGGTTTTGTTTGGTGTTATATTGGAATAGATGAAGTGATTATTGTTTATATATAGCGGACAGATGAAGAATGGGAAGTTCTTTAATCTCTGAACTTTATCTTTTCTATTTCCTATTGAAAACTCTTTTCTATTTATTTTTTCTTATTTCTCTATCTTTTTACTTTTTTGTCATGTTTTTATCTTAATGTTGGACAAAAAAGATATTTGAGATCAGGTTTTGTATTTCTCTTTATAAACTCTAATGAAATTTATTTTTTAAAAATGAATATCAGATGCTGGAAACCACAGGAAGGGTGAGTGCTCTTGAGCTCAAATCCACCTCTTGTGATATGAGATCTATATTGAGCTCCAGTACTTCCTTTTATAATTCATTTCTGATGTGGCTAAGTCTAAATAAGTAACCTGTCAATAATTAGTCTTTCCTCTCCTCTTTTCTAGGTATTTTCCTCAGATTGCTTATAGCTGGTATGTAATTTATTGAATATGAATGGGGAAAATAAAAAGATTCATTATAAATGTTTGCATGCCAAGGTTTTATACCAGTTCATAGATTTTTTCACAATAGCAAAATAGAAAGTGTGGCACTCTCCAGCCAGAAATACACATTTTAAAGTTTATTTTATAAGAGAGATATAAGCCTATGCTTAACTATCACCAGCTGTGTTCACAGTCCTCCACATTTCAGAAGTTTTTCACCAGTGCTCAAATCTTTGGTCATCATTATCTAAACACAAACCTGCAAGTAACTTGTAGGTTTTGTTTTGTTTCTTTTTGAGTTACAGTTTTAAACTGCTTAGAGAGAAAATTAGTATTTTGCACACACACACCCCAGGAACAAATAAAGTTGTGCGGAGGGCTTTTCCCCCAGCCAGAACTCACCAGAACTCAGTTCCGGCACCTCTCAGGTGGGCGCCATGGCCATTCTAAGAGAACAAGGGAGGTGCTCATGGTGAGTTCTGGCACTTCTCTTCCTAGAGAAATAGCACTGGTTGTGTGCCTTTAGACTCTAGATTTTGCAGAATATTGCAGCTGCACACTGGAACTGTATGTTTGTGCAGTTAACATGGATTAAAAGGCTCAACAAATACACTTTAAAAAACAATCAGACTTTTATTATTTGGAAAGTAACTGGAAAATGCATTGAAAGGTAGGTGTGTGATGCATGGATGACTAGTGGGAAGACATTTAAACACCCCGCAAGCAATCAGGATAAATGATCATTCTTGCAAAACTTCTCCAAAAACAAATCAGAACAATTGCTCAATGAAGACTGGATTGTAAGTATTCTGCAAGCAAATCTGCTGAGTGATGAATTAACGACCCATTAATTTTTCTTAGAGTTAACATTGGTAGGATGATTCACATAAAAGTCCTGCCTCTCACCAATCTTTGCCACTAATAGTCTAGGGATCACCAAATGTTAACAGTATTCAATAATGAAGTACTGTTCTTTATGCCTCAGGTAACACTGGATAAAATTTCCAAAATGCCTGTTTTTAATTGTACATCAGTTTTCTTGGACTTTCATGAGCTTTTTTTCTTGTGTTCTTTTTCTTTTTTAGCATGCATAATGCCTGTAGTACTCGTGGCAAGTAAAATGGTTCATAGGAAATGTTGTTCACAAGAAAGGTAATTTTTTTCTTAATATCAAACTCCCCTTTTCCTGTTTCTTTTACATTTCTAAGGTCTACCTTATACATTAACTACACAGAAATTATCTCCATGTAGAGGAAACACTCCATGCTGTATCATCTGAACTGCAGTGCAAATTTTGTTTTTCCTATGAATGACCTGACTGGGTTGCTGATCTGAGATATGGGTATATGGGTGTTCAAATAGTAAAATGCTACTATTTGTTGTACATGGGGATATATATATTTCTATTTCTATTATTTCTATTACTATTTCTATTATGGTTTGTTTCACTATATTTGAAAATCAAGAAAATGTATTTTTTAAAAATAGTAACACTTAAGGGCCACATATAACACATAGCATCTTACTGATATATCAGCATACACTGTCAAATGTGAAACCATATATTTAGCTTGCTGAGAGCATACCTTTAGGGAAACTGTTGTATAAAGTAGCTTCCCGATATGCAAAATGGTGGCAATTCAGAACCTCAGATAATTTAAAATGTGGCTGCTGGATTGCTAACTGGGATTATGTATTATACCAGTGTTTTAACAACTGCAGTGCCTGTGCCTCCAAGCCTGTTTCTAGGCTTGTTCTTCATGGGACAAGGTACCTGAAGAATTATCCTGTCTATTTATGTGTCTGTCTATACCTAATATATTATGTACAGGCACTTTTCATTTCTGAATCAGCTGAAATGTGCATAATGAGGAAAGAGCCTTCTCTGGAATGAAAGCTCAGCTGGCACATGCAGTGATAGAATTTCAGTACCGTGTGATTTATTTTTTTTAATTTTCCAAAGATTTTTAATCAGATTTACCCTGACACCTCCATTCCCCAGCAGCCTAATGGTAAAGAGAGAGCAAGAGAGAGAGCAAAAGAGAGCAGCAACCAAAGAAGGTATTTTGTTGCCAGAGACCTTGGAAGAGTCAATGGCAAAATTTAAGCTAGAACACCAGAAAGAAAATGGAAGGCAGCAGGAGAAGCTAGTAAGTTTTAGTGAGCTTCCCATTAATACAACCAAGGAAACAACAGATGAAGCAAACCCAACATCATCTCTGCATGAGGAGGGACCAATCAGTGAAAGCAACTGGGTAGATTCTGTTTATTTTCTCTTTCCTTTTCTTCTTGTTCTTTTGACCCTGAAAACCCCTATACATGTTAAAAGACAGAGGCAGTCCTCTGCTGAGATGCTCAGCAAAGGCCACTGCACCAAATGTAAAAGTAGAATTTCATAGTGCTGTATCCCACAGGAACCCTCTGTGTGAGTCTCCTTTTTCTCTTGTGGACTGAGCGTAAGACCCTTGACACTACAGGTAAGTGTTACTATGTGTATTTTTATGGCGCATATCACGCAGTAGCCCATTTTGAAATGGCAAGATTTTGACTCTATAGCCATAATCATTCTAAAAAATAAAACTATAATTGTATCAGTGAAATGTCTGACTTGGTTTCTTTAACACCAGAATCGTTTTTGTTCATTTTTTTCTAATGTTATATCTTTTTATTGTCATTCAGTAAATAAGCACATATGGAAGTATGACAATTCACTAATTACAATGTTCCTCAAACCTACACCTGTAATTTACACAGTTACAGGTAGGTATCTCTTTCAGATTCCACTTTTCAATGTTTAAGTAATGAATATGGAAATTCTGTAAGTGTAGTAATATATAAACAAAAGAGTAGGCATCAGCTTGAGTAGAGGTCTGTGGGCCAATTTAAACTTAGATGCAGATGCATATGCTGCAATCCCAACAGTTACTTTTTGGAAGAAAAAAGCCACCTCAGAAGGGGGAAATTTAGAACAAAGATGGTTGCTTTGCCCACCACTGTTCTGCTCTAAATCAGTCTTCAGAGTTGAACACAAGTGGGATGGGAGCAGAGATATGGAGCAGAGAAGCAGCAGGCTTTGGAAGAGTTAAGCTCTTCTCTGCTCTAGATCCCTCATCCTGCAAGCTGCTTTTGCTTTAAAAACAATTGCAAAACTGGAATTACCACTGAAATTTAATGACACACACCTGTATGTGGACACCGTCCCTCTCCCTTTTGTTTTCTCACAAGGTTATAAATACTGTATTGGCTTAGACAATAAATGAAAGCTTATGTTAAGCTTCTCAACACCTGAAAATCTAAAACTGGGATGGCAAACATAGTGTCCTCTGGCTGCTCTTTGACTACAGTTTTCTGAAGGTGCTCCAAGGAATCCAATGAGGCATTTTGTGAAGTAGGGTGCCTGCTCAAGGGTGCCATGCGATCTTCATTGGTAAGCAAAAAAATATTACTAGATACTGGAAAATCTACTAAGTCTTGACAAACCTCTAACCACTATTATTACTATTATTATTATTATTATTATTATTATTATACTCATCTGTTTCTTAAATTGGTGAATTATACAAACATTTCATAAAACTGAATAATTTGCATTCTTTGTTTAGTCTCAGATAAGAACATAAGAACTGCATTCCTAGGTAAAACTGAAGTCCTTGAAGTCTGGCCCTTTTCTCTGGGAGAAACTGGCTCATAAGCACAGTATAAGGATGATAGCTTTCCCCTATTGCTTGTCCCCAGCATCTGTACTCAGGATTATTCTGTGGTCTCTGTACAGTCCTTCATATGGGTTCTGTGCCTGCACAGAGCAGCATCTGCAACTTTCTAGAGCAGGTTTCGCTTAGTGCCCTCTAGATGCTTTGGACAGCAAGTCCCATAATCCCTGAGCATTGGTCAAGCCGGCTAGGACTGATGTGAGTTGCAGTAGAAAGTATCTAGAGGACACTAATGTGCAGAAGGGTGTTCATGCAGAAGGCACTTAAAACATTTTGGTGGCAGGTCTGCTTCTAGCCCTTAATATATATCCTCAAGTGGTATGCCCCTGTCTTCCTGCTTGGTTCATTATTGACCACTGCATTGGTCCCATCTTTGAAAAGTCCCCCCCCCCCCCCGTTTTATTTTATCTCTATGCAGTTCTTTTCCTTTCAAATGTTGCATTTCATTTTACCTCAGTGTTTTCTCCATGCTTTCTTAGCACACCTCAGTGTTGGTTCTCAAAGTATGTAAACCGAGGCAGCAAACTTTGTCATTCAGATAGTCATAATTGTTTGCTTCTTGGCTTTGAAAAGGGGCAGGTGTTGGACACTTGCCCCACTGTGTCAATTTTATGAGACCAGCATACCAAAATACATCCACTGCCTTTGGCTTACTTTGCAAGAGCAAACTCACTCTGCTGGAGTCACCCAATCCCCACACCCACAAAAACTGGCTATGCAATTGAGCTCAAACACTGCGATTTTCATTGCTGTTGAATCGAGTTCACCTTCACAGGCCTCTCCAATATAATACAGTTGCAAGCACTGTAACAGTCCCCTTGAGCCTTACTATTCACTTTGGGACCCAGGCCATTGACAACTTCTACATCCCTTGAGTCTGGTCTTACTACTTTCATATTAACACTAGTTTCAGTTCCAGACCATGCCAGGGAGGCAGCTCCTTTGACTGTGAGGCAGTGCACCTATTTAGACTAACTTGACTGCCATATTTTCAGAATGCAAGCAAGGGGAAAAAAGTATCAGGGAAACAGACCAATGACTTGGGTTCTGCTGGATTTATACATAATAAAAACCTCTGTTCATTATTCTTCTGCTGCCCGGGCTACTGTCCCTCTCAGCCAATATGGCTGTCCCTGCAGCAACTATTTGCACACTGGAGCAACATATGAGAGAGAGAGCTTGTCAGCTAGTTTCCATGCATGTGGTTTAACTATTGCTCCCCTTGATGTACAATCTCATTTGGCTCAGACAAATGAGAAGGGATGTAAGGTGGATGTAATGGTTTGAAAGTTTTAACCTAATGCCACATCCTTACTCTGCAGTGCATGCCTGTGTATCTCAGCATCAACATTATCTCTGGGAGAAATCCTTTCTCTTCTTCAAGCATCTCCTAGATGACAGGGGAGGGCTCACACAACCAGCATGAGGCTAGTTGCCTTGCAAAGCAAGAAATCTATACCTTTAATCATATGATGGACTGTGACTCCAGAGCCATGTAAGGCTCTGTCATTCTCCATTTTCATACTTGGCTTTAGAGGAGGATTAAAAAACTCTTCTGCAATGGGGCAGTAGAAACAGAGATCAGGGTACAAAGGCTTGTACCCTTCAAAGAATTTTCCCATTGCCAAGAAAGATACCTCTAGCAGATGCATGACACTTTGGGTTTTCTCTTCCTTCATAAACCCCCAAAAGTTCTAGATTGCTGTTTTTTCCAGCATCCTCCCGTTTCTCCTTATCAAGTCAGGCTTTATTTCAACAGACCAAAAAGATGTCTGCTTTCATATCTCAATTCAACCAATGCATTTGTGTTTCCTTCCAGACCATTGCTTTCAGTTGAGAGTTTTGGTGCTTGGCTCTTAGCCACACAGCTCACAGAATTTTCACAAAATGCAACACAATAATTGCTGCACATCTTGGTCAACAAGGCATTTCCAGCATAGCACCAGCCATCAGCATATACTGCATTCCCATGTGAGGTCCTCAGAATCATGTTCCACAAGCTAGAGCTTCACTTGATGCCAATGTGTCACTTGAAGTTTATAGGTGCTCACTTATGTTTCATAGCTAGTTTCACCTGTTTGCCCTCTGGCGAGCTCAGACCCCATTGCTTTAACTGTCAGTCCCAAATAACTGTTGGGTATGCTTAGGCTAGAGAAGAGACATGGTAACAGGTGACATGATAAAACCCTGTTACATAGATGATGCATTATCAACAAGTTCAAGGTTCAAGGAAATTTTGACTAAACATTTGGAAGAATTTCCTGATTTTACAAATAGTTTTATTCCCATATGCCCATACATTTTAGTAGTTCTGCTGTTATAAACATAAGCACACCAGCACAGCTCATTATGATTTAGCTGTGCTACACTCAGCTGCTTCTTTTAAAGTCACTTTTCATTTTAGAAACTTACCAGTGTTGTTGTATAATATTTTATATTGGTTTATTTTCTTTTTAGGCTTACATTGACCACTTCCTTAAAGCTACAAGGGATAAACTGTAAATTCTGAAGAGTATTTTGTACTTATGTGAATCAAATACTTTGAGGTTGAATTTGTGTTGTATATATTATTTTGCAAGAAATAAAGCATATACATGAATACAAATCTCAACATTTTAAAATGCTTATTAGACACTGTGCCACTTTGAGCCTTTTTTGCTTACATTCAGTGGGTGCAAATATCAATAGGTTTATCAGAATTCTTCAGTATGTAAAACATAGTGGGTAAACTAGATAGACTGTAATCTATAGTGAAATGAAATTGTATTCAGTTTCAACCCATTTTATACATAAGAACAAAGTATTTGCCTTGCTGCATTGGCCACCATTGCCTTTTATAGGAGTGAGTTTTATAGTTAAACTCTGCGCTGTGTGGATATGTAATATAGCTGCTAGGCAGAGAACAAGACCAGGGAAAAAAACTGAGCAGGAGAAACTGCAGCTGACTAATCTGCTTCAGGTGTGGACTTTCCTGAATAATATAAGCAGCAGTAGCAACAAATGGCTGGTTCCCTACCCCTGAGAACTTGCAAAATTTGATAATGATGAAGACAACAAAAGGTAAAAACAGATGAGTGTGAGTAATGTGCTGTGTGTTGGCAAGTAGATGAGTGTGAGGTTTATGAGTAATGATTAGTTTGTATTTCAGGATATATTTCAACTCTAACTTAATCATGATAAATTACAGTAAAGTAATAAAAAATGTTTTTATTGTTTTTTAAATACAGTAGTTTTTAAAAGATAGTTCTGACTTAGGCTTGAGCAAATTTAAATGCAACTATCCCAGCTAAATAAAGTACAATTTGGCAGTTTTAGAACAAGGATTATACTTGCACACTCCCTACTCACTTCAATTTTCTTTTATTGTATGCTGTTTTTTGTGCTAAGACCATGTTTTGTTAAAGCCCGTTTCCTGTTACATCTAAACTAGGAAACAGAAGCATACTAGATTGAAAGTAGATTGCAACAGACTACAACCAATTAATGGCCATTGCATCAAAGATATGTGCAGGCAGTATTCATTCTACATGAGATGTTCACAATATTGTCATGGATTCTGTAAAGAACCACACATCTCTCTCTATAGGTACTTGCTCCTCTGTAGCAGAATAGTACAACTGTGTATGTTCCCTTCAGACTGTCTTTGTTACTTCTGCTGTTCCTTAGAGAACAGCTGCAATGAAGTAAAGAAACCACTGTCAAGCCCATTAATCTCTACCCATCCCCTCCTACCTTCTCTTCCTTCCTGGAAAAATACAATTGTCTTCTATGTTGCTTCCTTTACAGTTCTTATGGGATCTTAAAACATCCCATATGCTGGTAGCACATGCTCTCTGCCTTTTGCTTTTATTTGGCACCTCCATTTTACATGTTAGATGAATAAAAGTAATAGTGTTTGCATTCAGTTGAGGAAAGGCTTCAGAGGGGGAGGTGACAGAAGCAATTTGTGTTTATTTACTTGTAGAAATTCATACACTAGAAATGCCATACGGCCAACAGTTCACAGGCAGTGGAGTGGTGGGACAATCCTAATAGTTGTGCATGGGTGGCTGTGGTGTAGTATGTTCATGTTACATAATATGTAACAACTCTGGATTACCAAATAAACTAGTATAAAAATGCTTTAAATAAATAAAGCTACACTGAAGGATTGTTCTAAATTATTCATAAGCCTCTCACAATATTTCTAGTATCCTTTTCCCTTTATAGACATAGCATTTAATAATTGGTTAAAAATACTTAGAAAACAATCTCTGTTTTACTGAAAATCAGTAAAACTTCACTCTTCAAGGATGGATAGAACTAAAATTAGAACAGATTAAAGTTTCAATGTGTCAGCTAGAAGGTACAAGGTAGCAGATTTCTACAAGGAAGGTGGTCCTTTATACAGGGACATGAACAACCATGAATGATCAGCTACTTTGACCGCAATAGCTACTGCAGCTGTCGCGGGCCTGGAGAGGCAGGAGACGTAACAAGGAAGTGCCAGCTCCAAAGGAGCTATTAAATAGGTCGTATGGGAGCCACCTGTTAGTCTCTTTCAGGTGATGTTAACGCGCGGGGTGGATGCGACCCGTAGAAACGTAGAGCGCGCGCGCGCGTCTCGCCACCACCGCACAGCTCCTTCCCAACGTTCTCGCCCAACCCTCGCATGCGCAGTTGACTCGTCGCCGTCTTCTCAGGCCAGCGCTATGCAACGGCCGTCGTGGGGGATTCTGCGGGCTCTCTGGTTAACGGGGATATCGATACTACTGCTCCCTCAGTGGTCCCTGCCTCAGGATAGCGTGCGTGAGTACAAGGGAGGAAGGCGACGACAGAGCCTCTGGGGCCGCTGAGCCTCCCTTTGCCCCTTCCGCTCGCCTTCCCGCCGTCTCCCCTCGTGCTGCCAGAGGCTTCACGAAGCTCGGCGCGCGATGGGCGGGTCTTTCCATGCGCCTGAGGTAAACGCGGATGTCTCCCCCGCCTACCGCCAGGTGGCGCCGAGGTGTCCTTCCTTGCTCGGCTGCGAGGCCCCCCCCCCCCCTCCGCTGAAAGCAGAACAAATTGGGCTCCACATCCTCAGGCGACTGGCTCTGCCAGGCTGCCATTCTGCCCAGCCAGCTGCGTTTACTCCGGAGTAAGCGCGCATGGGGAAGATTCTCGAGGAATACTTTGGTTGCCAGTGGGGGGGGGGCAGGGAGAGTGTTTTGGCATGTAAAAAGACTGCATTGGTGGGGTGTTTTTTTTTTTTAATGCGGTGTTTGGTACCCACCAATAGCTGCCAGCCGTGCAATTTACAAAACGTGTAGTTAGACTGTTGTGGAAATATAAAGTATTGTGGACTAGAGGGTAGGTATTTCATCATATAATTTACTTAAACAGGTTTCTCTGTGTTTTAGCAACTACAACAATCCCCAAAGAACCTAGAATATGCACTTTGAAATAGATACTTAACCTTGGCTCATTTTGTGTTCATGCTCAATTATTCCATATTTTCATACCAGTTTGTCACTGGCATATTGCCACAAACTATGAATGCAATAAGTTATCAGAGACAATGTCTGGCAAATCACCCAATTCACATGCCTCTTGTCAGTGAGGAAATTGATAAATTTGCTGAACCTTAATTCTTGGCAGAATTTGAGTTTCAACAGATATCAAGACAGTTGAAGTCTCCCATGACTACTGTGTATCTCCTTTTTTAATATTTTGTAATCTGTTCTAGGAAGGCATCATTCCAAGTCTTCAGTCTGGCTTGGCAATTTATAGCAGACACTCACAGTAAGGTCCCTGATTATTATTATTTATCCATATACTCAATCTGCCTTCCATGCCCGTGGATATTATTAGGATATGTTACAAAGGCAGGGATCTTATGGCTCAAATACTTCCTACTCCTTCCTCTCAAGTTTCCTTTTCCAGATTGCAATTCCCTTTCCCTGATACCATGCAAAGTACCTGCACCCACGAGCCTCTTTCCCCAGTTTACGCTGCAGCAGCTGTGGCGTGCAAAGCCAAATGTGCTTGAGCTGCCTGAGCCAAACAAACAAACAAACAAACAAATAAATAAATAAATACCCCCCCTCAAAAATGGACATTTCCTTTAAAATATAAAAATCCCCTCAGATGGGCATGTTGGCCCCCCAAAAGAAAACGTCCAGGATTTCCCAGACATATGACAACCCTATGGCATAGGAGCTTGTATGCCTGGCGCACTTTTATACCTGCTTCCTGATGAATTAGCTCTAGTCTCCACATGGGAGACTCTGCAAAGGTAATAAAATCAGGGTACAGTGGTACCTCGGGATGCAAATGGCATCCGTTTCGGAGCCCCATTCACACCCTGAACTCAACATAAGACGTGTCTGCAAGTGCGCGAGTCGCGTTTTGCCGCTTCCGTGCACGCACATGACGTCATTTTGAGTGTCTGCGCATGCGCGAGTGGCGAAACCTGTAAGTAACGCGCTCCGTTACTTCCGGGTTGCCGCAGGGCGCAACTCGAATGCGCTCAACCCGAAGCACATTCAACCCAATGACTGTATTGTGAATTTCCAGAGCTGAGATAAAATGACCATCCAGTTCATAAGTAGCCAAGACCAGATTTCAGTTATTTATGGGGGGGGGGTTGGGGGGGCCGGTTAGGGGTTGGGAACAAAGCGTTTTGGATGAGATGTACTTACCATGGCAGTAGTAGAGGCTTCCTTCTCTCTTTTTTTATCCCTTTTGACTTTAACACTTATGAAATGTTGCCTGTTGTGGCAGCATCTTTTTGTTAACCATTTAAAAATGCTGCCTGTTGTGAGGGAGCAACCAGAACAGAGTTCTGTCTGCTGTATCCCCACTACCCTACCCTCTAAATGCTTCAGCAAGCACCATTTCTTTCTATATAAAAATGAGGTTTAAAAATGGCACTGAAGCTGGGGAAGATTTTTGAAGGGAAATAACTAATGTTCTCTGTAGCTGCACAGGAATTGGAGAGCATTCCTCCAGGCAGTCATTCTCCTCCTAGAAGGCACTGTGACAATGTTACACAGTGCTACAACTTGCATCATCTTGCATCTTTTTTGGAGGAGAATACTGTAATGGCCAGTAGAAAGCCTCTCCAAGAAAGAGTGCCTTTACAGAGAGGCAAGAGTGCTTTTAAAATGGGATGGAGGCATTGAAAGGTAAAAACTCCCTCCCTGAAACAGGGATAGTTGTTTCCATTTGGGGACTGAACTACTGTTCCCTGAACTAGTTTTGTTCAGCCCTAAAACCAGGGAGTGAGCTCCCTCTCTCATCATTTTAGAGCTTTCCAGAAGATTCTATCTCTGTGGGTAAATTCCCATATGTATGACTCTGCAAATAACTATTTAAAGAGAAATAATTATTGGTTTCCCCCAATTTTGGTCTAATATTACAATTTTGCCGCCATTATACAAAATAAAATAGAAATTTACTTGTCATCTGGGCAGCGCAGGACCTGTATACATACTGCCCTGGGGAGGTCACTTCAGTGTTGTTAACACACTAGTTTGACTTTGCCCTTGGAGGCACACTCCATTGTTTCTCAAGATAGATGGATGTCAACCAACAATATGCTTAAATAAATTTTAATATTTTAAAGCATCAAGAATTGAATAACCAAAATATAATACCATTATAGCATTATGAATATGAACTTTTTCTGATATGTTTCTAGGTTTCTTCTGTACAATTGCTCCAAACATTTCTAATGGATCTCACAATGGGACTGGAGCCCCTTTTTATGCTCTTGGAACAGTGATAACATACACTTGCCATGATAATTTCTCTCTTATTGGAGCACACTCTATTTCCTGTGGCATGGATGGTGATACTAAAGGAGTGTGGAAGGGAAAGCCCCCTAAATGCAAAGGTTGCATTTTCTTTTACTCTTCATTCATGATATATTATGATTCATAATATATTAAAAGGGAACTTTATTCTAGATAGCTGTATACTTGTCCTCTTGTCCCTCCCTTTATTTGGCTTTGAATTGATATTAAGCTTCATTGTTCACGTTCAGAATCCCTAAGTTGTTTAATGATATTTTATGTGTGGAGTGATTGACAGAGGTACTTTTGTTCTCCTTTTATGTTTGTGCTCTATCTCAGTAAACATTGCATTTCACTTTTGTGCTATACAGAAGCGAATGGGGAAGCCCCAATGTTTACAGGCAGTGAGGCTATATACCACGCTCCCAGTTCATGGATGTAGCCAGGATTTTTGTTGGGGGGGGGAGGGAGAGAACATCAGTTTGCTAAGTATTTTCATTGATTTTTATTTATTATGGGGGGCAGCTGCCCCCCTGTGCCCCCTGCTATGCCCATGCCCGTGCCCCAGTTCTAGGTTTTGTATAAACTGGCTATCTTAGTGGTCCTGATTTTGGTTAACGTGCATTAGCAGATTATTAGCTCTACAGGCCGTTCCTTCTCTGCTACTTTTCAGAGAGAATGTGGTTTTTTTCCTAGGCTCCAATTTCAAACCAGCCCATCCCTTTCCACTTCCAGCATTATCCCCTCCACCAAGGTGATGCCCTGGACTGGAAAATAAATTTAGCTTTCCTTTTGCACTGTTAAATCCAATGCCACTTAGCTCACCATATTAATCAAAACACTGAATAAACCCCAGCACTCAGGAATCTAGAGGGGGTCAGGGCACACAGAAACTTTGTGGAGTCAGGGTACCCACAGTGACAGTTTTACATGTCACCCTAACCTCTGCTGAATGTGTGCAAGATTCTAGGGTTTGGGGCACTTGACCACAGTTTGTGTTCCTTCAGAATGAGGCACCTATTTACCACCTGGGTTTTGATGGAGAGAGAGTTCACAACATTTAAATCTCAAGAGGGGCTTGCTCTTCCCAGCCGCACAGCATTGGATTCAGTGCCATCCCCATGTGTCTCTGTAAAAACCTGGTCCAGCCAGCCTGCATGGTTGCACAAACCAGACCACTATCAGCCTTTTGTTTCTTCAAGATGCACTCCCAGCAAGCCATTGCCAGGCTGGTCTCATGAGGAAGCTAGCCAGTATTATTTCCTAGCTTTGGCTAAATTAATGAATTTATGAGTTTGCTCAAATCACAACCCATCACTGACTCACTTATCAGGTTATACACACAAAGGGGGCTGGAGATAGATTGGATGCATGATCATGGCATGGGGAGTGGGGTTCACGCTTTGTTTCCTTATATGGCTTCTATTTGCATTGGGAGAGAAGTTCATTTTTTAAAAATCATGACTAAAGCTGTGAATAAAGCCATTTCTCTGCAAAATCTAAACATTTGAGAGATCCATTCATCATGCTTTGTGGTCTAATGGTCAGTGGATTGGCCTTCCATAGTATCTGTTTAGCATTTCTGTACTGGATCTGTCACCATATGTTTATTAGCACTTGGAGCTAATAAATTGTTAACCTTGGAGAGGTTTCTAGAAGATCCCACCTGTGATCTCCTTAATGGATTATTTCCTATATCTATTCAGGTAGGTAGCCGTGTTGGTCTCTGACGCAGTCAAAATAAAATTTTTTAAAATTGTCCATTAGCACCTTAGAGACCAACTAAGTTTGTTCTGGGTATAAGCTTTCGTGCACATGTTCCTATATATATATGTACTGTAATTGTTTGGAATACCAATTTAAACATTAGATACAGATCAGCAATTCTAATACAAGTGACACCACGTTTTAGTTTTATTTATTTTAAACATCCAGGGCAGTTAGTAACAGCTTTTGTAGAGAACGTGTGACATAGAAGATATAGGGCACAGAGTAACATATAGCCAGACATTGAGTATCAGGTTTTTGGTTTTTTTTAGAAAACTAACTTTTTAATAAGGCTTCAGCAGAATATACTGACATTTGAGAAAATGTAAATAAACTATATGCAATGTTCTATTTCTTAGTTTTTGTTTTTTAATATTCCTGTCTGCTTATAGTGGTGAAATGTAAAGATCCAGTAGTTGAACATGGATTAATATTAAGCGGATTTGGACATTCGTATACATATGGCAACACTATTATATTTGAATGCAAAACTGGATATTTTCTGATGGGAAATTATTTGATTAAATGCGGAGCGAACAGTAGCTGGTATCCTGCGCTGCCTTCATGTAAAGAAAGTAAGAATATCAAAGCATTCAAATAGCAATTATGCTTCCTCAGTCAGTGATAAAAGATGGTTTACTAAATGTGGACATGTGCTTTTCACTTTATAAATTCAACATCAGAAGGGACATCTCCCAAATTCTCTCCTACTTTTATCCTGTTGAATAGCATTAACAAAGTATGTGTGACTGTTGAATGGTTAAAAGAATATTTGACATCCTGGCGGAATGCACTTTGAGGAATGTGTGTTGTTTATAAAGGGTCAGTTCTTCTTTCAGTTTCCCTCTTGTAAGTTCTCATCTTTAATTAGCTAGAACAAGTTTGTTTGTTTACATTTATATTTCATCTTCCCTCATGGAACACAATGTTTATTTTTACAATTTTTGTGGGGACTTTTTTGTTGCAGTTGATCCAGGTTTATGCGGTGCCCCATTAATTCCAAGTGGGACTGTGCGTCCATTGCGACATCAGTATAAGATTGGAACAAGTGTTGTTGTAACCTGTAATAAGCAGTATTCTTTTCCTGATGAAACCATGGAGATGAATGTAGCATGCCAAGGCTACAATTCCTGGTATCCTCCTGTGCAAGCATGTTTCTGTAGGTATAAATATAGCTTTGGGGTATTCAGTGATTTCTGTGTTTATTTACCACAAAATTAATACCACATCATAGGGCTACTACTTTAATACCTCCCTATGTTTGTGCTCACATATAATGCAAGAGGAGCTACACTGATTAATTGCTAGCTGGATTCAAAAGGCATTGCTTTGCCTTACGTTCAAAGGATGGTCTAGGGCAGGGGTCTGCAACCCGCCGCTCCGGAGCCGCATGTGGCTCTTTTACACCTTTGCCGCGGCTCCGGGGCGGATACTAGCGAGGGGAGGAGGTGCATTGTGCGCCCCGACACTCCCCACTGTGGCGGGCGCTGTACTGGCTGTGACATCACATCGGGGTGGTGCGTGCGTTAGTCACGCACCATCCCGACGTCACCTTCCCGGTTTTGCGGCTCCCTGTTTTTTTTCCTTCGGAAATCGGTCCAAGTGGCTCTTTTTGTCTTAAAGGTTGCAGACCCCTGGTCTAGGGGAAACGTAGAACTAATCAGAACAATTGTTTAAAGTGGTATGGTGTCTGCCTACTGTCAAGGAAATGTATTGCATGGGATTAAAGCAGAGAGTTGCATCCTTTCCTTTTGAATTAACTAATCTGGAAGTATACGCAGCACAACATTGCTCAAAAACAGTCAGTTGGGATTGTTATTTTGCTCATTATTGTATGTACTACAATTCCAGAAACTGAAAGAATGGGAGAGACATCAAATCAGATCAGTATATAAAAAGAAATAGAACTCAATGAACTTTGTTACTGACAACTTGATGGTAGAGGAAGGATGATGGCTAATTTTGAGCCATAAAACCTTACATTGCTCAGAACCTCAATACTTTAGGGGCTTTCGTCACCTCATATGAACTTTCATGGACTCTGTAGTTATAATCAGAGACCTCAGTGTACCCATCTCTGGGGGAGGTGTGGGAGGTGGCAACACAAGAATGGGCATTTTAAGTGGTCACTCCTCCTTTGTGGAATTGTGGCACTAATGTTTATCCAGGCTGTTAATTAAATGGAATCATGCTGCAGGGATCAAGACCATATTTGGCCTGATTGTAGTTGTAATTTTTAGTTGGCTGTGGTATGTTTTATCATTTTTACAATATTTTTTATCACTTTTTAGATCAAATCTGGCTTTTTGTATTTTCTTGCTGTATTTGTTTTTAAATGTGAATCTTGAATCTGCTTTGAGACATTGTGGAAAGTGCCAAATAATATAGATATATATATTAAGGATTTTTGTATACAAACCAAGAATTAAGAATTTACAACACTATACAGGTGAAACTCGAAAAATTAGAATATTGTGGAAAAGTACATTTATTTCAGTAATTCAGCTTAACAGGTGAAACTCGAAAAATTAGAATATCGTGGAAAAGTTCATTTATTTCAGTAATTCAGCTTAAAAGGTGAAACTAATATATGAGATAGACTCATGACATGCAAAGAGAAATATGTAAAGCCTTTATTTGCTATAATTGTGATCATTATGGCGTACAGCTGATGAAAACCCCAAATTAACAATCTCAGAAAATTAGAATATTAAATGAAATCAGCAAAACAAGGATTGCAAATAGAGCAATATTGGACCACTGGGAAGTAGAAGCATGCATATCTCTCTTTGCATGTCACGAGCCTATCTCATATATTAGTTTCACCTTTTAAGTTGAATTGCTGAAATAAACGAACTTTTCCACGATATTCTAATTTTTTTTAGTTTCACCTGTACATTGCAATGTTTTCTTAATGTTTTGGTGACAAACACTTTTCATGTTGCAAATTAAATTGTGCCTTTTTTACGAAGTCAGACTATAGGGCCATTTAAGTCAGTATTACCCATACTGACATGCAGCAGCTCTCTAGTATTTTGGGCAGGGGGCATTCCCAGCCCTAGATAGCATATATTAAACATGGGATCTTTTGCATACAAAGTAAGTGTGCTACCACTGAGCTACAGCCCTTCCAACCACAACACCACTTTGTTAAGCTAAAATATGAAATATTTGGAAAATAATGTGTGCTTTAGTGTTGCTTTGTTTTGTTTATAATAGTTTGTGTTTTCAGTTAGAACTTCACCAGACATTTATTACCTGTCTATCCGTAATGCAAGAATAATCCGGGGGAAGAAAACCAGCTATGAGCCTGGAGATACAGTTACTATTCGATGTTCTGCTGGCTATACATTAGCAGGGCCATCTGAGATTCGCTACATTGGTGGGAAGCAATGGTCACCTAAACTTCCATCTTGTTACCTGAGTACGTATGAAGTTGTAGATATATAGCAACACTTATCTGACACTGCTGTCACTTTTCAGGTGTCACTCTTGCTTTTCCTCATACAGGAGATTTTCTTTCTATTACTAGCTTGAGTTTGATGCATATAGGCAGTTCACCTGGCAGTAGGCCACTGGGAGCACCCTCTGTAATAATTAAGAGTCCCTGTGAGTGAGCTAGGAAAGAGGATAGGTGGCTAGGGAACCTGTTCCTGACACCAGTGGATAATCTAAAGCAGGAATAGGGCTTCCACGTGTTACTGGACTACTACAACTCGTAACAAATCCTAACAAACTTTGAAGGTCCATAGGTTCCCCATTCCTGATGTGAAGTAAAGTAAATTTCCATTCTACCAACTCTTTAAGAAGTGTAATACTTAAAACCAATTAGAAGCAAATAGTATTCTCCTACCTTTCATTTTATAAGCCACATTGAAAAAGAAACTAGACTATTATAAACAGAAACGAATGGCCAGATGGGGAAAGAACTACTACATTCATGAGCATACACTGTCATAAACCTAGTTTGTGTTTCATTTTGTGGATAAAATTGCTATTGTACTTGGATGTCAGAGTTTGATAAGAAGGATGGATGGATTTGCAATGATATCTAGTCATGTATTCCAACCTTAAGATGTAGAGAAGCTTCTTGGAAGCTTGAGACTTACCACCTGTTCACTGGATCCTGGGTTCTTTTTGGATATTAAGGACTGAGGTGACCATGTAGATCTTTGGAGTAATGAATTGGACCAAGGTGGAGAGCCTTTAGCTTACTGGGAAAACTTGGTCCACCAGGGTTCCAAATTTGGTCTGCAGCAGCATTACCCCCCTCCCCCCCCCGGCAATAAGAAAATATGTCCACCAATCTACACTTTACATTGTATGTGATGTCAGTTTTGAGGCAGGTACTTAAAGTCAGTTCCCAGTTGTTCCTTTACTTGAGTAAGATGTGGTCTCACCACCCACCTTGCTCAAGGAGGAGGAAGTGTTATTTCAGCAAGCATCAAACAGAGACTAAGACATATATAGCAGCAGCAGCAGCAGCAGCAGCCCCATTGCTAGCCCTGTCTCACTGGAAGGTGCCTTTTCAATTAAAGGCCCCCAGCCTGTTCCATCAGTCTTCTACTCCAGTGGAGCAGGGGAGACCCTGGTCTCAACTGGGGCCTCTGTGATGGAGTCCTTAGAGTATGAAGATGGCAACACTGTATCCTCAAATTGGAGCGGCACTGGCACAACAGACGTATCTGATGGAAGTGCTTCTAGGATTGGTCCCGCATATCTTTCCCCTTCTGCTTCAGAGTTCTTGCCCTCATCCATTGAAGACAAGGAATCCAGCTCCAGGGTTGTGACATAGTTTTGCCTGGTGTACTAGTTACTTACCTTCCTGGAAAAGATAGCTCTGGCCATGGTGACACATACCTTGGTCACTTACAGGTGTAGGGCTGCCCTTGAAAAGTTTTCGGAAACTAAATAAAGAGAAATTAAAAAAAAAAAAGTTTTCGGAAACTGCAGCTGCTGCAAAACATAGTTGGCAGGTATGTGCTTTTAGACCATAGTATGCTGGTTTTACATCAGTTGCATTGATTTCAGATTTGTTTCCATACTCAACTTATGGTGCTGGTTTTACCTTTATAGCTCTAAAGTGTTTTGAGACTAAAATATCTGAAAGACAGCCTCCTCCAATACAAACCTGAATATAGGTTGCATCTTTGGAGTCCTCTTGCCCCACCACTTAGAGTTTCTCTGTGGCAACACCCCATCTCTGAAATTCCCTCCTGAGATATGAGTGGCATCCCTGATAGACTTCAAGTGTGAATTAAACACATTTAATTCTCCTGGCCTTCAGTGGTAACTAATTAAGATAGTTGTAATCTCTTGAAATGTTCTTATAGTGATTGTACATTGTTTTGACTTACATAAATATTTTTACAATGCATTAAAAGGTGGAATAGATACCTTTGAAACCATGTAATTGGTGCCACTTGGTGCTTTCCTCATGGGGCTAATAACTGAGCTAGTAATTTTCATCAGGACAGTCCCAGAGGGGGAAAGGGTTACACCCCACACTAGTGGACAAAAAAATACCCCCATGCCTCCTTTTTAAGAACAAGACCCAATAACATGACACATTTAGCATCACATCTACTCTGGCCCTGAAATACGTCCACCGGCTGTAGTGTGAAATTAATAGTCATTGGCAGTGCTTCAGCTAAAATTTATTTCTGATGTGACTGCCAGTGCGAATGAGCATTTCTTTTAATTAGTATTAAAGTTTTGTGAGAAGCTCACTTATCAGAATCATTTCCCCTCTCTTCTAGGTTTTGTCTTCGTACTGCTTATAGCTGGTATGTAATTTATTGAAACTGAATAAGAAATACCTGAAAATGCACTTTCAAATTTCTTAAGCAAGGACCAGAGTTTTGCAGAGTCTACACACTTTTACAATAGGAAAGCTGAGCACTATTCAACAGATGTTAAACATTTTTAACTTTCACATTTCAACTACTGTTTACTTTGTCTAGAGGAACAAATGCAAACAGGCACTGGCATTTTTTTCCTGATGAGGGAAAGAGCAAATGGTTGCTAAGGCAGCAATATGGGGTGTAGTAGAAATGAACTTGAGGTGAAGGTGTGATGGAGGTTCCATCATTCCAATAAAGTTCTGCCATAAAATTGGTTTAATTTAATCTGTCAATTCAGCATAAAATCCAAACCATGGCCATTAGAATAACGCAATAAAACCATAACCTCTTAATTAAAAAATGGTCTGCATCAGAAATGTTTTCAAAGCCTGCATCTCCCATGGTAGAGAGTTTTGTATCCTTGGGCCCACTGTCATAAATTCTCTGTGTTCTGCCCACCAACCTACCTGACTCCGCTGGTGAGCATTCAAATAGGGCTTCTGTAACTGTCAATAGATGTTCAAGGTGGAGAAAGCTTGTGGCTCAGTGGGAAAGATCTTCATTTCCTCCCACTCCGTGGGCTAACTTTGACAGGTGGCTGCTTCCAATTACCTGTCAAAGTTGACCTGCAGGCTGGTGGGGAGGGGATGAGTATGCATTACTAGTGTTTTCCCCACAGGGAAAGAACTTGCAAAATAGTGCCCAGTAGGACTGAATCCTACCTCTGCAACAAACAGTTGATTAACAAGTGGGTGTGGTTGGGGGAAATGGCCTCACAAACCAAATCAGACCTGATAGACCAAGATTGGTCCACATGCTGGAGGTTTCCCATGCCTGGCATAGGCAGTCCGATAAATGACTCGACCACAAAACATTTAGTGTTGTAAAAGTCAAAACCCACACTTTATTTGGGCTGAGAAGCAAATAGGTCCAATGGGTTGGGTTCAAATGTTGCTGGCACATCAGTCAAAATTGATGAAACATACTCTTAGGCACTTCTGTTCCCTGCGCTTCCATAAATAACACTAAGTCTAGGAGGACCCCCAAGTTACAAATTTGGACTTTCAGAATGAGTTTAAATATCTCCAGATCCAGTTGAATACCTCTTTTCAAAACAATAGACACTCACAGAATCTCAATCCTGTCTTAATCTTCAGTTTATCTGCTGTGCTCCCCCCAAAAAACTGCTTTCAGACACCTGTTCAAATGTTCCACAATCCAGCCATGCAAAAAAACAGTGATTTCTTACAAGTATATCTCACCATCCAGCAAAGACAGAGGTATCATTTCAAGCAGGCAATGGCACTAGAATGTAGGGCTGTGGCCTGGCAGATAAGGCCTCAAGGCTCACGCTTGGCCCTGGGGTCTCAAGTTCCAGACTCCACTATAGAAGTGAGGCAATGAATAGGGCACTCTTTTCTAATCCACTGTGACAAGAAAAGGCAGTTTGGAAGGCATATGTGAAACACTCACTTGGCCTGATGGATATTTCATGAGCATCCCTTTGAACTGGCCTTCAGAACAGAAATTTAGTAAAACTATTATTAAGGACCACCCTGGGATTGATTGCCTTTTCTAAAAAATGAAATAGATGTACACTATTGACTAGATTGTATTTGCTGGATTGATGACATTATGTCACTATATATTGGCTGATATTTTCCTATTTTGAATAAATTCTGCCTAATCTGAGTTAACACATGAAACTGTATTATAATAAATTCTTCTTTAAGAAGCAGAACTCGTTTGTAAAACTCAGGGTGTGGGCAATGTTTCCCTGATTCAATTATTAGAATCAACATTGCCTCTTTCCAAAATTTGAATAATAGTCTCAGTTGTATTGCCTCATGGATGGTTTTCCAATCATTTCTTGAAGCAAACTACAATATTATTCAATGTTTGTTCAGGAGCTATTGTTGTACAGAATATTCATTCTTGTTTTTAATTCCTTTGCTGTATTTTTTCCATCCAGAAGAAACGATACAAGGAAGTTTTATGGTTTTTACCATATGGTTACAAAATTATGGGGAATTCACACAATATTGTCTATGAAGTAGTATCTCTGGAAATCATGGCAAAGCAGCTATTTCAAATGGTTCCGTATATTTGAAAATAAATGTGGTGAAATCACCATGTGCATTCTGTTCTTTACTATCTCAAAGTAAACCAGTGAATGGGTTCTTAAGGTGACTTTTTACTGTTGTTTTTTTTTTTAAGCATGTTTGCTTATTTTCTTATGGCTGCCAGCCCAATCGGTTTACGCGGCCTTGTGTTCCGGATAAAGGTAAGACTTTACCAACCTCTTACTCTCCTTTCTTCTTTGCACCTCTAAGGACCACCACACACATTATGTACACAGAAAAGGGGGCCTGGGGGACCAGATCTCTTATCTGAGAAAGTGTGTATGCATTCAGTGGCTTTTAAGCACTTTCTTTTGGGGATAAAGCCTTATAGCTCCCAGAAAGCCCACACCTAAATGTGGTGCAGGTCCTCCAAAGTAGCATAAGGCACTGCTAATGAAAAAAAGTAAGGCAGCCCACTCCTGTGCATGTAAGAGCTTGGTGATTCAATCACTTCAGTTAGTTGATGACTGAATAATCCTTTAGGTGATTTAACTGATGAAATCTGAGGAACATACATGCTTACTTTTCCAGGGTCTTTTTAATTTTCCTATACAGTGGTACCTCGGGTTAAGTACTAAATTCGTTCCGGAGGTCCGTTCTTAACCTGAAACTGTTCTTAACCTGAAGCACCACTTTAGCTAATGGGGCCTCCTGCTGCCGCCGCGCCGCCGGAGCACGATTTCTGTTCTCATCCTGAAGCAAAGTTCTTAACCTGAGGTACTGCTTCCGGGTTAGTGGAATCTGTAACACGAAGTGTTTGTAACTCGAGGGGTTTGTAACCCAAGGTACCACTGTATTAAGCTTGTGGGCCCTTGATATTTTAGCCCCCACAATATTAAATGCCAGGGAAAGCTACAGATTCAAGAAACAGCAAAAAAAATTATAATGCTGAAACAAGTGTTTTTAATCTTTAACATTTAACCCATTGTTTGTTAAAACAAGGCTTTATTCTAGTTATTCAGCATAAACACATGCAGTAGATCTAATTGCATGATAAAAATGTTATCAGACAAGCCTATAGCCTCCCTCCAGCCCACCTAGTTGGGTTACATTTATAATATAGTAAGCATTATTTTGAGAGTTCTGCAAGCCTCTATTTCAGAGTGTTTATTTGACCTTAAAATGTATGTATAGTTATGAATGTGAAAATCATTATCATATAAAAATAAAATTAAATAAATACATTTAAAATTAAATTCCTACAATACTAATACTTAAATGGAAGACTCTGGGCTGAACTAAGCATTTGCATGTGAAGCATGTAATTAACAGCTGTTTTAAAATAAAATATTTTGGAATGGGGCAATATAAAGAAAAAAAGGAGACGCTGAACCATTCCTACTACTTCTCTGCCCTAAATAAAAACTGGAATCTGAACTCTCTATGGGGTAGAGGCAGGGATTTGAGGTAGGAAAGCAGCAGAACTGGTAAGAGTTAAGCACCTCTCCCCATGTCTGCTCTAAATTGTTCCATCCCAAGCTTTTTTCCTTAAAAACTGGACAGTATAAGCATGGTTTAATTACATGCACCTGCCAGTAGAACTATCACAGTTTATGTTGTTGGTTAGCTTTATTCATTTATTTATTTCATTTATATTCCACCTTTCATTCAAGTAGTTCATGGTGCAGTACATGGTTTCCCCTCTCTCCATTTTATCCCCTCAACAGCCCTATGAGGTACCGTATTTTTTGCTCTATAAGACTCACTTTTTCCTTCCTAAAAAGTAAGGGGAAATGTGTGTGCGTCTTATGGAGCGAATGCAGGCTGCTCAGCTATCCCAGAAGCCAGAACAGCAAGAGGGATCACTGCTTTCACTGCTCAGCAATCCCTCTTGCTGTTCTGGCTTCTGGGATTCAGAATATTTTTTCCTTGTTTTCCTCCTCCAAAAACTAGGTGCGTCTTATGGTCTGGTGCGTCTTATAGACGGAAAAATATGGTAATTAGTGTGGGAATGTTAAGAATAGTAGGAAAGGATATATTGAATAAGTATTATCCTTCTTCACCCACACTAGTGAGTGATGTAGCAGAGCAATTTCCCCTCAATATAGCTGGAAGCTAGTTTGCAGATTTGTTTGAATCCCTTAGTTAAAATTATTTCCTGGTGTCCCCTTTAATCCCTCTTACAAGAATAAAGACACAAGAGTCTTTCTGAGTAAAGTAACAAAAAGTTTACTCACATTTCAGTTCATGATTTGATCCCTGAAAGGCAGGCTTTACTTAATAGTCACACAAGAAAGTCTGAGTTTGTCTCATATGGAGATTGAACTCAAGTGCAAAATTACATTAAGGTAACAAAATAGCTGCCGGAGAGCAGCATGGCAGCAAAAGATCAGCAAGCAAGAGAGCAAGAAAGGACTGAGGAAATGGCTGCGTGACTCAGCCAGCGCCATGTCCATCTTCCAGGTCACATGCAGGGGGAGGATGCTCCAGATCAGTGGAACAGGAAGTTACACTGACTGGATGTCCCCCTGCCTGTGCCCACTCTAGGGAAATAAGGAATGTTGCACTTAACTGTACCAATGGATTACATCCCACAATTAGATACTGGAATATCTATTCTGCTGTTTCTATAGAATCTTTCACAGTACAAAGTTATACAGTGGTACCTCTGGTTACAGACAGGATCCATTCTGGAGGCCTGGCCATATCCCGAAAAGTCCGTAACCAGAGGCGCCCTTCTTTACATGCGTGCAGCGCGATTCAGTGCTTGTGTGCATGCTCGTGCAGCGAAACCTGGAAATATACACTTCCGGGTTTGCTGTATTCACAACCCGAAGTTTACGTATCCGGAGGGATACATAAACAGAGGTACGACTGTATTCTTTACTCGAGTTCTCAGAGTTAGAAGTTTTGAAGTTACTCCAGGAATCTGAGAGAGTGTTAGCCTTGCAACAGTTACCCTGGGTATGTCTCTTGGCTGAAAGGCGGCATATAAATTAACAGTAACATAACATCCCTGAGAAATAGGATACCTAAGAGTCAGGAGCTTGCCCAGTGTCATTATCATAGAACTGTAAGGTTGTAAAGGACCCTGAGGATAATCTAGTTCAGCCCCTTGATCCTACAACCATGGGGTTATCAGCACGATGCTCTAACCAACTGAACTATCCTTGTTCTAGCAGGGCTTGTAGGTTGAATCATGCTCTAAGTTACTAACTCAGTTGCTCTGGAAAAAAACCAAAAGTAGAACTTTTGGCAAAAATAGTACTAATGTGGCAAAATTATTTTACTCGCCCTTAAAAGTGTACTGTTTTGTTGTTACTTTCCTCAAGCTAAAGTATAGGACTTGCAGTTAATTGTAGGAGCTATACGAAGCTTAAAATCTTATTTTCTTTTTTCATTTACTCTAGCTATTCTAAAACAACTGCTAAGATGATACACCAAGTATACTAGAATACCAAAGATGCTTAAGCTCTCCTGAATCTTCATACCTCTTTGGAAAAGTGACTTGTGTAATGACAAATGCTGCTGTGGCAGCACCTTGTGGAATTCTATATGAACAAACTGCTGCATTCCCCAACAGCCTCTAAGGATGGAACTAAATGTTAAAAGAAATCCAGGTTATCTCTGAAAATGCCACATCTGTTCTGACTTTTATTCTTTCTTCTCCTTAATGTCTAGTCATTGCAACTTACCCCATGCAATCATGTCATTACACCGTATATATGCTCAACTGCACTGTCACTGTCTTCTGCTGTTAGAGAAATGTATAGCATAAAGATGTTGAACACATCATTAAATTCTGTAGAGCAGAAGAAATCCAAACCAGGGCTGTATCCACTTTGAGACTGCTTCACTGTCAGTCTCCGTTGTCATGAAAAGGGGTTACCTTGAATTAATTAAAAACCTCTTACAATCCAATATATCAAAATACAGTAGTAGTCCTTCTGTTGTAAACAGAATGTCATTACTATCCATGATGGTTTTCCAGAGCAACACTCGGCTGCTTTTTTCAAAATCTCTTTGGATTTTAGAAGTTCACAAATGCCATTCTGGGGTAAGACTTCATGTTTGAGATGTACTTGGTTTATACTGACCACTGCTTTAAATCTGAATTGTATAAATTGATGAAGATAATTTTGTACTTTTGTGAATCAAAGATTTTATATTGTAGGAAATATCATGCATATGTATCAATGTGATATGTTAAATCTCTGCTTTATAAATGGTGTGTAGATAGTGTGTGTCCCTGTACCTTTTTAGGCAGTTACTAGTCCTTGACTAAAATGATACTGTGTGAGAATCTTGCAAGAGTAGTCTGCACCACAAATGAAATCCTAATATACTAACGTAAGTTTTCAGCCATATACAAAAAACCAACAATACATACCACAGATCACCAGTAAATCCTCAGCTTCAACGATGCCATTTTCAGTCTCCTACAGATGAAAGTTAATTCTAATTCCTTTAGAAAAAAACTTCATCGGATTCCACCTAGAACAAAGTGCACTACTCTTTCCAGGATAGTTGCCTGCATTAATTCTTCCAACTTAACCCATTTTCCTTAACCCATTAACCCTACTACATAATTCTCTGCTGAATTATGCTGAGGCATATTATATGACATTAAAATTTCAAAACATTTACACACAAAATGTCTGGAATGCTATTATAACCCCACTGGCCCAAAGATATGATACACTCCCCCCAGATCTCATCTGTATATTAACTGGGGCAGCCTTCACCTGCTCCCTTAAAGGAACAATGCCACATTTGTGCCATATGATTTTTAAATAACATGAATACCTGTATTTTAAAAAATCCTAAGTAGAAACAGACTCTAAAAATAATCTTCCTGCAGAAATACTGTTATTTAAACCATTAGGAATAACTGTCTGACATATAATATGCTTCTCGTTGAGAAAGTATAAATTGCTAAAAACCTCAAGGGCATATGTTGATTTGCTCCTGTTCCTTTTAAATGTTTTCATTTTTGCTTTCTTTCACCACAACCTAATCGAGCTCTTTACTTTAAGTCACTTGGAGACTTTTGGGTGACAAGTGACTAATAAATTTAATAAATAATATATATATATTTTAAAAATCACATTTTCATATTACAGTACTGTCCTTTGGTCTGTAGTCTTTGCTAGTTACTAGATTTTTCGTTTAATTTTATAGCTGATTTGCAGAGGAGCAAAAGGCCCACCCCCCGTCCCTGCAAATAAGCTGCAACTTATTCTACAATTCTGTGATTCTATAAGGTGTTGTTGTTTAGTCGTTTAGTCATGTCCGACTCTTCGTGACCCCATGGACCAGAGCACGCCAGGCACTTCTGTCTTCCATTGCCTCCCGCAGTTTGGTCAAATTCATGCTGGTAGCCTCGAGAACACTATCCAACCATCTTGTCCTCTGTCGTCCTCTTCTCCTTGTGCCCTCCATCTTTCCCAACATCAGGGTCTTTTCCAGGGAGTCTTCTCTTCTCATGAGGTGGCCAAAGTATTGGAGCCTCAGCTTCAGGATCTGTCCTTCCAGTGAGCACTCAGGGCTGCTTTCCTTAAGAATGGAGAGGTTTGATCTTCTTGCAGTCCATGGGACTCTCAAGAGTCCTCCAGCACCATAATTCAAAAGCATAAATTCTTCGATGATCAGCCTTCTTTATGGTCCAGCTTTCACTTCCATACATTACTACTGGGAAAACCATAGCTTTTACTATACGGACCTTTGTTGGCAAGGTGATGTCTCTACTTCTTAGGATGCTGTCTAGGTTTGTCATTGCTTTTCTTCCAAGAAGCAGGCGTCTTTTAATTTCGTGGCTGCTGTCACCATCTGCAGTGATCATGGAGCCCAAGAAAGTAAAATCTCTCACTGCCTCCATTTCTTCTCCTTCTATTTGCCAGGAGGTGATGGGACCAGTGGCCATGATCTTCGTTTTTGATGTTGAGCTTCAGACCATATTTTGCACTCTCCTCTTTCACCCTCATTAAAAGGTTCTTTAATTCCTCCTCACTTTCTGCCATCAAGGTTGTGTCATCTGCATATCTGAGGTTGTTGATATTTCTTCTGGCAATCTTAATTCCGGCTAGGGATTCATCGAGCCCAGCCTTTCGCATCATGAATTCTGCATATAAGTTAAATAAGCAGGGAGACAATATACAGCCTTGTCGTACTCCTTTCCCAATTTTGAACCAATCAGTTGTTCCATATCCAGTTCTAACTGTAGCTTCTTGTCCCACATAGAGATTTCTCAGGAGACAGATGAGGTGATCAGGCACTCCCATTTCTTTAAGAACTTGCCATAGTTTGCTGTGGTTGACACAGTCAAAGGCTTTTGCATAGTCAATGAAGCAGAAGTAGATGTCTTTCTGGAACTCTCTAGCTTTCTCCATAATCCAGCACATGTTTGCAATTTGGTCTCTATAAGGTGCAGTCATATAAAAAACTGTCCACCGAAACACTGTCACAAAGCTAAAATCAAAATGTTCTTTACACAACCCTACACATGGCAGGGACCCATTATACCCAGAGATTACCATGTGTAGTCAATTTAAATTTTGGAGAGTAATAGCACATGTACAAACATGTTGGTGGACAAGGATTTGAAGCTATAAGGAAAATAAACTTGTAGATATGTAAGAAGGAAGAATTATTAGATCAGGGTAGCTACTTATCAGAAGGAAGGGTAATTATTGGAATCAGAAGGCAATGAAGGATAAAACCCTGTCTACTGAACACCCAGTAGAGTTGAAAAAATAAACGAAAGAAAGATTGCATTCAAAAAGACTCCCCAGAAGCCAAAATAAAGGCTTCTGGATAATTATTTGCTGCTATCTAGTGGTCAGCTACATGCAGTGAAAGCTACTATCCATAACACATCATTTTAATCTCCAACCCATAGAGATCAAGCTTAGATGAATCATAGAATCTTAGAATTGGAAAGTTGGGTCCTCAAGGGTCATCTAGTCCAACCCTCTGCGATGCAGGAATCTTTTTGCCCATTGTGAAGCTCCAACCCAGACCCTGAGATTAAGAGTCTCATGTTCTACAAATTGATCTATCCCACTTTCATCTATTTCTACGAAAGTTGTGCCTTTCCAGCTATATCAATATTTGACTGCAAATTTTAATTATTAGTATTAGTAGTAAGCATTTTTACCTACTCTTCAGCTAAAAAGGCTTCCAAAGTGAAACAGCAACATGCATATGGCATGTATAATAGTGAAGCAGGGTCTATTGCTACGATTTGAATTTGAATATGTTGGCTAATTCTAACGATTTACATCTGTCAGTGATGTTTGGGGGATATGGGCAACAGGTGGCCTGCCTTTGTAGGTCCAGTTGGGCTTTGGAGCCTTTCCAGTGAACAGACAGATCTCTATGCATGAATACCCTTTTAATTTTATTTCTGTTTTTTGGTGTACTCTCGTCTTCGATAAGGAACTTTATCAAAAGCATTTTGAAAGCCCGGTCAGTGTGTATTAGATTCTCATCATGAAAATGCATCTCACATCTTTAAACATGGTTTTAGCAGATCGACAACTCTAGTAAGTAGAACCACTGTGGCCTCCATCCCCTACCCCATTGGTGAATTGCTGAAAACACAGAGGAAAAACTATGTGTGCATGTTTCTCGCTTTCAGGTTTTAGGTATTCTTTTATTCTGGGTGGGGTGGGGGGGCTCTCTGCTAATCCAAGCCTTGATCACTCTTTCAAAAGTTATTGGAGGAAGAAATTTGGAGGAAAGAACAATAGTAAAAGAAGCAGAAACACAAAATTGCTTTGTTTGCGGAGGTGCAGTAAGAAGGGTTGGGTCGGGTTGGGAGAATTGAACTGTGATTATTTTGATGTCTACCTTATGTTCATATCTGAGCTCATTAGTAAACCAATGCTGATGTGGAAAATCTGTTTATTTTTATTTTTTTTAAATAACACTATTGCTTTTCTATTAAGTGCAGTAAACTCCATCTGGAATGCAAATGGAAGAAAATTAAATCTCTGTCCTGTTCCTCTCCTCCTCTATCTGTTGGGTCTATTTTATTGCCCTGCCACTGTCACAGTAGAATCTTGGATTCTGAAGTTAAAAAAATCACGGCTCCGCGTGAACCCGGAAATACCTTCTTAAGGCAGTGAAGTCCACTCTGCTCTTTATTATCTCTGTGGCGGACCGCGGTGACGTTTCCGGTCTCTGCGTCCCTCAGCTGCCGCCAGGAGGAGCGGCGGGGCGTCGTCAGGTTCTTCTCGCCTTTCCTTGGGATGAGAGCTTCGAGTGGCTGGACTGAAGGGTTCCTGCATTCTGCCGTTTACAGGTCTGTTGCAAGCTATTTTCTGTCATCCTCTCCCCGCCCCATGCTGATTGTGAAACACTGGATTGCATCACGGATCTCCCTACATTGTAAGGACAATAATGCTAGATTGCATTACATGGCTGCCATTATTATTATTATTAGTAGTAGATTTATTTATTTAGTTATTTATTTTCCGCCTTTTTCCCTGGTGGGACTCAAGGTGCCTTGCAACTAAAATACGAAACAGCTGAAAGCATATATTCCTGCAGTAGGAATTTTAAACAATAAGATTATTGTGGGTCACCTTCTAAATTAATTTGAGTGGGTCTCCCTTTGAGTAGAACTGGTCTCTCTGACCCCCTTTTGCAAGTCAGGAATAACAATACTTGCCACCTACACGGCAGGGTTGTTGTGAAACACACTCAAGACTCATCCACAAAATCTACTGAAGGAAGCATTTGCAGCACAGATTTTTCTCACATTAAGACCTTTCAGTATGAACTGTCTTTGCTTGAAGAGAGGGTAGAAAATGCCTCTGCTAAATCACTGCAAGAAAATAGTCCTGGGTTTCTTAGTTTCTGCTTTTCAGCAGCTATCAGTATTCCAACTCTTACCTTCTAATAGCAAGAGTTCTATTAAAACACCTAAGAAACAACAACCCCAAGAAGAAAATCCAAAGTTTCCTCTGCACATCTGTTTGCAGGGTAAACACAAGTATGTAGTATGCCAAGTGGAGTAATATGCAATATCTCATGCATTTTGGTATGTTTTCATCTCACCTCCTTGCAGCTGTTGCTTCCATTTACCATTTTCGTTAAATAGTGTGAAGCAGAATTGCTGTGCAGATTTAAATGAAGTTGAATTGTGTCAACAGCTGTTGGCTGTATGTACTAATCTAGGCTCCTCCTTAAAAGAAATCTAGCCAGAGTGCTCTGAATATGAGATTTAAGAGAACACAGATCACTCTCAAAAGTTCAGGGGTGTGGCCTGGGAGAGGGCATTCTTTGTGGCAGCCTCCAAGTTGTGGAATTCCACACCCCTGGTGGGTCTGGCTTCCTCACTAGATTCCTGGCCTTTAACAACTGACATTGTGTGTTTTCAGGCCATTCCTATTCTTGTGATTATAATCTGTTTCAGCTGTTTTTAATTTGTTGTAACCTGCTCAGACCTTCTGATGAATGGTGGGTAGTACATCTGGTGGTGGTGGTGGTAGTAGTAGTAGTAGTAGTAGTAATAATAATAATAATAATAATAATAATAGCAGCCTTGAATTGGGCAGAGGGCTTGGATTTCAGGCTTAAAAAGTCAGGTGGAGCCATGCAGATACCAACCAAAAGAGCCATTCAGCAGCAAGGAACAGCAGTTCACCATCCAGATATTGTTTGGCTTCAAGACCATATCTTGCTCTTCAAATGATAGCTGGGATCCCAGTGTAACACCTGTCAAAGCAACTCCCCATGCCCCCAGCATCCAATTAAATTTAAAAATAAAATGAAGTTACTAATATACATGTTTTTGTTGTTTAGATGAAGGGAGTAAGCTCCTTTTTTTAGGGGGGAAATTTACTGGGGGGTTTCTCTGTTGCAAGGGGAGTGTACAGTAATGGGAACAGCTTTATTTCTGTTAAATAAATCATGACATGGTGTAATATGTCAAGTTGTTCATCTGAGGTTGTATTTACTTAATTTTAAGAACCTGCTAAGGAGTTGATTGTTATTATACCATTATGTAAAACCACAGAATCCAAAGAGGGGGTGCTTTCTTTTTCCCACGACTGTATGTGTTTAGCCTTTTTTTAAAAAGGGGGGGGGCGGATTCTAAGCATCTTATTTTTCTTCTATGAAATGCGAGTTCTTGTGATCATGAGCTTCTTAGATTTTCTTAGACACCCCAAGAGTGTTGAGATCCATAGATCAGAAATAGACAATAGCAGTTTAACACCATTCTGAAATCATGGAAATAATCCACTAACCACACCTTCAAATTTGCCTGACTGGCTTTTGCTAGGTAGAGTAGGAAGAACAGCTTGGACCCTAGACTATCAGGAGTCAAGGAAATGCTGCTCTTCTTTCCCCAGACAGGGCATAGTCAGTGGTAGGAGGGTAGCTTACCTGGCAGGTAAGAATGGATTGAAAATGGACTTGGGTAGGTTTGTCTGTTTCTTCTGTTCTGGAGGCTGTTATGTTGTTCTCTACTTTCCGTGTTTTTTCTGTTGGACACTTTTCTAAGTAAGCTACACAGCAAGGGACCTATACTCTGTAGACCCGTGACCATGTCCCAGCACTGAGGGAGGGTGCTCTCTCCCAGTCAGGGCATGGCAGATACCTGATTTGCGTAAGTCCTGTTTTCTGAAGTGGGAAGAGAAACCCAGACAACCCTTACCACTGTAGAAAAGGAACTCCTCACTGGTAAGACCAACCCCCCCTTTTTTTGTCTGGTTCCCAACTTCCACCTAGTAGAACACCTGCCATTGCAACTCAAGAGATACTTGCTGAGACTGAGAACCATTTTTTAAAGTACATCATGCCGCATAACTAGAAAAAAAGCTGGAAAAGCTATTTGCCTGTTGTCATGGCTAGTTAAAAACAAATTTTAGTGAAAATATTGCAGATTCCAACAAAATTCTAGAATTCATTCCCCAAGGACTACATTTCAGGTTAACAGTTCTGACTGGAGAGGTGCTGTTATCAGGTTTCTCATCCTATTTAATAATGAACTGAGGATGATACCAAAGAAGGCTGCAGAACCACAGGTGTGTGCAAAGTTCAATAAATGGTTAACACTTGAATGTGAAAGCTTCTGAAAACACAAATAGCATTTTTGGGAAAGTGGGCCTTGGATTCAGTTCCGATAGCACTAATCTGTTTTTCAGATTAAAATTGTATCCCTCCCCTCAGCAGCTATTGCAAAAAAGAAAAAAAGGAAGTGTATTTTTGTTTGCATCTCCTTAGAAACTTAAGAAATGTGCACACAGATTGGAATGAAACAACAAATTCAGTTTTGTATTTTGCAATAGAATTCATTTACTTTAATAGGCACCATCATTCTCAATGTGATTTTACATTCCAGAAAAAAATATAAAGAAAAATAAAATGGAGTTTGGGGAATGGATGGTGTTGCAAAACTGAATGATTTGTAAACTACATACAAAGCCCACATTTTTACAAAAGTAAAAACAGCAGTGCCATATAGTGTTAGTTTATATCACAGGTTTAAACATTTCTGCTGATTTCATCTTGCATTTTCTGCACATAGCAGAATTTACAAATTAAATTTTTTATTTGCTTAACAAAATTTATATACTGCTTCATTGTTGTGAAAAGAGAGAGGAAGAAACCTCTTAAGTTTTTTTTTCTATTTTAAAACACCTCAAAAATTACCATATTACATCAGACCAAATGTCTTTCTTGTACAAAGGTCTCTCTGGCTCAATCTGCACATTACATTTTAAACCATCGTTAAAAAGAGTATGGTTTAATGTAAAGCTGCAGAGTGCTGGTATATGCTACTCCAAAGTCCCCGTGCTCCTGTCGTACAGCAGATGAGCCAGGGTCTGCATTGTGTTTGTTTAGCTCCAAACAATTACCAGGGTTTGTTCTTAACTTATTGCTCATGATTTGTTTAGAGACAAACCAACCACAAGTCCAGCTCTGGACAGGACAACACAAGCTTATTTTTTTCTATGACGTAGCTGGGGGGGGGGGAGTGCTGTGGGAACTTTGAGCAATGGGAACATTGAGGTGACATTAAGCCTCTGTCTGCAGCAGATTAAAGTAAGCAAACAAATACTTTATGTTTGTAAATGTTTTCTATTATAACATAGGGCAATTGTCAGTAAAAACCAACAACTCAACGAACATATAACAAAAAGAAGAGTTAAAAATACAGCGGTAAAGTTAAACAGGAAAAGCCTGGGTAAATAAAAAGGCTAACTGACATTCCACAAAGTGGAGGTTTGATGGGCCTCTTTAGGGCATTATAGTTGTTTTATTTTCAATTCTATTCCTTATATTACCAAATGGAATATAAAAAATGATTTGGCTGAGTGAGCAGCCTTAACTTTGTGTCTGCTGCCTGTCAGCAGTAGTGCATGATTCAAAATACTGGTGCTATTTTGGTTTTACACAGTACATTTCCATACTATTTTTTACTGCTAAGAATTTGGACAACATTCATTCAAAACTTTTGTATTCCCATGTTGTCTCCCCCCCCCCCCAAAGTATTTGTTTGTCATAGTTTTTTTTTTAAAAAATTCTCTTGCAGTTGCAGCATAGTTGTTTCTGGTACAAACCGACTACAGTGCTTCTCTCATTTGATGCAGAGGAATGGTCAGTGACATGTCTAGTCCACCATCAAGTACCGTATTGGCCTGAATATAAGCCACACGTTTTTCCAATTTCAGACCCTGAGCAGTTAAAAGTGCGGCTTACATTCGCAACTTTTTACCATACGGTGCCTAGTTGCGTGGGGGTGGGGGGAGTGGCACGCCCACCTCCCAGGTAGCTGACAGCGCACACTCCCTAGATGTTTGGCAGTGGGGGGAGCGGTGTGCTCACCTCCCAGTTGGTTGGTGGCACACGCTCCCTAGCTGCTGGGGGGGGAGGAGTGGTGTGCCTGCCTCCCAGCTGGGGGGGGGGGGAGCGTGTCAGGCCAACCAGCTAGGGAGCGTGCGGCATATATGCGGGCCAATATGGTATTACCTGCCTCAAGCCATTTTCTTCAAAGTCTATCCAATCTGTGAGTGAAACTGGCTTGTCCAGCATTAAATATATATTTATTATGCATATAATAATGGAAATGATATTGAAAGGAGGGGGTGCATGAAACGAGGTAGTCAAAACAAGGTGGAAATAATAATAAGCCTCAAGGAATAATCTAGCCCCAATGTTTGCGTATTAACATTTTTTACAGTTCTAGTAATAGGGCTGGATTAGCTGAACACTTTGAAGTCTATAGCCAGAATAACAGTGCTATCATCTCCAACTACTCCAGCTAGAGGATTTAGACAGTGAAGCCCACAGATATCTACTGCAATGGAACTTACAGATAGTTACTGCAATATCTGCCCACACAAGAGACACAAAACCAATAGTCATATCATTGTTTCAAAGGCATCTCTTCATAGAGCTTTTTCAGCTGAGAGCATCTTTAAACCACACTCTGCATATGCATTGCAGTTGCTTTTCCCCCTACATCATAACCGATTTCAAATGGTGCTAGACAAAAACTAAGACTCTGAACACCAAGAGAAATCGGTCAGCCTGTGTAAGAGATGTTTTTTCCAGTTCCATATTGGCTGTTAAGAGTACTTGCAAGTTGTTCAGATCATAGCCTATGAAACTTTGAACAATGGTCGTATTAGTCAATGCATCTTATTAGTCAATGCAATACTAGGTATTTACTTTGAAAGAGTTTGGAAGAAGCTGGCCTAAAAAAATATAGTTATAGTACTACTGCTCAATAAATGTTATGTTCCTAATTATATGACTTATCACCATCAACATTCAAATAGCCAAAAGTAAAATATAAATTTCTCACATTACTATTGGTACTTAAGCATGCACTAATTTGAAGCAAAAAGAAGGATGTTATATTCAAAATTTCCTCACTTTTATATTTTTATGGAATAACCATTGAAGTTGCATACAACCGTGTTTTTAGTGTGAAAGCTGATGGAATTCAAATAACTATGGCAGGAAAATGAAAGGTGGTGAAATTAATGCAAATAAAATAATGTAAATTGAATTGTAATTGTAAATGTAATTGTAAATCCTTTCTAGATTAGAGAAGTGGCAGTGGTCCTGAATAGCACGGACCAATGTAGATTGAACAGAGAAATGGCAAAAAGTTAGCCATATTTTATGGCGTATAGCTGTAATGCTGCAATCTGACAGCTAGCCAGAAGTTGGCTGAGGATTCTTCAGAGTGTTCATAACTGCTGCTCCACCAGCAGGGCAGCACATATACCCCCAGAAGAGTCCCCAGTACACCTGTGGAAAGCTCTGCATAGATTTACTGCTTTTGATGGGGTGGGAAAGGGTTGACCAGGTGTCTTTGGATCCCAACCCCCTTCATAGGAAGTTCCACCATAGATGCTTCCCCCAAGCCCAATTTCTTTGCATGTCTCACTAAGTGCAGTGGGCTCTCCATTTGCAGCTTTCACTGCTGCATGCAAGCAGTAGAATGGCATCCATTCTGTACTACAATGCATTTTCTTGTACTCTAGGCATAACTTAAGCTACATCTTTAAACATGATCTCTTACTGAGACACAGAGAAAGACATGTGAATGTTACAAAATTAAATCTGGTGACTACTGTGCTCTTGTTTCCTGTTCTTCTCTGGATCCAGTGCTGTAATTCTTGCTCCTAGAACACTGATTTCAAATGGTGCTAGATACAAAGATGGGAAAATCTAAGCCACCATGTGAAACCAGCTTCCAGAGGAAGACACACTCTTGTGCTGGTACCATCTTCAGAATCCAAGCACTGTAAAGAAAGTTGCTCTTCAAGTTTCCTAGAAGGAAATGCCTATTTTTTGGTTTAGCATGTGCTCTACTTTCACTGTAATAAAACAAATGCTGAAAATATGAACATAAATGTATGCCAACATTCTATTATGCATAAAACCTGAAGAATCCAGAATATTTTATAAGGTAAATATGCTAGCATTTGAAAGCAAGAAAAAGATACTCCAAAACATTTTATCCATTAAAGTTTTCATTTTCTTCTTTACCTATTTATATAGTAAGAAAAGAAGATCTGTTATTTTACATAGCTTAATGTTAATGGATGGCTATGTTTCTTACTTGCATTAAACCTTATCTTATTAACTTAACAGTCTGGCCATTTTAGCTAATCACTGAAGTCAATGGAGCAAGTAAACTACATCACAATTAAGTCCTCATTACTACCCCTTTTGAGGAGAGGCAAGGAAAGTCCCAAGTAATTCCCCCATTTTTGGAACACTTGATTTCCTCCACCCACTTCCCCTACTGTACCAAATGTCTTGTGATCCTTTCACTGGTTTTACCCTTTGCCATATCTACTAATACTTATTTTTTGCAGTTTTTCTATGAGGGGTGTTCTTTTTACTTTTTATTGCTGGTGATATTTTACCTAATCTTAGTCCCTGCTCAATCTCATTTCCTAATACTATTGCTGTCCAATGACACTCACTGGCATATTTTGGCTTTAACTGCCATTCAGCAGTAAACGAAACAATTATTTTTCACAGTTTTAATCCTAGTTTCTGTCATTGTTTGCCCTTACTGAGACAGGTAACTCTTCATTTGAGTTACTTCTACCACTCTTTAGTTAATCTGCTTGCCCTTTTCCCACTCATCTCATGTTACAGAGCATGGTCGTGCTTATAGTTCCTTTTTTTCCCTTACCAGTTTCATATTCTCTCCCCCCTCCCCCCGCTTCTCATTTCTTTATGAATTTCAAAGTTTGTGGTACTCATATCTTTCCATATTCTATTCTCTGCATTACTCTTGTTCTTTGGCTCATAGCTAATTCCTTCCCCTCTCTTATTCTTGGACCTTTTAATTCTCATATTGATTATTTTGCTTATTCTTCTCTTCGCCATTCTCTGTATCTTCTTGATACAAATGTTCTTAATTACTCCAAAAGTGGCAAATTACTCTGCCGATCAGGGCAGAAATTCTTACATCTTGCCATGCTACTTCAGGAAGCCAGTTTTGTTGGGTGTGACTGGCCTGCCTCCTCCTCTTATAACATAGTGCTAGCCACTGAAGCCCAAGAGGCAAGAAATGATGCAGCTTCAAGCAGAAAGGGTTGATGCTTTCTTCCCCCATTAACTGCCCTATCATATTCTGTTCTCACTTTACAGGGTCAGGAGACTTGAGAGAACCAGGTACAAGACTTGCAGAGAACATCGAGGGCCTGAGAACATGTTCCCTTTATCCTTTGACCCTGGGAAAGAACAGCTTGTGAAGGACAGAAAGAAATCAGGGCACACAGAGCAACCAATGAGGAAATAGGTATCTACCCTTTGTCTTTATTTCTTGCTAACCCTCTTACTGACTGCTGTTCTCCCACAGTTTTTGTAACAGAGGTTTAAATCCTGAACCTTCCTGGCACCTGCCATAAAGGTTGATGGACCCTCAATATTTTTGTTTTACACCAGCGTGTCTGGCAACAGTCCTTTTGCCCTCTTGCTCTCTCATGGAGTGTGCCACCAGCACCCAACCACACACTAATATATAGTTTGTTGATGAAACATCAAGGAGTCATTCTTCATTACTGTTGTGTTCTGTCACCACTTTATTTCTTCTTTTGTTTCTTCTACTTATTTTCAACCTACTTTGTGTTCTCAGTTCTCCTGAATTCACAACCCATCCTCTTCACCCTCTCCTGCCTTGGTTTCTTTCAACATCATAGATTGTTTTTAACATGTTGGGATGCCTCAAGAGGCAATTCTAAAAGGCAGCCTATAAATACATAAAATAAATATATCTCCTCCTGTTTATTCCTCTTAAACCATCGTTTTAATCTTTTGGATTGGTCCTTAAGCAGCTATCATTTCTTCTGTTTTAAAAAATAATGTTTGGATCCCATCTTTCTATTTCTCTTAAATTCCTTTCAAAGCTGCCTGAGGTTGTTCATTCTTATGTAAAATCTAACTTATGATCATTTTTTAGTTTGCTTTCTGTCCTCATTTTACAGTAACTGCCCTGCATGTAAATCCACAGCATCTTACACTACCCCCCCCCCCCCATTCTTATTCCTGGATCTTGTGGAGTTGATCCTGTAGGTCATGCCTTGCTTTAGTAATCTCTTCACTCATTCACTTTTATCATTTCTGTTCTTTCTTGACGTCACTATTTTTCCTGTTGCTCCTACTGTTTAATTTTACGTTGTAAGTCCCTGAGCCAGGATCCTTTCTTGTTGTTACTCTTTAAAATGCTATGTATACTGACTGCACTGCATAATTATAGTAAAAATGAAACAATACTTCCTTAACAATATTTACAACTATGCTGAATCCCTAAAAATGTATTTAGTTTATTTATGATTACTGGGATTTTATTTGGTTTCCCAATTTCTTTGGTCCAGCCATTAATGCCTATCTTGAGTTCTTCAGGTTACTTCTTCTTTCCTCTCATTTGGACCGTCTTTCTCCTTTGCTTGCATAGTCTCTCTCTTCTTTACAAAATTAAGTTTCCTTTATTTATGTTTATGTGTCTCCATGATCTTAGACACCTCTCATCTCTGTGTATTCCTTCTCAGTCTATTGAAATATTACTTTTCTTCTTGAATTTCATTTCTCATGCACTATTTATTTTATTCTTTTTATCTCTCTGCTGCAAATGCCAGAAATGTTCATTCACCATCCACAATTGGCTTGTTCTGTTCCTGCATTAGAAGTTAGTAAAAAATGATAATAATTATTGAATAACAGAGTTATATTTACAGTTGCTTTTCCTTTGTGCATTGTGTTTTGATTGAAAGCTAGCAAAAATCAGTATTGCTGCAATAAAATCTCTTCCAGATAAGGGGACTAAGACATCCAGTGTGGAAGTCCTGTTACCCAGGCAGTGAGTAGCTATTTAGCTGCAATCCAAAGCTAAAACGGTTTACCTTCCTGCCAGAGCAATACCTATTTATCTACTTGCACTTTGACGTGCTTTCGAACTGCTAGCTGGGCGTTTCTGTGCGCTGTTCTGGTTCGCCAGAAGCGGCTTAGTCATGCTGGTCACATGACCCGGAAGCTGTCTGCGGACAAACGTCGGCTCCCTCGGCCAATAAAGCAAGATGAGCGCCACAACCCCAGAGTCAGTCACAACTGGACCTAATGGTCAGGGGTCCCTTTACCTTTTAAATCTAAAACCAAAGTGGGTCCCTAGCAACCTCTTTTCTTTTGGAAAACAGACCGGTTCAATACTTAACTATAATACTTCCTTATTGGGCTGCAAAGCATCTGCATTTAAAGAGCAAGTCATTAATTTTTATACTGACACTTTTTTCTTGCAGGTGCCATGTCAGCAGCTTTATATAGGAGTTTTTGCTGAGGTGCAATCAGCACAGAGGGAAGTGGCCTGACCTTCCTACTCTACAGGTATGGGCTTATTTTGTCCAGCATCTGCATCACCCCATTGGATCCAGCTTCTGTAGTACAGACAGCTGGTTTTACCATGATGGATGCATTAAAATTAGATGTAGCTAGTTCTGGATTTGAGATGAGGCAGGCTTCATCATCAAACATTCACTATGCTTGGCTGCAGGATACTTGGGCTACTTACACATTAGCAGCTTAAAACACAGCAAGGTCATTTCCTCACTGCATTTCAAGTTGTGTTACCTACAGTGGTGCCTCGCAAGACGAAATTAATTCGTTCTGCGAGTTTTTTCGTCTTGCGAGTTTTTTCGTCTTGCGAAGCACGGTTTCCCAAAGTCTTCAAAATCACCAAAGTCTTCAAAAAATCTCAAAAAAGGCTACCACACCGCGTGCTATGAGTTGCTCCTCGAAGAAAAAGGAAACAAACTTGCAAGACATTTTCGTTTTTTTCGTTTTTCGTCTTGCGAAGCAACTCAAAAAACGAAAACCTCTTTCGTCTTGCGAGTTTTTCTTCTTGCGAGGCATTCGTTTTGCGAGGTACCACTGTATTTGCTTTGCCACTCCTGCAACTGCCCCATTGGTTGTCTCCAATATACACACCTTAACTACAAAGCAAACGTGGCATAACTTCTCCTTTTGGACTGAAGCTGGTTTGAGGGTAAACACATCAAACAGTATTTCTCAGGAAAGTACACCATTAGAAAATGGTGGCGATATTGCCTTCCCTTTGCTAGTCTAAGTTCACCTAGCCTTGGCATGGAGTAGTTTGCTTGGCTAAATGCATTTTACTTATAGATAGGACCAGCAACAAAGTGAAAGTGCTGACTATCAAATGGAGAGCTGACATGTGATTTATTTCTCATGCAATCAACTTGGTATGCTTTCCTGTGGCTGAGCAGAAGGATTCAGTGGGGTAGCCAGGGGTGGTTCTGCCTGGCTTGTTAGAAGCAGCAGTGGCATGGCGCAATAAAATTTTGGCTAGCTGAGCTGCCTGGACTGGTGCCACAGCCACTGCATGTAGCTCATCTTTTGTGCACACAGACATATTTAGATTTCCCCTTTGAATGTCAGGTTACAGCTTATTCACATGGAGTACTTTAGGTTTTAGGAGAGTATCAGATAAATCACTTAAGTTGCTAACTTCATTCAATCAATGCAGAATTATGAAGGGACCCTTCTGAACCAGCTGTAATGTGGCGATTTGAAAAAGAGGTTTCAGCATTGTTACCAGTGTTAACTTTCTGTTGATCCCATTGTTGTTCTTGATTGTATCAGTTTCTTGATGGTCTCTTATAAATTGACCACGGGCTCATACGTCAATTTTTGTAGGGCACCTAGTGACAGTAATACACACAGTAAAACTTAAAAAGTTGTGAAGAATTTAAATGTTTTGTAACCAGCTCCTCCTACTTTTTCATCTGATGAAGCACCTTCCACTCTCCACATTCTAATGGATTACCGTATTTTTTTTCGCTCTATAAGACGCACTTTTTCCCTCCTCAAAAGTAAGGGGAAATATGTGTGCGTCTTATGGAGCGAATGCAGGCTGCGCAGCTATCCCAAAGCCAGAACAGCTAGAGGGAGCGCTGCACAGCTGTTCTAGCTTCTAGCTTAGCCGCGTGAAGCCTCCGCAGGGCATGGGGGAGCCCTTCATCCCCGTGCCCTGCAGAGGCTTCGCAGGGCTATTCCTGGCTTTTGCAGGAGGTGGGGGAAGGGACAGAGCTCTGCGCTCTGTCCCTTCCCCCACCTCCCAGAAAAGCCCCCAAGAGCCGTGCCATAGAGCATGTGTGTGGCTCTTGGGGGCTTTTCCCTGAAGAGGGAGAAAGGCAGCCCGTCAGTGACAGGCTGCCCTTCTCCCTCCTTGTGGAAAGCCTGCAAGCGCCACACACGCTCCTCGCGGCTTGTGAAAGGGAGAGCTGAGCGGAGCCTGGGATGCATACAGGCTCTGCTCAGCGCTCCCTTTAAATAATTTTTTTATTGCATTCCCCCTCTAAAAACTAGGTGCATCTTATGGTCAGGTGCGTCTTATGGAGCGAAAAATACGCTATTTCTGTTATCTACCCTGTCATTTTAGTTAAATTAAATTTATTTAGGCTGCAATCTACAAGCTGCTTATCCTCGCATGGCTGCAAACATACTATTGTTAATTTGGAATTGGGGGAACTGATTTGTCCAACTGATGTTGGACTACAACTCCCATCATACATGACCATTGGCCTTGCAGGCTAGGGATGATGGGAGTTGCAGTGTAGCAATATCAGGAGGCCACAAGTTAGGCTGCAGTCCAACCCTCACTTACTCCAAGCTGGGGGGCGGGGCTGGATTGAGCAGAGGCATTTCTACGCTTGCTTCAGCTGCCACAAGTGTCACTCTACCACTGCTGACCCCCTCCTCCTTCCACCTGCCACATGTAAGCAGAAGGCTCATTAGCATTATCTCTGCCAGCAGAGTCCTGCAAATGGCCCTAAAATGGGCAATTCCAGGGGTAGGGCTGAGCCACCCTGTTTCAATTGTTTGTGGATGGCATTGTGTGTGAGCTGCAGTTTTATACTTACTAACAATGAAGGTAGCCATCAGTACAAGCATTGGGTATTTCAGCTAGTTGAAACTCGAGGAGCAAAACTAATGGAATCTGAAACATTTCTTGTCAGATTTATTCAGCAAAGATACTTGACAGCTTTCCACTCAAGCTGTAACAGCAAGGTATAGCCAACCTATGGAGTAAGGAAGAATAATGCCTATTATGATTTTTTTATAACACTGTCAGTATAAATTGCACTTTACAGTTCAACATAACCCAAACAAAGAATTCTCTGCCACAGAGACAAATCTTTAAACAGCTATATGTATGCATTTGAGAACCCTATCCTATCAGATTTCCCAGTTCACGTACATGAAAATTTAAGGATGTGTGTACACAAG